TGATTAATCATAAAATATATCGCATTCCAGTTACGAATGTTGAAAACAATATTCAAAGTTCGTAGATTTATATTCTATGTACGTGTCACGATTCGAATTTCAAATCGATGCTTAGTTTTAGATCCGAGCAGCACATTGTTTGGCATTCATGTTCCTTATTATAACCCTCAAAATTGAAAATGTGGAAGATGTTTACTGGGAAAACCACTATTCGGAAGGAGAGCGAATATGTAGCAATCCAGTTATGGTTGTTGGAAATATTATTCAGGTATGTTTCAGATTCAACATCAGTTTTAATTCTCATGGACTTTCTGATATGTGATGTTTAGTTGCAGATCCGAAAAGCAAAGTGTTTGATACTTGTCAATAAATTGGAGAAAACCATCCAGTCAAAACGGACCGAACAGAAAATCCGCAAAGAGAACTGACCAGAGTATACTTTTCAGAATTATGATCCTCATATTCGTACGGAAGGCGATATATTGAATTCCTTTCCAGATTCTCAAGCAAACAGATAGACAGATATTCACCTTTATGTCTCTATGGAAACACGCCAGGTACCCTTACGAGGGGAGAGTATCAACTCGGCGTTTATAAACCCTCTCTGCAAAGGAGGTCGGCGCATGGTGGGTTAGGTATATACAGTGTTTTTCATTGCAGAGAAAATCGTTGTTTATCTGCCTACCTCGTCTGCATTGAGAGAGTTGATTAATAATAAAAATATATCGCATTTCAGTTACGAATGTTCAAAACAATATTCAAACTTCGTAGAATTATATTCTATGTACGTGTCACGATTCGAATTTCAAATTGATGCTTAGTTTTAGATCCGAGCAGCACATTTCATGTTCCTCAGTATAACCCTCAAAATTGAAAATGTGGAAGATGTTTACTGGGAAAACCACTATTCGGAAGGAGAGCGAATATGTAGCAATCCAGTTATGGTTGTTGGAAATATTATTCAGGTATGTTTCAGATTCAACATCAGTTTTAATTCTCATGGACTTTCTGAAATGTGATGTTTAGTTGCAGCTCCGAAAAGCAAAGTGTTTTTTACTTGTCAATGAATTGGAGAAAACCATCCAGTCAAGACGGACCGAACAGAAAATCCGCAAAGAAAACTGACCAGAGTATACTTTTCAGAATTCTGATCCTTATATTCGTACGGAAGGTGATATATTGAATTCCTTTCCAGATTCTCAAGCAAACAGATAGACAGATATTCACCTTTACTACGAATGTTGAAAACAATATTCAAACTTCGTAGAATTATATTCTATGTACGTGTCACGATTCAAATTTCAAATTGATGCTCAGTTCTAGATCCGAGCAGCACATTGTATTGCATTCATGTTCCTTATTATAACCCACAAAATTGAAAATGTGGAAGATGTTTACTGGGAAAACCACTATTCGGAAGGAGAGCGAATATGTAGCAATCCAGTTACGGTTGTTGGAGATATTATTCAGGTATGTTTCAGATTCAACATCAGTTTTAATTCTCATGGACTTTCTGATATGTGATGTTTAGTTGCAGATCCGAAAAGCAAAGTGTTTGATACTTGTCAATAAATTGGAGAAAACCATCCAGTCAAGACGGACCGAACAGAAAATCCGCAAAGAGAACTGACCAGAGTATACTTTTCAGAATTATGATCCTTATATTCGTACGGAAGGCGATATATTGAATTCCTTTCCAGATTCTCAAGCAGACAGATAGACAGATATTCACCTTTATGTCTCTATGGAAACACGCCAGGTACCCTTACGAGGGGAGAGTATCAACTCGGCGTTTATAAACCCTCTCTGCAAAGGAGGTCGGCGCATGGTGGGTTAGGTATATACAGTGTTTTTCATTGCAGAGAAAATCGTTGTTTATCTGCCTACCTCGTCTGCATTGAGAGAGTTGATTAATAATAAAAATATATCGCATTCCAGTTACGAATGTTGAAAACAATATTCAAAGTTCGTAGATTTATATTCTATGTACGTGTCACGATTCGAATTTTAAATCGATGCTTAGTTTTAGATCCGAGCAGCACATTGTTTGGCATTCATGTTCCTTATTATAACCCTCAAAATTGAAAATGTGGAAGATGTTTACTGGGAAAACCACTATTCGGAAGGAGAGCGAATATGTAGCAATCCAGTTATGGTTGTTGGAAATATTATTCAGGTATGTTTCAGATTCAACATCAGTTTCAATTCTCATGGACTTTCTGATATGTGATGTTTAGTTGCAGATCCGAAAAGCAAAGTGTTTGATGCTTGACAATGAATTGGAGAAAACCATCCAGTCAAGACGGACCGAACAGAAAATCCGCAGAGAGAACTGACCAGAGTATACTTTTCAGAATTCTGAGTCTTATATTCTTAAGGAAGGCGGTATATTGAATTCCTTTCCAGATTCTCAAGCAAACAGATAGACAGATATTCACCTTCATGTCTATATGGAAACACAAGAGTATATCCACTTTATAAGTCTAGTGAATTTTCAACAATGCGGTGATGCCACTTCTATTAGAATCTTTGTATCTGTGTCTTTGCTATTTCAAATGGAACACCCATTATTGTGCTGCATCTTTATATTCTCCCCAATAAGCTGATTTCATCAATATATCAGACTTGGGGCCGATATAGAGTGATCAGAATTGTGAATCTTGAACTACCCGGTATTTGTTACAATTAAATGACAGTTGAGATAGGTATGAAAACCGTTTTGACCGATAATGAATAGTTTCGACACAAAAAAATCCCAAAGTTGAATAATCTCGATTTTGTACACCCTATATCTCTGTATTCATTCCTGCTAGACCCCAAGTGTGATGCATTGATGATATCAGCTCTTCAGGGAGAAATTAAACATGCAATAAAATACAGGGCATTCCAAATATCTTAGTTATTTTTGTCCATTTTGAAGAACACTGCGAGTGTAAACCATTTAACACCGAACGATATCAGTGCTAAAAGATTGACTCTGTTGTACCTACATATTCGTAAGTTATATTTTTATATCATAATACATCATATTATTCTATTCGATTTGAGAGATGTCAATTCTCAATTTCAGAGGATTTTGATTTTCCATGCTCTCTATTTGGATATCCAATAGATATAATTCAATGTTCGACTTGGCAAATAGCCAGGAAAGTAATTGTTTTCTGTTGAATATTAAGAATGATATTATATCCATATCTTTATATGAAGGAGAATGCAAATTCTCTATTTCATAAGATTTTGTTTTCAAATTCTTATCGTGTGTGTTAAGGGCGCCGTACATTATGCTATTTCTCGGCAAGTTTGAGGCAATGCAATTTTCTAGCAATGTTCTCAATTCATTGCAAGTCGCCGTACATTGGGATATTTCTGTCATATTTTCTCGTTCATATTCACTATTTTCAGATTTTTTGAGCCTTCAATAAACTTTTCGAGGTTATTTGGTGTTTCAGGCCACGTTATGGAGAAAATTTGTATCTTATCAAGATGCTATGATGAATATTACTACAAATTTCACTAAACTTGCCTTGAAATTGCAGGAAAAATAGGACTGGTTCTATTACGAAACTTGCATGAAACTTGCCGTGAAATGTCATAGACGCACGCGCATTGTTCGATTCAAAATTGCATTGCATCGAACTTGCTGGTAAATAGCATAATGTACGGCGCCCTTTAAATTAAAAGATGTAATTCAATATTCTTCGTGGCATATAGCCAGGAAAGTTGTTGTTTCTTGTTGAATAAACCGAGAAAGAATTGATATTTTCATCACACGGAGAATGCGCTTTCTTAATGTATTTCTTTATATATATCTTATATATATATATATATAATTCCATATAACCATTTTTTTGTGTTCATAAATATACCCGAGAGAATATCATCATTTAAAATAATGGCGGGCCGGGATTGGCGCAGTGGAAGAGCGTCCGTCTCACGACCGCAAGGTCGTGGGTTCGATTTCCAGCACGGGCAAGGAACTTTTTTCAATATTTTATTTACGAATTGAATATTGTAAAGTTTCGGAGCATCGGCTGGGGATAGTCCTGCACGATTCGCTGTTGCGTTCCAATTAACAGTGCTGCTCCTAAAGTGGCGTATGGAGTTAGTAACAAAGCCTACACAGAACACGCAGAAAGATATGATGATGTGGTTGTGAGCATCAGAGAAGAAGTAGGACGGTGTATGTAGGTGGGTGTGGAAAAACTACCAGCTGAGCGTGAGAGCGGGCCAGCTGCTTAAGTAGACCTCGGTCTCGGGGGTTAACGATGATAGTTAGCAGGCCTGCCACTGCGCATATGGTAGTGAGTACATTACTAGCCTACAAAACACAGCTGAAAAACTCTGAAAAGAGAGCTGATGGCCGGTGCCTGAAAAGGATGTTAGCCAGCTCTCTTGAGCGAACCACATCATTCATTGAAAACACCTGGGGTTGGCAAAAAGGTCCCATTGGGGACTAGTTGCTGACGTGGAAACGTCCCCCACCAGTACCAGTACCAGTAAAATAATGGCGTGTGTAATATCATTCCATAGCAATCTATTGACAACTTGACAAATGGACGTCATCCGGTATGCTTGCTCACAATGCTCACTAAATATGACCCGTCGCCTCCTTGGTCGCCCCCGTCGGACAGTCTAGATATTTAGCCGTCACATTTAACGCACGAAACGGTCAACACTAAGCCAAAAGTGTTGACACTTTTTCATTTCACAGCGAACAGACCTGATAACTTCCGTTAGAAAGTCTAATTTTGAATAATAGGCCTGTTCGTTTGTATTGCTAAACTGGCTAAAGTTGATCTTTTTCCCATGATGTAAACAAAGAAAGTCATAGAAAAAAATCAAGTTTAAGCAGGTTGAGCAAGCACAAACTGCACAAACGAACAGGCCTACTGACATGACAAATCTGACAAATTGACAAAATGAAAATCAAAACATCAAAACATTCAAAACACAATAAATGAATTTTTTTCGAAATCGTTATTATGAATTCATGATTAAAAATGTCTCGAAATGATCAACCTTCCCTCAGCCAATACTTTGGCTCCAACGAGAATTCAGAAGATCGCACAGACTTTTCCAAAGAAGTCACAGAAGCTACTGCTGAAATTATCAACTTGAAACTGGCAGACGGTAAAAAAATTATTGCAAAAAATGAGCCAGAGGTTTGTCGACTTTTTTCTGAACCCACACCCCAAGCTAGGGACCCCACAGCTGCATTTTTCGATCTAATTGGAAGTAATCAAAACACTGGAACAAATGGAATCATATCAGACCTAGGGCTACCAACAAATAATGAAGAAAGCTACAGTAGCTCTAGACTGGCGATAGGCAGTGAAGCAGACAGAAGACGAGATGCTTGGATTTCTAGTGAGAAAACAAGGCAGTGTTTGATAGCAGCTGCAACTGCTAGTCCTGGTACTTATTTCCCTAATAGAGAAATGCTTACAATGCCTGGAGTTTTATTAGAAGAAGAATTGGTAAGCTCTCATTTGTATTTAACATCTTCACTTATTCACTGTTCTTGTATTTTTTGTTTTAAGGGTGATGCAGTTGGTGAAGCAGTCTCTATGTGTCTTGGTGAAGCAGAGGCTGCCCAAAGACGTGTGCTCAGTGCCAGTGATGTTACTCAAGATGAAAGGGGGCTCAGAGAGCTAGTGCAAGCTGGGGCTTATCGAGCTGCTATCAATCTTACTGCAAGGCTCTTGACAATATATGGGCAAGGTATAGGTAGGGCAGGACATCCCAGTAAGCATTCCCCACATTCCTTACAGCTGTGGTTCACAAGAATAGCCTTGTTGGTCAAAACCAAAGCATATGGGGTGGCTAGCATGGAAGCAGAAGCCTTTGGACATTTGGACAAGCCTGACTTGTATTACCAGGTGGGTAGATTCTGTCATGTTCACACTCTGGTGTTTAATATTCAACTGGTTTATAGTTTTACCCTGAGATGTATGGGGGTCGTTTGGGTTCTATAGCCTCCTTTTCATTCCGTCTGCTTCTGGCAGAGCTTCCCATGCACTGTGGGAAGCCCAAGGACTCTGTAACAAGACTGTTCAATACCTTGGCCACTGTCAGACAAATTCTGACCAATCTGAGGAAGGGCCTTTGTGAAGATGGGAGCCCTATGGAGCTAGGGGAATCAGACAGGAGTGATTCTCTGAGGTTGTGGATTGGGAGGGAAGTTAGAGTTATGCATTCTATCATAAATTGTGCCTTAGTTCTGAAAGATTATGAACTGGCCATGGATTTGCTTGGACAGCTGTGTGAGAGGTTATAATATTGATATATAAGGTTTTTATCATCATTTATCTTTTTTATTGTTTTTACAGGGATGGGGCTCCAAGGCATGCCTTACTGTCTGCTCTAGGGCGTTTGCATTTGCAGCTAGGAGATGTTTCTGGTGCTGAGGTGTGCTTCAATGAAGCTGCAGAAGTGAAGGGGGCCACACCTGGTGTGAGAGAACTGGTTGACAGAGGGCTCTTGTGTATTGCTCAAAGTGCATTTGATGAAGCTTACACCTATTTCCAAAAGGCCAGCTTATTGGAATCTTCAAATGTCATGGTAAGAAATTGATTAACATGTGTTTCAAAATACTGTAATGTTTCAAGGTTTGTTCCAAATATAGTGTGAGGAGTTCAGAAGAAAGACTCAAATATTTGATGAATTCTTTACTGGAAACATATTTCTAATGATGATTTTTCCTTATTTTTATATGATCACAAAGCATGCAAAATTGTGAAAAAAAGACATTTTGGAAATGAATCCTTATCATTATGAAATTTGATTTAAGCTCTCTGTTGATGATTTCATAGGAAATTTGAGAGTATTGATTATAAAATTGCTTTTCCAGAGAAAACATGTTTGTTTCTTTCTATCCAGATTTGTATAGTTGAAATTACAAAATAAAACAGAGATTCATTAGATCTGATATCACTATACAAACTTATAATATGTTGTTTTATTCAATTTGTCCTATATAAATTGGAAATTTCGAATTTAAATTTCAATGAAATTAATTCTATACATAACCATGGAACAAGCAATCAAATTTACTAATAGTAAATACAGCAAACAATCCATTTTTCATGCAGGAATCGGTCTATACAACTCATTACCAAGTCAATTGAGGAATATACTGGAAGCAACTAGTTTCAAATTTAACTTGAAAAAATATCTGCTTCAGAGACTTTGATAATTCCATTTCTTATTTGAATACCTACTTATAAAAGACAAGGTTGATATTGCATGATTATTTGCATTTTTTTGGTTACTTGTTATATCTTATTATTATTTCATATTTGTATGGATAACATTATGTATATTGTTTATGTATCCCTATTATAAACAACTATGTTTCTTGAGGTAATAAAGACAATGAATCAATTTTTTGAAGTATCATATTGAAGATGATATTATTTTTGAAACAATAAGATCTCCAAATTGTAATAATTATTTGATCCCATTCTTTTTTACCAAAGCCCTGAACGGACATGATACGTTTTTTTATTGCTAGTTTGAACTGGCAATTAGCCATGTTTGCCAGTTTGAACTGGCATTTAGCCATAATTGCCAGTTCAAACTGGCATTTAGCCACAATTGCCAGTTTGAACTGGCATTTAGCTATAATGGGCGTGTACACCTTAGTAGAACTTTTAACTCAAACCATGTTTATAATGATCCTTTTATACATAAATAATGATTGACGACATAATTCGATCGAAAAATTAACTGGAATGTTTTATTTTTGGACATAAATGATAGTACCTTCTGAAAACGGAGACCCTCTTATGACGTAGAAACCCCATCTCGCCATATATATATATATAAACCATATATATCTACTACTGATATATGAATCATAGCTCTCCTCAAAGCGGGACCCATTTCTGTCTCCATAGGTAATGAAATCGACCAATAGGCGTTGATACCGACGTAGGGAAAAAATAATAGGAAATTTGTCAAATCAATATGGCTGTTTCCATCCTTCACTTTTCGTTCTCATAGATTCAAAGAGTACCTCTCATTTTGGTCCCATTTTTGTTGGGATATCGTATAGGCGATGCGCCATATATAGAAATAGTAGATATATGATTGAAACTGACACTCTCCTGACACTTATTACTGTTGCCATATCATCCAAACAAAATATCCGAGAAATCGAAATCGATATTGAAATATCTTTTGATATCCACTACCACTACTGCAGAAAAATATATTCGAGTTGTCGATTGTAGGTTGAATCATTGGAGTATAAACAATCTCTAGACAACGAAATGTCTCAATCTCAAAACCATTTGCACCATTACAATTTCACAATAATCCAATATATTTCATAAACATAGCAACATTGCTTTGTTGACCCATTTCATGTATCATTCATCTCTGTCTGGAATAGTCTTGTTTCAGTATTAGGGTTTTGACGTCACATCATCGTCTCGTTTTCAGAGGTCCGAAAAATCGGGGATTTCAATATTTTTTTATAAAACGTAGGGAGCTCACAGCAAGAAACGGTTTGCGGTGGTGAGCTAGTTTGGGTGAGTTCTATCGAATTATGAAATAAAATTTTTTTGTGATATAAGCCCATTGCCAGTTTGAACTGGCATTTAGCTATAATTGCCAGTTTGAACTGGCATTTAGCTATAATTGCCAGTTTGAACTGGCAATTAGCCATAATTGCCAGTTTGAACTGGCAATTAGCCATATTTGCCAGTTTGAACTGGCATTTAGCCATAATTGCCAGTTTGAACTGGCATTCAGCTATAATTGCCAGTTTGATCTGACAATTAGCCATAATTGCCAGTTTGAACTGGCAATTAGCCATATTTGCCAGTTTGAACTGGCATTTAGCCATAATTGCCAGTTTGAACTGGCATTCAGCTATAATTGCCAGTTTGATCTGACAATTAGCTATATTTGCCAGTTTGAACTGGCACTTATCCATAATTGCCAGTTCAAACTGGCATTTAGCCACAATTGCCAGTTTGAACTGGCATTTAGCTATAATTGCCAGTTTGAACTGGCATTTAGCTATAATTGCCAGTTTGAACTGGCAATTAGCCATAATTGCCAGTTTGAACTGGCAATTAGCCATATTTGCCAGTTTGAACTGGCATTTAGCCATAATTGCCAGTTTGAACTGGCATTCAGCTATAATTGCCAGTTTGATCTGACAATTAGCCATAATTGCCAGTTTGAACTGACAATAAGCCATAATTGCCAGTTTGAACTGGCATTCAGCCATAATTGCCAGTTTGAACTGGCAATTAGCCATAATTGCCAGTTTGAACTGGCATTTAGGGCTTTGGTACGAATGGACGCCGCAAATTTTTTAGGTAACTTGGATTCAGATGGATTTTTCTCAATTTTTGGTATGATGTAGTTTATGTGGTTCTATAAAATATTTCCATTGAGAGCCAGCCCCTAAAAATGGACAGTTTTTTTGCCAGGTTCACATTTTGATCGAATTGACCATTTATTTCTGAGAAAATAGACGGTATTCCAAAACTCTCCATTCCATTTAATTACTTCTGAAAATAGATTCTCCATAAAGAAATATAATGGGTGGAATTATTACCCCCAACACCTATTTTGAGAACCGAGAACAAAAGAATTCCATCCGACAATAGTGATAGAAAATGTTTCATCCTGGATAATTATGGAAACCGGTGGAGTTCGCTGATTTTTTTATATGATGTGGTCCATATGATTCTGATCAAAAAATCATAGGGTGACTATCCTAAAAAATGGACAGGTTTTATGCTATAGGGGGTTTCAAGTCACATTTTGAAAGAAATAGACTACCATTTGATTCTGAATAAAAAGACAACTTTTTTCAATATTGTATTCCTATTCCTCAATGATTATTCATTAAAAAAATCTGCGCTACTGTTGAAAGATAGTGTTTGATGTGTTTGAACTGGCAATTATGGCTAATTGCCAGTTCAAGCTGGCAATTATAGCTAAATGCTAGTTTAAACTGGCAATTATGGCTAATTGCCAGTTCAAACAGGTGATTATAGCTAAATGCCAGTTCAAACTGGCAATTATAGCTAAATGCCAGTTCAAGCTGGTAATTATAGCTAAATGCCAGTTCAAACTGGCAATTTTGGCTAAATGCCAGTTCAAACTGGCAATTATGGCTAATTGCCAGTTCAAACTGGCAATTATAGCAAAATGCCTGTTCAAATTGGCAATTATGGCTAATTGCCAGTTCAAACTGGCAATTATATAAAAAAAAAATCATGTCCGTTCAGCGCTTTCGTACTTTTTCATATATCAGAATTGAGTTTATTCCAGGACTTTCCTGTGGCTATGGCTTGATCTTGGAATCTTGTATACTTCTCTATAACACCGTATTTTGTGGACTTGTTGTGTATATTATCATATGTAATTTTCATCTCTTTGAATAGATGAAAAGAGATTTTTAGCAAAACTTTTGGAATGAAAAGGCACATTATTGGACATAACTTTGCAGATTTTGAACAATATGGGCGTATGTCTTCTATACGGCGGACATTTGAAGGAGGCCATCCAAGTATTAGAGTCGGCTATCACGTCAAATCCAGTCCACGCGTTACACGAATCTCTGCTGTTGAATTTGTGCACCCTGTACGACATGGAGTCTTCTAAGGGTAGATTGAAGAAATTCGCCCTTCTCAGGCAGATTTCCCGATATCAGGCCGATGCTCCAGCAACTATTTTAGAAAAATTGTATGGATAGTTTTGGATTCTTTGAGTGTTGGTTCTATGAATATTTGGTATTAGGTTTGGGCATGTATAATTGAAAGTAGAGGTTTTTACTTTATGCACTAGACACGCTTGTTGTAATTGATTGTGCTAAGTGAACAAAACTGCATAATGATGTTTTCTAAGTAGTATGTGGTGATAAAAAAACTGCACCAGGTACCACAGAGCTTTGAGAAGTTTTAACTTATGTTTTTTTTTTACACAACATTTTAGTTCACGTTTTCATTTGGTTGTCAAAAATCGCGTCATTTTTGGGTATCCATTTTATTCGATATTCCCAATTATCTTTATCTCTAACATTTATATTTGAGCCTATAGTTGATTTATTCAATGTTGTTTGTTGTTGAAATTTTGTTTTCATTAATATTCTGAATGGAATTAATAGTTATTTATGCAACAAGTGCAAAAAGTGAATGTTTATTGAAGTGAAATTGTCGAGTGCAATAAACAATTTTTGCACGAGTTGCATACAACATTTTTTCTACGTTCATGCAAAAAGCAAAAAATGATTCATTGAGGTGCGGCACTAGGTGTAGGAAAATGAAAAACGCAACTTAAATACTTTATTATTAATATCCATTAGCATCCAAACAGGAACTAATACGTTATGAACAATTCAACTCAAACTTTATTTTTACCCTCAATGTTGAAAGTGAATGAACAATAGATGCAATTTTCAATATGAATATATGACGTTTCTATAACCACAGTTGCAACATAAAAAATGTTTGTCATGATGACAGCACATTGAAGTAGAATGACAGATGAGTGCAATAAAAACTTTATTGCACTAAGTGCAATAAAGAACTTCTTTTTCCACTAAATATAGTTCAATAAAGTTCTGCTTTTTGCATGAATGTAGAAAAACATATAAAACGGACCATGAAAATAATCTGTGATGTATGTTCACCAAATTTTGAGGAAAACTGTTGAATATTCGGACAAAAGGACTGAATAAAAGTGAAAAATGTATGCTTTGTTATCTTGGTGTCCTACCTAGATTGGTCTATGTATTTGGTTTTCATACATCTTCAGAAATATTGGAAAATACATGATTGTACTAAATAATACCTACTAATATTATATGAATGTACCGGGTGTACCACTAAGAATGGACGCCGGCTGTATCTCGGAATCTATTTGCCGCACAGGTTTCGAAAAAAAATATGAATGATGAAAGTGGCCAAGAGAAATCTCTGGAAATTATTTTCAAGTTTCCAGGACAGCCGCTAGAGGGCGTAATTGCATTGGCCAGTTTAATAAACGGGTTTTTATGAAAATTTGATATATCAAGACATATCAAAAAACACTTTTTTCATGTTCTCGAGTTGATTTCCAATCATTTCTATCAAGAAAACTTGCGATAGCTCTTTAAATAAAAGAGGGAAGGAAGGATGAATAGTACTTTGAAAAAACCCACATTACTACAGTTTGGTGTAACGGAATTCAACGATATTGGTTTCATTATGAAGGGTTTTTTTAGTTCTTCCAGATGAATCACGAATCAAGTCGATCTAAATCCCGTGGTGGCCGCTAGATGGCATCGTTTGAAAAATCAGCCGATTTGCCTTATTTTTTCGAGAATTTCAAATGGAACCATATATTTTTCCTGCTATGATATGAAAGTAAAGTAAACGAGAAGAAAAATGGTGAAAACCGCGAGTTGATACCTCTTGAAGAACCGGAGAAATACTCGGAATATTATTTGAACTTTATTTAAGGCCTGTGGTGGCCGCTAGATGGCATCGTTTGAAAAATCAGCCGATTTGTCATTTTTTTCCGAGAATTTCAAATGGAACCATATATTTTTTCTGCCATAATATGGAAAAAAAAAGTGTTTCTGGTATGTCTTCATTTATCGAATTTTTGAAAAAAAAACGTTTTTTAAATTGGCCACTGCAATTATGCCCTCTAGCGGCTTTCCTGGAAACTTGAAAATAATTTCCAGAGATATTTCTTGGCCACTTCTATCATAAATATTTTTTTCCAAAACCTGTGCGGCAAATAGTTTCCGAGATACAGCTGGCGTCCTTTCTTAGTGGTACACCCGGTACTAAATAATACCTAAATAATATTATATGAACTTTGAACAATTCAACCTATTTATAACCATTATATCTAATGAAGTGTGTTATGTTTTAATATTTATACTGTTATTTGTTTTGTATAATTACACAACTGTGATGTGTTGATTTTTTGACACCTATTTTAATAAATATTGATTCATATTCATTGTTTTTTTTAACCTTGTTATTTTTTATTCTCTTTTTGAACAGTAGTAGACTCAAAATTCGACATTGACCAAGAGCTATCGAATCTGGTACCTATTTGAATCCTATATATAGGGATGTATACTAACTAGAGCGGATTATAGAAACATTTCTAGTCCAAAAAGTATTCTGCAGACGATTTGTGATGTGTTTTTAGGGATTTTGAGTCTCAATTTGTTCTGAAAATGCTCATATCTTTGGAGCCATACAAAATAAGAAGTAGCCGAATTCAGCACTACGAGAACACCCTGTATACAAATTTTCAGCTCATCCTGTCAATAATCGAAAAAAGTTCTGAGGGAACCTTATTGTTTCTTTTTCAGATCCAAAAATCTACTATATATGTCCTAGAGCGTTCAAATTTTGTATTTAGGGCCCTTTAGGCATCCTCTAGTGCGGAGTAAACGCACCTCTAATCCCAAAATTAAAAAAATATATTTTTGACCCAGTTTCGAACCGAATTTTTCAAACACTCAACATCCCTGAAATGAATGCATAATCGCGTTCATAGCAGTATTCTGGAGACGAATCGCGATGTTTTGGAGACGTTTTCAGCGATTTTCAGGCACATATATTTTTCACGAAATTGCTCATAATTCGAAAACTATTAGAGATGAAGAAACATCGATTTGATATTCTTGTTTAGCACGACGACAACACCCCGTATACAAGTTTTCAGCCCATTCTGAGACCTGTCGTTAATCGAAAAAAGTTCAAAGGGGTTAACCTTGTTTCATTTTCAGTCCCAAAAATAAATTTTGTCCTATAGTATTCAAATTCGGTATGTAAGACCCTTTAGGGATGCCCTAGTGCGGAGTAGAAGCACAGCCCCCTAGCTCTTAATTTAGAAAAAAATCGATTTTTGACCCCCTTTCGGACCGAATTTTTTATGCACTCTAAATCTCTGGAATTAATGAAAAATCGAGTTGAAACGAGTGTTCTGAAGGCGAATTCGAGTGTGTTGGAACGATTTCTGCGATTTAAAATGACATTTTTGTTCTCCTAAAAATCCTTATATCTGAAAAACTGAAAGATTTACGTGAAAAGCGACTTTATATTCGTGTTTAGCACGTCGAGAACATCCTGTATACAAGGTTTCAGCCCATTCTGAGACCTGTCGTTAATCGAAAAATGTTCAAAGGGGTTAACCTTGTTTCATTTTCAGACCCAAAAATCAACTTTTTCCTACAGTCTTCAAATTCGGTATGTAGGACCCTTTAGGGATGCCCTAGTGCGGAGTAGAAGCACAGCCCCCTAGCTCTTAATTTAGAAAAAAATCGATTTTTGACCCCCTTTCGGACCGAATTTTTTATGCACTCTAAATCTCTGAAATTAATGAGAAATCGAGTTGAAGCGAGTGTTCTGAAGGCGAATTCGAGTGTGTTGGAACGATTTCTGCGATTTCAAATGACATTTTTGTTCTCCTAAAAATCTTTATATCTAATAAACTAAAAGAGTTACGGGTAAATTGACTTTATATTGTTGTTCGGCACGACGAGAACACCCCGTACTTAAGTTTTCAGCCCATTCTGAGACCTGTTGTTAATCGAAGAATGTTCAAAGGGGTTAACCTTGTTTCTTTTTCAGACCCAAAAATCAACTTTGTCCTAGAGTCTTCAAATTCGGTATGTAGGACCCTTTAGGAATGCCCTAGTGCGGAGTAGAAGCACAGCCCCCTAGCGCTTAATTTAGAAAAAAATCGATTTTCGACCCCCTTTCGGACCGAATTTTTTATGCACTCTACATCTCTGAAATTAATGAAAAATCGAGTTGATAGGAGTGTTCTGCAGTCGAATTCGAGTGTGCTGGGACGATTTTTGCGATTTCAAATGACATTTTTCAGCAATATTGCAAAAGTGAAGTTTGATAATGTAGCGTTGCAGCAATATAACATGTTGCTGTGACATTGCTGGAACGTTACATTTACAAATTAACATTTGCAATATTGCTGAACGTCAGTTTCAATAATTGCTACAACCTTGCATCAACATAGCTTCCAAATTTGCTGAGTGGGGCATATCTCGAAAAGTAATAAAGTAAGGAGAAAATTGACGGTATATTCGTGTTCAGGCATTCAACACGTCGAGAATATCCTGTGTACAAGTTTTCAGCTTGTTCTGAGGTCTGTCCAAAAATTGAAAGAAGTTCTTGTTTTCTTTCAGACCCACAAATCCACTTTGTACTAGAGCGTACAAATTTGGTATTTAGGGCCCTTTTGGCATCTTTCATTGCAGACTAGGAAGCACAGCTCTGGAACACATTGCCAAGGCAGGTGTTCCCCGAGGCATATAACCTCCAGAAATTCAAGAACACCAATTCCTACCTTATTTCCCTTGGTTCTCTGAACATTACAGGATATCCCATTTCGTGGGAACCAGAACATAAAAAAAAGTCCCAAAATTTTGAAAAACTCAATTTTTGACCCCATTTCTTTTATGATCTTTATATCTCAGAAACTATTGTAGGTACTTTTTCCAGTTATTTCCAATCCATTCTGAAACTTTTCGAACCTAAAAATCAATTCTTCCTCTAGAACTGGAAGGAATAGTCAAAGGTAATAGGAAATAAAACCCATCAGATTTTTAGTCAAACTTTTATCATATTCCAAAAAACTATCAATCAACATACGAACTCTTCAATAATAATATTCAAATATCGTTATCTAACCAAAGTATTTCAATTGTAAATAAATACAAAAAAATAAAATCGGCTCCCTCCAGCCCTCCAACTCCATCTCTCCCCCCCGGCAACCCGCCTAGCTATACAGGTCGTCCTCGGGATCGTCCTGGAAGTTGGCCTGATCCCCCCCGGTGCCCCCCGGGGCGGCCGGGCCCCCCGCCGCCGTGGGGAAGCGGAAGTTGGTGCCGAAGCCGCGCGACTGCTGCAGCGTCTGCGCGAACATCTCGTACTTGCGGATGTCGTTGTCGGAGACGGAGCGCCGAGCGAAGCGCATCGCCTCCTCGAAATGCGCACGCGTTATCTCCGGCACCGGATCGTCCTCGTCCAACTGAAAAAAAAAAAAAAAAAAAAAAAAACGTTATTACACGAATGTCGAACTTAGAAAATACGTCTATAATGAACGCGAGGAGTCAAAAATAGTTATTTGTTTAACTAGGCAGCAAAGTAGTAGATTGACTTTCTATCTACTTTGCTGCCGAGTTGAACATATAATTTTTTCTCCGATTGTTCATAATGATATGGGAGAATATTGTGTTTGCGAATTAATATAATTCCCACAATCTCTTTATTCTTCCTGTATAGTGTTCAATTAAAATAAAATTTGATAGAAATCGCAGTTGTTGGTTTGACAATTCATGAAATTTCTGACAGTTGTGCGAAAAAATATCGGTATATTTGAATTAATATATAATGGACAGTGATAGCGACCTGGAAGTATACTTACACCTCCATTAATAAGGGAGGTGGCAAAAAATATAGAGTTGAATTTGTTGCCGGAGAAGTCTCGGATGGAATATGAAGGAAATTATAAACGATTTATGGATTTTTAATTTTGCTGATACATATCAATCAGCAAAGTAACCACTTTGCTGCCTAGGCAGGAAAAGTAATACTTTGCTGATCGATATGTGTCAGCAAAATTGATATTTGCTGCCAATCGGAGGAAAAGAACATTACGAGAACGTATGCACTTAGGAACTAGGTGGTAGGTGATCCCTTTCTTTTAGCGAATTATAGTTATTTATTATACAAGGAAAAGAGTTGTAGATTTTAGCTCCAGGTTGTGTTGTCTCCCGACGCGTAGCGGAGGGAGACAAAAACCATGAGCTAAAATCTAATATTTTTCCCGTGTATAATACGATATTTTTTTCTGATATTTGATTTCAAAAAATTGCGAATTTAGTGGTTGTTTAGTAATATACGTAACCGTGAAGTCGAATGGAAGATAAAAGGACTTGCAGTTCTTTCTCGGAGACGGTATTATTGACTCATTTTTCGGAACTATAGCACAACAAAAGCCATCAACAGTGTATATATATATACAGGCTGATTCACGGTGGATGGCACATTAGACGTTTCTGGTGAACCAGACAACGGATCATTCTGAAAATTTAATGGAGGGCATATTCGGACATTCTCTAGCCAACTAAAATATTTTCGACAATGCGGTGTTGCCGCTTCTATTAGAAAGCAGTAGCAACTTTGATTTTTCAAATAGAACACTCTGTATTTTATTGCATTTTTAGATTCTTCCTGAAGAGCAAATTTCATCGATGTATCACACTTTGGGGTCTAGCGGAAATGATTACAGAGATATAGGGTGTGAAAAATCGACATTTTTCAACTTTAGGAATTTTTTTTGTCGAAACTATTCATTATTGGTCAAAACGGCTCACATGTCCCTATCTCAACTTTTGATCAATTATCTACTAACATTTAATTGAAACAAATACAGGGTGGTGCAGAATTCAGAATCTTGATCACCCGGTATATGTCCCAATTAAATATCAGTAGATAGTTAATCAAAAGTTGAGATAGGGTCATGTAAGCCGTTTTGACCAATGATGAATAGTTTCGACACAAAAAAATCCTAAAGTTGAAAAATGTCGATTTTTCACACCCTATATCTCTGTAATCATTTCCGCTAGACCCCAAGTGTGACACATCGATGAAATCAGCTCTTCAGGGAGAATCTGAAAATGCAATAAAATACAGAGTGTTCCATTTGAGAAATCAAAGTTGCTACTGCTTTCTAATAGAAGCGGCAACACCGCATTGTCAAAAATATTTTAGTTGGCTAGAGAATGTCCGAATATACCCTCCATTGAATTTACAAAATGATCCGTTGTTTGGTTCACCAGAAACGTCTAATGTGCCATCCACCGTGAATCAGCCTGTATATGTGACATAGATCCGGGAAAAAAGTAATTTATGAAAAGTGACATTTTATAACCTGCCAACAGAGATGAAATGCCAAACATTTTTCGTTATGGTTCCCCCAACGGGGATATCCTGTAATGTTCAGAGAACATCATGAGAACCAAGGGAAATAAGGTAGAAATTGGTGTTCTTCTTGAATTTCTGGAGGTTATATGCCTCGGGGAACACCTCCTTTGGCAATGTGTTCCAGAGTCTCGCTGTTTGTTGGATGAACGAGTCTTTGGTAAGAGATGGTCTGCAGGTCTCCAAAGTGACCACAAAGGGGTGCGAAGCCTCAACTCGATGGGTTAATCTCGCGGGAACAATTGTTGATATTTCAGATGAGCATCGTCCATGAAAATATCTATAAAATAGAGCCAGATCGCCCCAACATTTCCACGGTGTTCCAGAGAAGTGAGTGAGTTTGTGAGCGTGGCATCACCCACGAGACGAATTGCCCTTTTTTCGACAGAATGCAACAGTTTTAGGGTATGTTTGTGTGCAGCACTCCAAAAATATGGGAACAGTATTCCAGGACAGGTCGGATCTGTGCCTTATAGATCATAAGCAGCTGACTGGAAGTGAAATAGCTCCTGGCCCAAAACAGAAAACCAAGTTTTGGGGATGCACTTTGAGCAATTATTGATCTCACGTAATTTTCTCAAGAAAGGTTATTGCTGATAGTAGTGTTGTTAAAAAAAAGCGAAAAAGGCTCACGTCCATAGCGACATTGGGGTTCTCCACCCTCTCCCTCCTGATCTCCGTCTCGATGCACTGGCAGGCGCGCTGACAGATCTCCGTCAGATCAGCGCCGAAGAAGCCGTGCACGACATGACAATAATTTCGACTTTTTAACTAGTATCAACGACTTTTTTTCGACCAGACGACCACTTCTGGCGACCTTTTACAACGTTATGACAACTTCCGACGACCTTACTCAACGTGATAACCCCTTTTGACAATCGGCGATAATTTCTCGACTTTATTCAGTGTTGTTCAGATTTCGACGTTTCACCTAACCGGTTTCAATACTGAATAGTACACAAGAATGCTGTTCAGATTTCGACGTTTCACCTAACCCGGTTCTATACTCAATAGCACACTAGATAACAATCATTTTTACGTATTGACGACTTTTTTCGACCATACGGCCACTTCTTGCGACCTCTTTCAACGTTATGACCACTTTCGGCGACCTTCCTCAACGTTATAACCACTTTTGGCCATCGGAGATAATTTTGCCGATCTGTCTCGACTTTATTCAGTGTTGTTCAGATTTCGACGTTTCACCTAACCGGGTTCTATACTCAATAGCACACTAGATACCAATCATTTTTACGTATTGATGACTTTTCTCGACCATACGGCCGCTTCCGGCGACCTTTTTCAACGTTATAAACACTTTCGGCGACCTTTCTCTACGTTATAACCACTTTTGGCCATCGGAGATAATTTTGCCGATCTGTCTCGACTTCATTCAGTGTCGTTCAGATTTAGAAGTTTCACCTAACCGGGTTCTATACTCAATAGCACACTAGATATCAATCATTTTAACGTATTGATGACTTTTCTCGACCATACGGCCGCTTCCGGCGACCTTTTTCAACGTTATAAACACTTTCGGCGACCTTCATCAACGTTATAACCAGTGGCGGCTCCTCAGAGGAGGCAACGGAGGCTGAGCCTCCTCAGAGATTCTCCTTAATCTGATGATTGTAGCAGGTAGCAAACAAAATCGTTCGATCAATTCTGATATTTAAAAAAATATATCTGGTTAAAGGGATCTGAGGTGAGGAATAAGCTATTTTGTTGGTACTGCGTATTATTTTCAACCGATAAGTCATCATGTTGGGGGCGATTAGGATATAATGATTTGAAAAATTTACCTCGCGGATTGGATAGACACTGCAAATCACAGGAACACATCTCTTCAAGTATTAAGTTCAGGTTAACTGGTAAACAGAATGTCATTGAAGCTATTAATTTGGGTGAGTCGTAGAGAGTTGTTTTTCAAAATAAATCTCATATCATTCAGCCTCCTCTGTCATGAAAGTCACGAGCCGCCACTGGTTATAACCACTTTTGGCCATCGGAGATAATTTTGCCGATCTGTCTCGACTTCATTCAGTGTCGTTCAGATTTAGAAGTTTCACCTAACCGGGTTCTATACTCAATAGCACACTAGATATCAATCATTTTAACGTATTGATGACTTTTCTCGACCATACGGCCGCTTCCGGCGACCTTTTTCAACGTTATAAACACTTTCGGCGACCTTCATCAACGTTATAACCACTTTTGGCCATCGGAGATAATTTTGCCGATCTGTCTCGACTTTATTCAGTGTCGTTCAGATTTAGAGGTTTCAACTAACCGGTTTCTATACTCAATAGCACACTAAATATAAATAATATTTACAGAAAAAAAATTGAAAAAATGAAAAAAAAAAAAAGAAAAAGACTCACGTCCATAGCGACATTGGGGTTCTCCACCCTCTCCCTCTCCCTCCTGATCTCCGTCTCGATGCACTGGCGGATGGCGAGCTTGCAGGCGCGCTGACAGATCTCCGTCAGATCGGCGCCGGAGAAGCCGTGCGTGACCTTGCCGATGTAGACCAGATCGACGTCCTTGGCGACGGGCGATTTGCGCAGGTTGGCCTTGAAGATGGCCTCGCGCGACTTCTCGTCGGGCAAGGGGATGTAGATCAGCTGGTCGAGACGGCCGGGTCGCAAGATGGCCGGATCGATGATGTCTTGAGGGAACGGAAAAACGGGATATTATCAACCATAGACATAACATATAATGAAAGGGTGTTGAAAAGGGGGCAGACGAGATTGTTTATATTTTGTCCCGGTCCAAAATCGTTTTCAGCAGAAAACGATTTCTGCAGATTGCCCTACCGCCTGAGTTTGAAACGGAGGAAAGCATTAATCATACATCAATTACATAACATATCTTCTGTATGGAAATAACTGTGGCAACGCTGTATTGGCGTGTTTACTACGAATGACGCATATTTTTCTTAGTCATTCACGTGTGTCAAAAGCCGACGTTACAGTTTTGCTATGCTGTGTTTGTTACAATTCTAGACCTTTTTGTGTTTCTATTGATTTCAAGTGTTTTCTTGTTATGAAACTATATAAAGAGAATAATTATTAATAGTCTATTATGGTTAGCCAGTGCGTGGAGTATGAAAAAGTTCACCATTCAAACCCTGAATTGGTATTTCCACGGTAAGTAAGGTTATGTTTCTATTAATTTGAGCAGTGGTGTAGTAATCGCAAGCTATTTAATTAAATTATTACAAGAGTCGTTGTTTCTTTTGTTCAAATTCCACTGTATGATGGATCAAAATTAAGAAACTACCTAAGGTACTACGAGTATTTGGTATTAAAATTAAAAGATTAGACCCAAACATTTTCTAATAGGTATGATAACGTTGTCATTTTAGTAAAATTGTTAACATTGACGCACCATCTACAGCGTTGTCATTTTTTGAAGCCATCTCTTTCTAACTTATTTGAAACTTTGAAAGTATGTATTGTAAGAAAAATAAAGTTTTATTAATGAAATGTAATGTCTGCCCTCTTATTATATGTCTGTTATCAACAAACTGCTCAATCTAAAATCGGAATTTCTGACTCATAATCTTCGAAACGCACGGCAAAAAGAACATTTTCATGAAAACATTTGCAACCAAGAGATAGCAAAACTTTAAAAATACAAATACAATGCAATGTTTATCCGAGGATAAAAAAAGCTGCTTAAATAATTAAATGAAGTAGATATTTCACAACTAAAACCTTCGGCTAATAAATTCATATCAATGACATCTTTATTCATTTACCGCAGTTTTGATGCCAAATCTCTATGTTCTAGTAAAATGGGGTTCAAATAATTCTGTTATGACTGCAATGAGACTCAATTGTTAAATTGGCTAAATAATTCGATCATTTGATTGTTTACGTTTTTTACCCAATTATGTATTCTTCTGATTTTCCGTTCGTTTTCAGTTTGGGCTTGTTCGGATGTTTAATCATGAACACCAAAAATTTCTCAATAGAAAGAAAATAGAAATGATTTGAATCATTCCAATGGGCAGATTTCAAGCAGTGTAAAACCAATTCGATGAAAGTTGATCAGAACCCAATGAGCACATTACGCTGTTAATCCAACGTTTATTCAGCGTTGAATGTGTGAAAAATACGTTACTACAACGTGATTATCTGACGATTCAATGATAAATTTGTTGAAAATACGTATTTTTCAACTTTGAATATAAATTTTGATTGAAAAAAACCTTATTTCCCGCTCCATTTTTACCTAAAGTACGCACTAATTTCGTCGATTTTGCCTCTGTTGAAATATGAATAACTTTTTTCTGCTTCAAACGATTTGAATTCGGATCACACTGTTCGCTAGGCCAGTCCTTCAGCTATAATCTCGTAGTTCTTTAAAACATAAGGTTCTTCACATAAAATCGCTACAGGGTGTTACCTGAAACTGTGCAAAATTTCGAAAATTTCAAAAGTATCCCAAATGACGAAAAACTTTCTTTCTTCAACTTTGACAGTAGAGGCATGTAGATGATCTCATTATCTTGGGAGAGTTCTCGAATTGTCTCCTTATTTCTTTTATTTACAGAGTGATCTCAAAAAATGACCTTTTTTGGTTTTGCAGTCATAACTTTTTTTCTCGTCAACCGATTTTTGAAATCTCAGGCTCATTTTGAAGCGTACACTTCAGATGAAGAGATATGAAGATCAGAATTGACACAAGATGAAAATTATACAGTGTGTCTCACTTCTAATGAAAGCACCCCTGTATCTTTCGTAATTGGTGAGTTAGGATTTTGAAATTTGCAAGAGCGGTAGATATACTGAAAATACACACTATGACCAAGTGGAGTCGTCTCCAGTGATATACACTGCTCGCCAACAGCTATGGAGTTACCCACAAAAATGGTATAAGGAGGCAAAATAGGTTGAAAATCACTTCGGATTAAAAATCGCTTCCTCCTGCAAATTTCAGAACCCTACCTCAATAATTACGTGAGATACGGGGGTGCTACCATGAGAAGTGAGACAAAATTTGATTTTTCTGAACTGGAAATTTTCGAGAAAAAATATGAATAGTCAGTGATTTTCAACCAATCTTGGCACCTAAAAACATTTTCCGGAAATTTAGGTGGTTCCATGGCTGTTGGCGAGCAGTGTTTATCACCGGAGATGACTCCACTTGGTCAACAATTACGAATCATACAGGGGTGCTTCCATTAGAAGTGAGACACACTGTATAATGTTTATTTTGACTCAATTCTGATCTTCCTATCTCTCCATCTGAAGTTTCAGCTTCAAAATGAGATTTTAGAATCGGGTTGACAAGGAAAAAAGTTATGACTGAAGTTATTTTTTAGAGATCACACTGTAAATAAAAGAGATAAGAAGATAATTTGAAAAATGTCCCTAGGTAATGAGATCATCTTCATGCCTGTGCTGTCGAAGTTAAAAAAAAAGTTTTTGTTCATTTGGGATCCTTTTGAAAATTCCAAAATTTTTCAGTTTCTTCCTCATCTTTTAAAAAAGTACGAGATTATAGCTGAAGGACTGGGCTAGCGAACAGTGTAATCCAAATTCAAATTGTTCAAAGCAGAAAAAAGTTCAACTGCTAGATCTCATAACTAAGAGATCCAGGATGAACAGAGTTATGAGATCTAGCAGTTGAATAGGTCGGTGCAAAAATATACTCAAGTATATGTCAGGTAGTGCCATCTGTCAGCAGAGTGGTTTACTTATAGTACCACTCTGTAGACGTAAGGGTCTGTACGTGTGACTATAGATGGCAGCGCCATACAGTGTGTGTCGCGATTTCTTGATCCTACCTTAGAGCTTTGCCACTAGATGGCTACAACATGACTAGAACTTCATGTTATACCCTGCGTCAGAAAAAAGTTATTGATATTTTAACAGGGACAAAATTTTTCGGGTGCGACGAAATTACTGTTGCGTAGTTCATTTTGAACTGATGGTCCCTCGACCATTGCTCAACGTTTCTTCGACGTAAGGAAACTTCCCCAATTGAACACACGTCAGCACGTTTTACTCACCCGGCCTGTTGGTGGCGCCGATGATGAACACGTTCTTCTTGGCCCCCATGCCGTCCATCTCCGTGAGAATTTGATTGATCACCCTGTCGGCGGCGCCGCCCGCGTCTCCCACGTTGCCGCCTCTCGACTTCGCGATCGAGTCCAGCTCGTCGAAGAAGAGGACGCAGGGGGCGGCAGATCTGGCCTGAATTCGAAGGAAAAGGGGAAATTAGTGCTGGGACCAGAATGGCGTTGCAAACACTAGTCGAATTTACGCCAAAAATCTATTAAATATTGATCATCCCGTGTATAATAGCTATTTATATATCAAGGTATCCATTTCCTCCCGAGTGTGAAGTTTGATGCACGACGCGAATATTCAAATATAATTTTTTTATCCCTTGGTGCGCACGAAAGGGAATTCCTATAATATGACATTTATTTTTGAACTTTTGGAGGTTATAAGTTGCTCTTGATATCTGATTCTACAATTCGCGAAAATCACGAACCAATACGTCAAATCAACGTCAAATTTCCAACTGAGTATGAACAACAAAAACATTGCCGTATGCACTCATTGCAAATTGGTTATTTCCAAATCATTTTGCAAAATAGTGAATAATAAGTTGACTTCTTGAAATACGTACTTTCCAGTATGGGAAAAATTACTTTTTGTGCAGAAAAATTGCCATTTTGATGCGGACAATGGTGGTTTTCATCATTGATATCACACTACAATTCCACAGTTTTCAAACATATGGAATGATCGGAATGGTCTACTCAACACTTGCATGGACTGGAATTGAACCATACAAGCAAACAGCTATTACAACAATATGGTATAGGTATGAAGAAATAATTGAATTCATCAAGAAATATCACTGGCTTTTATGAAGGAGATGGAATTCTAGTGAAGGGGTTGGAAAAGAAGATATGGTTGGAGAGGCTGCTCAGAATGAACAATATCATCGATTTACATAAACAAGGATCTCCAGCAATTGAGGACTTGAAGTTATTCTCAAGATCGAATCATTGCAACCAACATTTATACAATGATTCTAATTGTGCTCCAGAAAATGTATATTATATTATTATAAGGTAGGTACTGGTTTCTTCATTGTAAACAATAAAAGTTCATGCAATAATTCGAGTTTTTTCATCAGGGAGAAATGAATAATAACACATATTTATGAAATTCAAAACAATGGTCGCCATATTTGTTGTTCATACTCGCAAGACTTGTACAGTTATCCACCAGAGGCCGCACACTTCGTGATTTTCGCGAATTGTGTGTTGTGTTCTCTGTTATCTGCAGTAAGTATTCAGTCTGGGGCCAGCACCTTCTGAAGAGGCGGACTTTTTTCATATTTTGATTGAAATGACAATCAGAAATATGCTTGCACTTGTCTTACAGAAATAGAGAATAGATACGTATGTCGAGTTTTTTTCGGATGATTAGGTCACGGGTTTTGCCGCGATTTGCATGTTACGAAATATCATGAATTTCAATAATTATTTTGAAAAATGTACAGAGCTCAGGGAAAAAACGGTTGGCGATACCTAGTTAGCGTTAGCACTTTGCAAAAATGAAATAAAAATGTTCACTGAAACAGTCCCATTATTATTACGACAGGAAATGCACTAAGGAAGTAGGTCATTTCAAATCAGAACAATAAACATTCAGGTATGTGAACTCGAAAAATCTTCATCAAGTGTTTACTCACCTTATCGACGATGTCTCTTACGTTAGCCTCCGACTCCCCGAACCTCGTTTATTCAACTAAACACCCTTAACATGTTTGGGAAGAATGGGAAGATCTGTTTTCCCATTAGAAAAGTATTGAAGCTTGTTGCACAAACCTCTCTGATATCGTGAATGTGATGCGATGACCGCGGGGACCAAAACCATTATCACAACAACGAATGCACTCAGGAAGTAGAAGGTCCATTCAAATATCCGTCAAGTGTTTACACACCTTATCGAAGATGTCTCTGAATTTAGCTTCCGACACCCCAAACTTCGTTCACTGAACGAAATATCCTTTACATGTTTGAAAAATATAGGAAGATCTCTTTCCCGATTAGAACAGTATTAGAGCCTGTTCCACAAACCTTCCTATTACCGTGACGTGAATGTGATGTTGAGGATGCGGGGACCAAAATTATTATTACGACACGGAATGGACTTAGGAAGTAGAATGTCGTTTCGAATCAGAACAATAAACATTCAGGTATATGAACTGGAAAAATCTTCATCAAGTGTTTACTCACCTTATCGACGATGTCTCTTACGTTAGCCTCCGACTCCCCGTATCTCGATTATTCAACGAAAACATCCTCAACATGTTTGAAATGAATGGGAAGATCTGTTTTCCCATTAGAACAGTATTAGAGCTTGTTGCACAAACCTCTCTGATATCGTGAATGTGATGCAATGAACGCGGGGACCAAAATTATTACCACAACAACGAATGCACTCAGGAAGTAGAAGGTCCATTCAAATATCCGTCAAGTGTTTACACACCTTATCGAAGATGTCTCTGAATTTAGCTTCCGACACCCCAAACTTCGTTCACTGAACGAAATATCCTTTACATGTTTGAAAAATATGGAAAGATCTCTTTCCCGATTAGAACAGTATTAGAGCCTGTTCCACAAACCTTCCTATTACCGTGACGTGAATGTGATGTTAAGGATGCGGTGACCAAAATTATTATTACGACACGGAATGCACTTAGGAAGTAGAATGTCGTTTCGAATCAGAACGATAAACATTCAGGTATATGAACTGGAAAAATCTTCATCAAGTGTTCACTCACCTTATCGACGATGTCTCTCACGTTAGCCTCCGACTCCCCGAACCTCGTTTATTCAACTAAACACCCTTAACATGTTTGATATGAATGGGAAGAAATATTTTTCCATTAGAACAGTATTAAAGCTTGTTGCACAAACCTCTCCGATATCCTGAATGTGATGCAATGAAATATCCATCAAGTGTTTACCCACCTTATCGAAGATATCTCTGACGTTGGCCTCCGACTCCCCGAACCACATCGTCAGCAATTCGGGCCCCTTCACCGAAATGAAGTTCGCCTGGCACTCGTTGGCTATCGCCTTGGCCAGCAAGGTCTTACCGCACCCTGGCGGGCCGTAAAAGAGCACGCCTCGAGACGGCTGCATGCCGAACTTGAGGAACTTGTCGGGATGCTCGACGGGGTACTGGACCAGCTCTTGCAGCTCCTTCTTCACGTTCTGGAATCAGATGAATGAAAAATCCATCAGGATGTTCGCAAGTATTCTCTGGTATCTGTCGGCTAGACAGAACAAAACAAATTCAATTGACAATTTAACATGTTGTGTGTTTAAGAATTATGTGGAAATCTTATCGTTTGTGAAGTTTTTTCTTTTGCCATAGATTTTCATCAAGTAACAGCCAAGTCAATTCAAGATTCTGCCTATGACCGAAGTCTCACCTGCAACCCTCCGATATCCTCCCACGACACGTTCGGCACCTCGACGACCGTCTCTCTGAGCGCGCTCGGGCTGCTCTTCGTCATCGCGTAACGGAAGTTCTCCATGGTGACTGCCAATGAGCTGAGCACCTCGGCGTCGATCTGGTCGTCCTCGAGATCGATCAGGTCCATCTTCTCGCGGATCTGCTGCAGCGCCGATTCGGAGCACAGCGAGGCCAGATCGGCACCTACAATCATCAACATTTTTATTCCCGAGAAACAACAATTGACGAGTGTGTTTATAAGAAGGAACATTGAAAAAATGAAATAGTGACAATGTCAGATAATTTCTGAACAATTAATGATAGTAAATGTCAATGAAATGAAGAGATTTTACGATTAAATAAAGATAATCACCGAAGAAAGATGAAAATTTCCACATTGGTCCTTCGAGCCGGATCAGAAAAGCACTAAGGATTACAGAAAAATGTTTGGAGAATCAATCATTCAAGTGGTAGTACACTATGGTAAGAACAGTGAAACTAGTAAAACCGAGGAAGCACAATCAGTTATATGTGGCGAAGGAGTAGGTCTTTCTGGTGAAATTGGAAGAGAATTGCCGATAACAAAAGAAATAGTTTCTTTCAATAACTACAATTTAATTTGATAACGCATGAATAATCTCATACCAGATATGAATCTGTCTGATTATTGTGAATGTTAATGATTATATTTATATTTATATGAGATGCAATGTTTATAGCAAATAATTAATACATATGAAGAATATAATTACTCCAGAAAAGAAGTTTCATCAATGTGCACTAGTTTTTTCTCGAGTTTACCTGAAAGAAAAATGTTACAACTATGCGTGGAATCTGCTAGAAAAAAGCTGCGCTAGAAATAAAAAGAAAAACAAACATATTGATCAACAATTATCGTGGACTGTGGCATAAAATATTTGAGAGGCGATTAAATATTTAATTTGTTTATATCCATGGCAACGTACGCCTTAGCTGTGTAGTTACAAGAGTTGATTCATGGTACACAAAATAAAACAATAAAGTGCATTTTCAATTCACATTTTTTAGAACCAACTGTAAATCTATACAAACCTATAGACTTGATTAATCTAGTTTCATTATATCAACTTCAAATTTGTTTCCATAGTAGAATAATTTGATATAACTTTTTAGGTACCTAGTGAGTTGAAAAATATACTTTTCAAACGTTAATATCTCTCAACTATTGAATTTAGGAGTAAAGTGTATGATATGAAACTGTTAAGAATTATTAGATTTCGAAAATGGAATGATATACAGGTGTTCCATTTTGAAAAATAATTCAAGATGGCACTTAGCCGCCATTTCAAAACTTTGAGCTGTCGTTTTCCCATGAAAAAGTAGGTTTTCATCTCCTATTTGAGCCCTCCTAATTTCCTTGAATTATATCTGTTGAACATCCAAAAGGAGAGCATGAAGAATAAAAATCCTTTGAAATTGAGAATTGACAATCTCTCAAATCTGTTGAATAATATGATGTATTATGATATAAAAATATAACTTACCAATATGTTCAGTATTGGAATGAAAATTGAAATGTATAGAAGTATACTTTCAGTAACCTGAAGTCTAGTTATCTTTCAGCCATTCTTCATGATATACACAATTTTCATCTCTCTATAAGTATCTTGGTAACGATCATAGTGGAAGGAGAAGATGGTGTGCCTACGCGCATATTATGTGACGTCATCTGGGATACCAATATCAGCTGCTAGTCACAGACAGATACCGTTGCCATGGGCGTGCGCAATGAATTCAATCATGTTCATTGAAATTTCTATAAGTTTCTCGATCTGTTTAGAAATAATTCAATTTATATAAACAGGTACCTATTCCTTCGATTTTACTATTTCATTGATTCTGGAAATTGTGATCTTGAGGTAATTCGCAATCACAAATAGCAAATACATACGAATTATCATGCATTACCAATCCCATCTGAATGATCCACTACTTTGTCGATTCTGACAGATTAAAATTCAGCAGTTAACGACGTTGACGTTGCTTCTGCTCCGACATCGACAACAGAAGTATCAATTTTTGCCGTTTTGTTATTCAAATCTCTGCTGCAATTTATATTTTGTGAGAAATTAAGAGCTTTGAATTTATTTTCAATTATTTCTGACTTGATTTTCGGAATATGTTCTGTAGGAATGAGGATAAAAGGAATAAAAGGTAGGTACCATAATTTGAGTTTATATTCTGTCGGCAGCAAGCTCCCATCGTTTCATTAGGTCTCCATTCTTAGGAAAGCAAAAAAATGCAATATCTGTGCCTTTTGTATGTTAGTTGGAATTTCCATAACCAGAAACAAAACAAGTAGGCATTTCGAAATTATTTCATTCAATTTTAGTACTTATATAATATCTGAAGTTCGAGACATCAATCACGAAAACAAATAATAACAATGACAGTTATATCCCAGCTGACGTCATGCGCAGAACAAGACGAGTTTGAGCTTCCTGTTGAGCACACCATCTTCTCCTTCCACTATGGTAACGATCTTTTTAGATCGCTTCAATAACATTCAAGTAAAATATAGGTAAATAAACGTATTATATAGAAAAAAAAACATTGTAAACATTCTCCATTTGAAATCTAATAGCACAAAATATGTTTCTTAGAAAATGCACTAATGTAGATAACAAATATTTTTATTGTATTATTGTGTATTTCATTCTTACAATAAATATCATGTAGCAGGTACAAAGGTGACGTCTGTAGCTTCAAGACCAATATCCATTTCTCTCCATACAGCACCGCCGCTATATATCCATGCGTTTATAAAAGGTGTGATGACAAGATTTTCGCCTTTCACTTGGAACTCAAATCCAATATATACACCTACATTCCACCAAAAAGCATTTTCGTGAGCACTTACAGCATAAACGCTATACAGGGTGTTTCATAATTGAATGTCAATATTTGGGGAGGCGATTTTTGGGCCCATTCTAAGAAGAAAGTTTCATATGAACGTATGACCTAAACATCCTAACTTTTGAGATACAGGGTGGTAAAGTTCTCAAAAATCAATAGTTTTTTATTAATATCTGTAATACCACTTCAGATATTCTGATGAAATTTGGCATACATGTACTATGTATCAAGATGCATCAGTAAGCGTACCACATTTTTTGTTGTTGCCACCAGTGGCGTTCGTATGGAATTTCACATACCTATTTTGGCAGACATTAATGGTACGCCACTGATTAATCTCCAAATTGAAATCATTCCTGAAATTCCCAAACATTTCTAAGCAAATTTGATCACTACAATTTTTTCAATCTGATGCACGGTTTTCGCTTAAAAATATAACAAGCTTTTTACTACATGATTATAGCAATATCGTTAATATGACAATATCACAATGCAGAGAACTAGATTTTATTTCTTAGATCAAATTTCAGAAATGCAATTCATAGTTTATGAACTTCGTATTCATATTTGGTATTTTGGAATTATCACTTCTCATTGTAGTAGGCTATATTAATTTTCGAGAATTTTACCACCCTGTATCTCAAAAGTTGGGATGTTTAGGTCATATGTTCATATGAAACTTTCTTCTTAGAATGGGCCCAAGAATCGCCTCCTCGAATATTGACATTCAATTATGAAACACCCTGTATATGTCCTTGGTAAAATGAAGTGTTTCAAATGTCAACGCACCAAATTTACCAGATCCTACATCTCCTATTGTAGATGGAGAATCAGCCCTTCCTCTAGTTTCAATGACAACAGTTGGATAAAGTGTTTGAAATTCTTCTATAGAAGATGCATAGTTCCTATAATTGACTACATTATAATGTGTGGACTTGTCTTCATGGCGCCCAGTGCCGGACCAACTTGCCCCAATATTCCAATACTGTTTGTATCTCATTGTATAATGAATCGGTTTATGTTCATTTTTTGATGGTTCAAAACCCCCAGCGACACAAACACCAACTAGTATTATTAAATTACGAAACATTGTTGTAAATTGAATTGAATATGAAGAAAGAATGCTTGTACACTATTTATACCTACATAAATTGCATCGATAACCTTTCATCTGCATAGGTCAAAAGAACCCGTGATAACCCTTTGAGCCATGTAAAATTCAGTGGCGGGAAAAAAGTAATTCATGAAAAATGACATTTTATAACCTGCCAACAGAGATGAAATACCGAACTTTTTTCCCGTCACACAAAAAAACAGCACAATTGCAACAGCTTCAAAATCGGGGCATGAGGTTAATATTGGGATGTAGCCGTTACACGGCAATTGAATTGATGTGTCTAAACTGGTTCTCAGTTGAAGAACATACAGAGAAGTGCACAAAAACGAGGATTGTAACTTTTGAATTATTCTAGATTGGGTTTAGAAAATTGGTGGGTAGCTAGTATACAATTTTTCTTCTATCACTTCCAGTTTCACCGGAAACGACCCAAACTTTTGATTTCTGAATGGGACACCCTGTATTGTATTCCATAATTGGTTAGGGATTATCATGAAGAATTCAACGATACCGGGTTTGATAGGGTTATTTCAAACAATTACGAAGAATTTTGCGTTCGGAGTTTCCATATGCTCAATGGGTGAAACTTCGCAATATCAAAACTTCTTTCTCTGTCACACTCATTGAGCATATGGAAACTTAGAACGCGAATATCTGCGTAATCGTTTGAAATGACTTTATCAAACCCGATATCGATGAATTCCTTATGACAATCCCTAACCGATTATGAAATACAATACAGTGTGTCCCATTTGAAAATCAAAAGTTGGGGTCGTTTCCAGGGATAGAACAAACATTGTTTTGTCAATTAATGAGCAAATTGGTATACTTGGTACCTATCTCGAATAATTCAAAAGTTTCCTGGCCGTTTTTTGTGCAATTCTCTGAATACTATTTATGACAATGATATTTATATTGAAGCTGCATAAATAATTGCTACCCAGTTACTTTCATAAGTTCTTAGTGCGAATCAATGAAGTTCATGATTACAATATGAGAAGAAATAACAATGTTAACTAACTAAAAACTAACACTAAATTTAGAATGAATAGCATTGAACGCCACTGAACAATTTCGGAATTCTCCAATCCAGCCACCTGCAATCCCAATAACTCGAAAACACTTGCTCGCAGCGACCTCTACCAGGAATATATTTTTCACACAAAAGTGTTCTATAAATCTATTTTTTTTTATAAAAGCGTTATACAGGTACGCACAATAAAGTTATGACTTTTCAAAAGACTCAAAAGACATGTAGGTGGCGCCACCCCTACGAAAGAGATAACTTCCGGACATAATTATGTTTAAACAAACTTTTCTTCTTATTTAGACGTCAGCAACATGCTCCTGAATTTTCTACACGTACTTAAGAAACACCCTGTATATAATTACCATATAAATACAGTCCACTATCTATCAAGCATCGAACATATTGGTCCTTCGAGCCGGATCTATTCAAATTAAACCTCAAGGACTGCCAAGTTCTTCACAAGGGATACATGGCAACACTCAAGACTACCTAGAGTAACAGAAAATGCCAAGCAGCCGGAACTTTCAAAGGTAGCAACAAGCAGTTCCAGCGAACAACTGACATGGACGCGAATGTGTTGAATATTCCGTGTTATCGGGAATCGAGTTCAGAGTAGTGGAAGTACCGATATTTTTTTTTCAGCAAAATACTTTATTAGAACAAATAAATCTTTTCAGACTATAACAATTAATAGTATTTTTTTTCCAAATCAGTAATAATGCTGGTGGAACTTAAACTTAGTAAGTAAGAAGTAATAAAAATGTCGTTGCACATTTGGGTACACAGTCTTGAAGCATATTCAACCTAAACAAAAAAAATCACTACCTTTAACTCGCCGTCTACATTTGGATATTGGGTCATTCAGGGCCACATTAGTTGATTGATTGATTGTTTGCCCTGGTATAGTGTTTGTGAACAATTTTATTTGTCATGTGTTCTATGTGTGCTTGCCAGTTGAGTTTGTCATCAACAATTAGCCCTAGATATTTTGTATTTTCAACTTTTTTGACCATATTATCTGACAGCTTCCATTCCGCTGGGATATATCATATCATAGATCTAATTACACAATAGATGGACAACCGCCGTGTAAATTTATCGCGCTCACGATTTGGATGTGAAATTTTCTAGTACTGGATTTGAGTTGCTAGATGGTGCTGTTTCTGCATAAAACACTGTTGGTAAAACTGGAAAATCAGTTTCGCCAACTTGTTCTTCACGATATGGGGCGTGGCGTAACGGCGTGACTCGGAGCTTGGAATGATTTATGATTAGAAGTGGAAGGGATAGAAAGGGGTTATATGCGGTAGGTCAGGAAGCCGTCTGCCGCTGCTCTTGCTAGATTCTTATGGCAGAACAAATTGTAAAATAATTAATAGGTATTCTTTCCGCGTGTATTAAGATCTATGCCGCGTGCATCGGATGTCGCTCGAAATAAAATGAAATATGCACAGATGTGAAAGAATTCGTAGAGATTCGAGAATTACCTCTGAGAGATCTATGCTCTGAGTTTGATTAGGGGGTTAAGAAATGCCAGAGAATTATAAATAAGATAGGTAGATATTGAGGTAATTCGGGTATGGGTCGAATTTTTGATACGTATTTGATTGGAATTAGATCTATGATAAAAAGAAAGGGCACAATATGGTAGTTGTAGGCGTGGCAAGGTGAAATGAGGTATAGGCATAGATATTGGGGTAATGGGTAAATAATATATCTCAGGTAGATAGGTATAAGAAGAAGAAATTAGGTATTTCAATTCATTGTGTTCAATTACGTGTGTATTATCCAACGTGTTATACAGGGTGGGCCACCAGTAACGCCTCGGTCTCTAGAAGGCTAACCACTTATCTTCTTGGAATTCTTCCTCTCTAGGAAGTTGCATGTCAACATAGGCTACCATTTAAAATTATTTCGAAACATACAGGGTGTCCCCAAAAACTGAAATATAGGGTGTGAAAAATCGAGATTTTCCAAGTTCAAGAAATTTTTGTGTCGAAACTATTCATAATTGGTCAAAACGGCTTACATGTCCCTATCTCAACTTTTGATTAACTATCTACTGATATTTAATTGGGACATATACCGGGTGATCAAGATTCTGAATTCTGCACCACCCTGTATTTGTTTCAATTGAATGTCAGTAGATAGTTGATCAAAAGTTGAGATAGGGACATGTGAGCCGTTTTGACCAATTATGAATGGTTTAGACACAAAAAATTCTTGAACTTGGAAAATCTCGATTTCTCACACCCTACCTATATCTCAGTAATTATAACTGCTAGACCCCAAGTATGATGGATTGTTGAAATCAGCTCACCAGGGAGAATCTCAAAATGAAATAATATATAGGGTGTTCGATTGAAAAAAAGTTCAACTTCAGTGTTTTGTGATTTTTGGGGACATCCTGTATGTTTCAAAATAATTTCAAATGGTAGCCTATGTTGACATGCAACTTCCTAGAGCGGAAGAATTCCAAGAAGATAAGTGGTTAGCCTTCTAGAGACCGAGGCGTTACTGGTGGCCCACGCTGTATAGCGAGCTATTGTGCAAATTTATATCGAAAAATGGTTAAAAGTGGAAATAAGTGTTGTTATCATAATTGTGGGAAAACCAAGAGAGCATACCCAAATCTACAACAATTTAGCTTTCCAAAATCCGAGCAACTCAGTCGAGAATGGGTGATAAATACAGGTAAGAAAAAATATGATTCAATAGGGTAAATGCACTGGTTCTCGACCATTTAACCGAAATGAATGAATACTTTCGAGTTTCAAAATGTACCTATATGGTGTGAATATTCCAGTAAATACATATTGTTGCACAACCAAAATGCTATTTCAATCTCACAACGAAGAAAAAAATAACTTAGTAGTGAATGATCATTGCAAAATTTTCCATTTTTGAGATTAAGAAGAACAAGGCCACCATATTGAGACTTGCGCCATATTTAATGTGGAATAACGTATCGTTTTTGGTCAATATCAAATGCCTTTTGATCAAGTAGTTAGATATATAGATATCCCTTTTCGAATATTCATATTTTGTGAGGTTAAGTCCATATAAACAAACATCTGTGCTAGATATTTTTTCAGTACATATTAATGTATAAAGTATTGAAGAACAAAATGAACATTTTCGATCGCTGGAAAAAAAAAACAAAAACATATTCTAGTAGGTACCTATACCTACCTGTTGACTAATTTTTCTTGCTTCATATTTTCATAAACACTCGAGACATCAACAGTCCTTTAATTGAAAATTTCTTGACAGTTCTAACAACCATTCGAATTTCATTATTTTGTGTCATATGATACAATTTCACCCAATCATGTTAATATTACATTGATAATTGCATTCAGTGCAATTATCAATCACTATGACAACACGATTGTCAAGTAAATTTTCCGCTGAATATCCTTCCGACATTGACAAATGCGTCATAATATTATGACTTATTTCTCAAGCTCGTCCTGGGAAGGAGCTTTCGATTGTCATAAAATTATCTCGTCTATTATTAATGTCCTAGGGATATTACTACTGATAACTAAACTCACCTGCTTACTTAAATCACAGTAGGTAACCTCATACCATCACAATATAGATAATTTCAAGAAAACAAATTAGCCAGAGTTGCACAGCCCCCTTGCCAAGCAGTAGTGACGCCCATGGAATAAATGAAAGGGTGTATATTGTCATAGATCTAAATCATAGATCCGGTACTTATATAAAACATACGTATTTAATTTATATACTTATGATTCGTTTTATCGTTTTATGATTCATGGTTGAAACTTCAATAGTGCATGATCCGATTATTCCGATTTAGTCCGTAATTAGTTAGATATCTATGGTTAGATCAACGATTTATGAATCTTCCATATTACGATATTACCCATTCCCCCTCTACGATGCCACATTGTTTATTTTTAGACACGAATTCCATTGAACAAGCCCCGCCTACGATTTACCCAGAGATTATACACACCCTCTGATTTAGCTAAGGTTTATGAAAAATTAGCGATCTGTTATTTTTAGACGTTCGGCTACTACCTAATAGATGGCAAATAATTCGCACAGGCAGAATGTTCGCCATATACGTTGACCATCTATTGTGTAATTAGATCTATGATCATATGGAAAATCTTAGGGTTTTTCACTTACCCACATGTCCGTGCGTCTCGGCGGCGATCTGCTCCAAATCGACGTCATCGGCCAGCTTCATGTTCTTGGTGTGGATGCGCAGCACCTCCAGCCGTCCGGTGGCATCAGGTATGCCGATGTCGATCTCGCGGTCGAAGCGGCCGAAACGCCGCAGAGCTGGGTCGATCGAGTTCGGCCGGTTGGTGGCGGCCATTACGATCACGTGCGAGCTCTTCTTCATGCCGTCCATGAGGGTGAGCAGCTGGGACACGATGCGCCGCTCCACCTGGGAAATAGGCAAGTGAACTTGTTTTTTTTTTTAATTTCTTATGCAGAGTATGCCACGACTAGAGTTCCTAAATGTACTTGACACTGCTATTCCGACGTTTTTTGTATAGGTCGCGTGCACGAAGACCGACCCTGGAGGCAAAATATTGAAACACAACCTTATTCTTCTGTGAATTATAGAAACACAACCTCACTTTTTTATTTGGTTACAGAGGAATCAAAAGGTTGAAATAGTTTTTCACAATATTTTGGCATACGAATCGTGTTTCTTGCGTTATTCATTAATTCAAGCATGCCTTCGCATTGTGCTGTTGTACAATGCACAAAAAATGCAGCAAGAGACTAGGGAATATGATTTTTCAGGTAAATAGTAATCTCACATAGTTAGCATTATGAAATGTTGTCATTCCTTATTAAAATTCCTTCTGCCTTCTGCCACTTCTGCAATACAAGCTAATGCTGCTAAATGTGTAAATGTCTACAACACACACGATCGTCAGCATGTCAGACCAGTCCTACCGATTGATTGCATGAATCCGATCTTCTTGCATTATTCTAGAAATTTCAGGTATATTTCTATTAGCTGATCCTATTGCAGAAGGAACTCCGATGAGAAATCAGAGAAATAACCAAATTTCAAAAATGAAAACTATGTGAGTGACTATAGTAGGTACTTACTTTTGAATCATAATGTACCATCCGGATTTCTTCATCTTCCGCTGCAGTTTTTGTGCATTTTACAACAGCACAATGTGAGGGCATTAGCGAATTGATGAATAGCGGAAAAATACGATTCATATGCCAAAATAATTGTGGAAAACTATTTCGATCACTTGTAAACAAATATGTTTTGCCTCCAGGGTCGGTCATCTGACAGTTCTTGCACGCGACCTATATCAGAGTACGGACACTATGACAATCACTGACATTCAGACATAACCACAAATAAATTTATGGAAGAAGCGGGAACTGACAGTACACGGACGTACATGACACAAATTTCAAAGGTTTGACAAATAGAATTTTATGTTGATACGGAATTCTGAAATTCATAATCATGAAACAAGACAATATAACTTGTTTCATCTTGACGCCGCTAGCTCCATTATCGGACAAAAAAGATTCACTCATTCAGCCTTAACTGAATTCAATAAACTACCTGACAATATAAAAAATTGCAGAAACATAGGTTCATTAAAAAATGAAGTGAAAAAATTGATTATTTCTGAGCAAACTGGATAAAATTGAACATGCCATTTTTTTTTTTTTTTTACAAATATTATTCTTTGTTTGTCAATTTACAGTTGTTGATATATTTTGTATAATGATATGTTTACCTATAGGTATATAATTATGTACTTCCTTATACCAGAGCCTATTCTGTCTGGAAGTTATTTGTTCAATAAATAAATAAATAAATAATTAGGAGAACGATGCAAGTTTGTGCAGTTTCCAACTGTGAGAACACGGAAAATCAATTCACTCTATTCGAATTTTCATCGGATAACGAAATTCTACAAAAATGGAAACAGAATATGATGCGGCCGGCATGGAATATAGGTTCAGACCACAAAATTTGCGAGGTATTATTTTTCAACAGCTGTTATTGTTGCCATATCATTTGTTCATTTATTAATTACTTATTACCTACCACTCTTGTACAAGTGAAATTGTTCCATACGAAATATAAGTCTGTTTTATTGGTTGAAGTTCATCAGTTTTTACCCCAATCTGAACTTTTGTGAAAAAAAAAATATTCAACTGAACGTATACCTACATAATATAAGAGACATATTTCATAAGGATAGTATATGTATTTTGTTGGTATATATGTACATACCATCTTGATATCAACTTCCATTGAGGTCCTTCAGCCTTTTCATTCAATATTTCAAGAAGAAATAATTTTCTACTAATCAATTTATCGTACCCTTTTACCCACTCAAGGAGACGCTACGCACTCTCATACAAAAATCAAAGACAGAGAAAGATATATGGATGTACCCTTCCCAGGACTTGTGGAAGAAGGAAGATGCGAGGATCCTTTATCTAAGCGAAAAACATATTCTTGTCCTTGTCTGGCAAAACATGATTTACTTCAAAATCGTTTGTGGTTATGTTTGATTGTCACTGCTTGTCTAGTGTCCGTACTCTAATATACACAAAACGTCAAAACAGCAGTGTAAAGTACATTTAGGAACTCTAGCCTACACTATCTCTACCTTGAGAATGCAAGAAATTTATGAGAATATGCATGCTTATATTCGAGATTACGCTCTCTTCGTTTAAAATATTTCCGACTTCTACTGGAAAGTAGAAACAACTTTGTTATTTTAAATGGATTACCCTGTATTTCATTGCATTTTTAGATTTTCCCTGAAGAGGACACTTGATGGGATTGATATTTCGGATTTTCAATATAGAGATTGTTGAAAATTATTGCATTATTCAAAATATTACATAATCTCTTGGAGATATACGTAACCTCAATAAATTCGCAACTATCAGCATGGTTTGGTGTAAAACAGGTTTTGGGCGCGGTGACCAGGTATAATTTAGTAATTTCTGGGAAACAATGAGAATCCACTCTCCAACTTATAATTTCATTTTGATTCTATTCATTTCAAGATTCAACTTCGAGTACCTAATGCATGTATTCAAGATACTATTGAAATATATATGTTTCGTCTTGATTAGTCATTTCATCAGGCATCCATAAATAATTTGGCTTATAATTTTTGACCAATCAAAAAATCAAATAACAAATATAATTTCATATTAAGTAGCCAATATCAAAATAAAGTCTCAATGCTATCAATACATCAACAGAATTTCTTAAACCCAAAAATATAAATGGAAACGGCAGCATAGCAGTCGCGTTAGCAATATCGCGGATTAGAATGACGTCAGCAGAATGGTGAAGGAGCCTAAACTATTTCCTTGAATTTTAAATTCTCAGCCTATCCAGAAAAAATAGGTCTGTTTGTTGTGCATGACATTTTTTTTTATCGCTTGGACAAGTGTAGTGGTCTGATGAATATATCCTGTTCATTGATGTGGTGTAGTCAACTGTAGTGGGATATCGTGATTTTAATTGCATATGGTAAAAAAACTCCTTGAAATTAAAATGGAATGGACATTGATGAAATAATTTAGTTTCTTGAATTCAGATAGGAAATCAATTAAAATTCTTCTGACGAGGGTTAATCAATGAAATCTGTTTGATCAGTGGTTGGATAATCCATCTAAGGATTAGAAACGTTGACCAAAATGATTAAATGATATACAAAACACTCAAGAGATTGTTGTTTATGCTCCAAAACAAACTCTTAACCCCTGATAAAGTGTGTGTTGGCGGTAAATTATCTTCAAATGTTGTGTTTCAATACTTTGACAATGAACACAAAGTGTACACCATATAACACTGAACGGTATCAGTGCTGCACAATCTACTCTGGTGTACAATATTGTAGTTATAGGAGGCACAGCTAACGGACCTAATAGGTATATACTAATTTTTCATAAACTTACCGGAAAAATGAAAATCTCAACATTGAGAACCGAGGAAAGTAGATTACATGTTGAACGAAAATCTAAGAAGAAGAAAATTCAAGGATGATCATTACCTCTCCGTGGGTTTTCTCTCTTTTGGGCGCGATCGCGTCCAGCTCGTCGATGAAGATGATCGCCGGCGAGTTCTTGTCGGCCTCCTCGAACGCTTTGCGCAAGTTGCTCTCCGACTCGCCGGCCAGCTTGCTCATGATCTCCGGCCCGTTGATCAGGAAGAAGAAGGCGCCGGTCTCGTTGGCGACGGCGCGAGCGATCAGAGTTTTTCCCGTACCTTAAAATTCAGAAAATAGTGTAATCGTCACGTATTTTGCCGAAGTTAACTTGACATTTCAATGGGAATCGGTGTGAAAATGTGATTTTTTTGAGATATTTTCAATCGACCAGTTGTTCATGATCTCCGGCCCGATGTTCAGGAAGAAGAAGGTGCCAGTCTCGTTAGAGAGGTTTGCCCGTACCTTGAAAATCAGAAAATAGTGTATTTGTCACATTTTTTGTCGAAGTTAACTTGACATTTCAATGAGAATCGGTGGAAAAATGTGTTTTTTTTTAGATATTTTCAATCGACCAGTTGTTCATGATCTCCGCCCCGTTGATCAGGAAGAAGAAGGTGCCAGTCTCGTTAGAGAGTTTTGCCCGTACCTTGAAAATCAGAAAATAGTGTATTTGTCACATTTTTTGTCGAAGTTAACTTGACATTTCAATGAGAATCGGTGGAAAAATGTGTTTTTTTTTAGATATTTTCAATCGACCAGTTGTTCATGATCTCCGCCCCGTTGATCAGGAAGAAGAAGGTGCCAGTCTCGTTAGAGAGTTTTGCCCGTACCTTGAAAATCAGAAAATAGTGTATTTGTCACATTTTTTGTCGAAGTTAACTTGACATTTCAATGAGAATCGGTGGAAAAATGTGTTTTTTTTTAGATATTTTCAATCGACCAGTTGTTCATGATCTCCGCCCCGTTGATCAGGAAGAAGAAGGTGCCAGTCTCGTTAGAGAGTTTTGCCCGTACCTTGAAAATCAGAAAATAGTGTATTTGTCACATTTTTTGTCGAAGTTAACTTGACATTTCAATGAGAATCGGTGGAAAAATGTGTTTTTTTTTAGATATTTTCAATCGACCAGTTGTTCATGATCTCCGGCCCGTTGATCAGGAAGAAGAAGGTGCCAGTCTCGTTAGAGAGTTTTGCCCGTACCTTGAAAATCAGAAAATAGTGTATTTGTCACATTTTTTGTCGAAGTTAACTTGACATTTCAATGAGAATCGGTGGAAAAATGTGTTTTTTTTTAGATATTTTCAATCGACCAGTTGTTCATGATCTCCGGCCCGATGTTCAGGAAGAAGAAGGTGCCAGTCTCGTTAGAGAGGTTTGCCCGTACCTTGAAAATCAGAAAATAGTGTATTTGTCACATTTTTCGTGGAAGTTAACTTGACATTTCAATGAGAATCGGTGGGAAAATGTGATTTTTTTGAGATATTTTCAATCGACCAGTTGTTCATGATCTCCGCCCCGTTGATCAGGAAGAAGAAGGTGCCAGTCTCGTTAGAGAGTTTTGTCCGTACCTTGAAAATCAGAAAATAGTGTATTTGTCACATTTTTCGTGGAAGTTAACTTGACATTTCAATGAGAATCGGTGGAAAAATGTGTTTTTTTTTAGATATTTTCAATCGACCAGTTGTTCATGATCTCCGGCCCGTTGATCAGGAAGAAGAAGGTGCCAGTCTCGTTAGAGAGTTTTTCCCGTACCTTAAAAATCAGAAAATAGTGTAATCGTCACGTTTTTTTGCCGAAGTTAACTTGACATTTCAATGAGAATCGGTGTGAAAATGTGTTTTTTTTTTAGATATTTTCAATCGACCAGTTGTTCATGATCTCCGGCCCGATGTTCAGGAAGAAGAAGGTGCCAGTCTCGTTAGAGAGGTTTGCCCGTACCTTGAAAATCAGAAAATAGTGTATTTGTCACATTTTTTGTCGAAGTTAACTTGACATTTCAATGAGAATCGGTGAGAAAATGTGTTTTTTTAAGATATTTTCAATCGACCAGTTGTTCATGATCTCCGCCCCGTTGATCAGGAAGAAGAAGGTGCCAGTCTCGTTAGAGAGGTTTGCCCGTACCTTGAAAATCAGAAAATAGTGTATTTGTCACATTTTTTGTCGAAGTTAACTTGATATTTCAATGAGAATCGGTGGGCAAATGTGATTTTTTTGAGATATTTTCAATCGACCAGTTGTTCATGATCTCCGCCCCGTTGATCAGGAAGAAGAAGGTGCCAGTCTCGTTAGAGAGTTTTGCCCGTACCTTGAAAATCAGAAAATAGTGTATTTGTCACATTTTTTGTCGAAGTTAACTTGACATTTCAATGAGAATCGGTGGAAAAATGTGTTTTTTTTTAGATATTTTCAATCGACCAGTTGTTCATGATCTCCGGCCCGTTGATCAGGAAGAAGAAGGTGCCAGTCTCGTTAGAGAGTTTTTCCCGTACCTTAAAAATCAGAAAATAGTGTAATCGTCACGTTTTTTTGCCGAAGTTAACTTGACATTTCAATGAGAATCGGTGTGAAAATGTGTTTTTTTTTTAGATATTTTCAATCGACCAGTTGGTCATGATCTCCGGCCCGATGATCAGGAAGAAGAAGGTGCCAGTCTCGTTAGAGAGTTTTGCCCGTACCTTGAAAATCAGAAAATAGTGTATTTGTCACATTTTTTGTCGAAGTTAACTTGATATTTCAATGAGAATCGGTGGGCAAATGTGATTTTTTTGAGATATTTTCAATCGACCAGTTGTTCATGATCTCCGCCCCGTTGATCAGGAAGAAGAAGGTGCCAGTCTCGTTAGAGAGGTTTGCCCGTACCTTGAAAATCAGAAAATAGTGTATTTGTCACATTTTTTGTCGAAGTTAACTTGACATTTCAATGAGAATCGGTGGGAAAATGTGATTTTTTTGAGATATTTTCAATCGACCAGTTGTTCATGATCTCCGGCCCGATGATCAGGAAGAAGAAGGTGCCAGTCTCGTTAGAGAGTTTTGCCCGTACCTTGAAAATCAGAAAATAGTGTATTTGTCACATTTTTTGTCGAAGTTAACTTGACATTTCAATGAGAATCGGTGGGAAAATGTGATTTTTTTGAGATATTTTCAATCGACCAGTTGTTCATGATCTCAGCCCCGTTGATCAGGAAGAAGAAGGTGCCAGTCTCGTTAGAGAGTTTTGCCCGTACCTTGAAAATCAGAAAATAGTGTATTTGTCACATTTTTTGTCGAAGTTAACTTGACATTTCAATGAGAATCGGTGGGAAAATGTGATTTTTTTGAGATATTTTCAATCGACCAGTTGTTCATGATCTCCGGCCCGATGATCAGGAAGAAGAAGGTGCCAGTCTCGTTAGAGAGGTTTGCCCGTACCTTAAAAATCAGAAAATAGTGTATTTGTCACATTTTTTGTCGAAGTTAACTTGACATTTCAATGAGAATCGGTGGGAAAATGTGATTTTTTTGAGATATTTTCAATCGGCCAGTTGTTCATGATCTCCGCCAGTCTCGTCGGCGACGGCGCGAGCGATCAGAGTTTTTCCCGTACCTTAAAAATCAGAAAATAGTGTTTTTGTCACATTTTTTGACAAAGTTAACTTGACATTTCAATGATATCCGCCAGTCTTGTTGGAGACGGCGCGAGCGGTGGTATTTTTCACAGCTTTTTTTCGTCAAAGTAAACTTGTCGTCACCAATGAGGATTTTGTTGGCTGGAAGATAAACGAAAATTTTTAAGAAGAATCAAAGTGAAGTATTGATTTGATTGAAAATTAAATTTTTTGAGGTATTTTCAATGGTTTTTTCCAAATTGCTCCTTTACTGAGTCAATGTTCATAAAGCCATTATTTTTGTATCATCTTAACCTATTTTTCTGTGTGAAAATCAAGATGAAGAATTGATTGGTTTGAAAATTTGATTTTTTGACGTTTTTTCAATCGTTTTTTACCAACTTTCTCCTCCTCCAAGGTACGTAAGTCAATGTTTATACAGTCATTCATTTTCTCTCATCTTAACCTGGAAAAATCGAAGGGAAAAATTGATTTGTTTGAAAATATTTATTTTTCAAGGTATTTTCAATCGTTTTTTCCAAATTGCTCCTTTACCAAGGTATGTTTATACAGCCATTCTTTTTCTCCCATCTCAACATATTTTTCTATGAAAAAATCAAAGTGAAGAATTGATTGGTTTGAAAATTAGATTTTTTGAAAATCGCTCCTCTCCGGAAGTCAATGTTTATACAGCCAAAAAAAAAACAAGATGAATTGACAGGTTTGAAAATTTGTTTATTTGAGGTATGAGTGAACCTCCTTAGTACTAATATAAAATTAACAGCATCAAGGTAAAATGAGACATGTTGTTAAGTCTGGTGATCATGAAATTCATAGAATTTTTTTGAAATAAAACTGGATTCCCCCTTCCTATTGACCCTACCGAAATTTATGATTTTTTTTCAATTATACCGTTTCTCCTTTGTTTCTCTAGCAAAATTTCTGAAATTTGGAACATCGAATATGCTCACTAGAGGGCACTTTCTCACATTCTAGGATTGTTTTCATCTTCCGGTTTCTCTGGAAATTACATCAACTTTCGATTTTCAAATAGAACACCCTGTATTTTATTCCATAATCGGTAAGGGAATAATATGGATTCAGCGATACCTGGTTCAATTGGGTTATTTCAACCGGTCACGAAGATATTCGCGTTTGAAGTTTCCATGTGATCAATGAGTGTGACAGAGAAAGAAGTTTTGATATTGCGCGAAACTTCGAACGCGAATGTCTTCCTAACAGTTTTAATTAACCCAATCAAACCCGGTATCCTTGAATTCGTTACATTAATCCCGAACCGATTATGGAATAAAATACAGGGTATTCCATTTGAAAATCGAAAGTTGATACAGTTTCCAGGGAAACCGAAAGATGGGAAAAAAATCCTGAAAGGAGAAAGGCTCTCTGTCCCAAATTTCAAAAATATAGCTAGAAAAACAAAGGAGAAACAGGGGGTATACCATGAGTCACCTGGTATACTAACATGATATTTTTCCGACAACTATGGACTGTATATAAGCTAAGGGCCGGTTGCATAAAGAAAAATTAATCATACAATCAACTGATGCCACAATAACTTTGATGTTATGTTAAATGTCATTTGCGTTGCATAAACAATCTGATGTTATAATAATCATTCCATTTACTAATGACGAGAAGGGCGTGGCAACAGCGCTAAATCTGTTTGCTCCACGCGTTCCGCGCATTGTTGATACTCATTTTAGGTTAGGTTTATTTGATTGATTAACATTCAGATTGACAGTAGTGCAAGAAAACCTGAATCGAGTATTGATATCATTGCCAACCATCATACATTTTGAACGGATTGTTTCTATTTCGAAAGGTTCTTGACTTGGAAATCAGTAGTTCTTCTTCAGATAGTGAGGACATTGATGCGATAGATATTTTCTGTAAAACCTATAATAGTCATTCACTTACATTATTGTGTTCATTTACCTACTCTACCTTTTTGAAATGAAACAAGAACTAAGAAGAAGAAACATTCTGAGAAATATTCTAAATAATTTGGCAGAATTCTCACAAGTCATTTGCTGGTTGCCACTTCAATCAGTGGTCGAGCACTGATCAAGTTGATGCCATGAATAAGTCGATTTGATGTGACATCTAAAGTTGATTGGCCTTTGTGCAACCGATTTTTTAGTTAAATAGTCATTATTATAAGTTAATCAGATGATTAAGTAACCATGCCATTAAGTACATGATGGGCCTTTCATGCAATCGAATTCCATTTATAACGTCTCATCAAATATTTGAAGTGGCATCAAATAATTGATGAGCTTTTATGGCCCTATTAGTTTGATATTTTCAATTTCTGCAAGTAGTCAACAAATGAGCGGTCCATTATCGAAAAAAGAATCTGCCCAAATGTAAAATTGGAATGGCACCAAAAACAGATATTTTTACCTGGTGGTCCGTACAGCAAAATGCCTCTTGGAGGCTTCACGCCGATGGCCTTGAATAGACTGGGATGTCTCAGCGGCAGCTCTACCATCTCCTTGATTTGGGCCAGCTGCTTTCTGCAGCCCCCAATATCGTCGTAGCCCACTGCGTTCAAGGCCTCTTCTTCTTCCTCACGCTTGAAAAATGGAAGCATTCCCATAATGTAATATGATGAGATTCCTGTTTTTTGATGATTATGTTTTGCAATACAATTGTGCATTTTGGTCAGGGAGTTTTACAATGATCCACTATTTTATTGATGAACAATTATCATAGACTAAACATATAGATTACCTGAGAAAAAAGCTAAATCCAATTACTGGCATTTTATACAAAATTCGAAATTCAATTCCTCTTAGATATTTGAAGAATATATATTTGTATCTGATTTACTCGACATTACAATATTTAATATTAATTTGGGGAAGCACAAGCATATCACATTTGAAACCATTATGAAATTACACAAACAATCAAGTCCATTTACAATTGACATTACCTGGAACTAGAGTCCCTGTATGTATTTGACACTTTTGCTGTAATAAGAGTACGGACACTATGACAAGCAGTGACAGAAGGCATAACCCTAAAAAATTTGAAATGACATGAACAATTTGGCGGGCACTGATAGTTCATGAACGTACATGACATTAAATTATTTGAAAATTCAGGTTTTCAAAAATTAAAATGTCTAATTGTGTAGTGGAGAATTGCAAAAATGGAAGCGAGTCCTTTCATTTATTCCATTTCCCCCCATTCTAACCAACTACAGTTACAGAAATGGTAAGAAAAAATGAAGCGGCCACTATGGAAATTGAATTCAGGTAGCAATATTTGCGAAGTAAGTACTCAATATTTGAATTTTTCGATTGAATATGATGCATATTCGAAAGAATAATATCATTTATAATTTCAATTTTAACATTATAGGTGCACTTCAAATGTGAAGATTTCATAGTGGAACATAAATACCATCAAATTGAAAGAAAATGCGGAGCCTTCATTCCATCATCAGAAGGATTATCGAAGACATTCCTTATCGAATTCTTTACAATTTTTACGAGGAAAAATTCAAGTAGAATACCAAGATGAAATTAAATGTATTTTGGATCACAAACAAGAAATTATCGAAGATTTAGAGGGAAGATATGCCGAAATTCAAAATTTATTAATAGTTAATGATGAAAGATACAGAAAAAAAAATCAAAGAAAAGGACGAACATTTGAAAAATAGCTTGAAGCAAAGAGATTCTGAAACAAGACTGCAAGTTATGAATATTTTGAATCGACTCAAGACCCAAATTGATAGTGTCGGAATATATTTCAACCAAAATTATAGTCAATTCCAGTATTTTAAAACGCGAATCAATGAAATCGACTACAAATTGAAAGGTATTCTAAGTGAAGTTGCAATTTTTTTTTTTTTTTTTTTTAGTAGGTATATTATCTTTATTATTATTCCCAAGAAACATACATGTTTATAGCAGGGAAAATTATGAAAGAGCAACTAAGATAAAACAAAAATTAGATAATTTATGAGCAACATATTTTTCATAATTCTAAATATAATGGTAATAGATGGAATGCAGAGAGTGTCGAAAAAGCTTCAGTCATAAAATTCATGTGTGGATCATCCGGTTATGAAACATTACTCAAATTTCAGTATCAATTACCATCACTACGAACTTTAAATAGGAAAATTTCAAATATTAATTTCGAGCCTGGTATATTGAATGAATTTTTTCATTATCTAAAAATAAAAATCCAAAATCTTCCTACATGTGAAAGAGATTGTTGTCTTTATTTTGCTGTGTGGAAAAATGGCAACGAGCGACTCTGGACACAAAAATATATTGTGTAAGCTCTAACGTGCAGCCATCGTCTTTCAGCTAGGCGCGATGGTTATTAGATTGTGAGCATTTAAATTTTATGTTGCCATATTACCCCACTTTACTCAACCATTATTTGAAATTTTGTATTCTTGTCATAGGATATACTATTCTTGAATTATAATCATTATACTTGTATTTGTCGAATTTTCCGATCGTTCATGCCCTATGAAGTGTCTTAGTATGTTATGAGAACAAATATAAGTTTGTTAATTGGTTGAATTGTTCTTCCCATTCATTTACATTCTGCCCATCAGAACTGGCTACTAAATCTTGACTCTATCTATTGAAAAACTAGTGCATCCTAAAATCAAATAAATTGAAGTACATATACCCTTTGTTAAGTATATTGAGAAATACTTTCAACAAATTGATTTACAAACTATGACCCCTTTTCGCCAGTGAGATGAGACACCACTTCTTTATGAAAATAAAGACAGAGAAAGATATATGGATGTACCCTTCACCGCGGCAGTAGAGGATAGAAGATCCGAACTGCATGGAAAAGCATATCCATGTCTTTGTTCAAAAGTCATTTTGAGAATTTGGGGTTATGCCTTCCGTCACTGCTTGTCATAGTGTCCGTACTCTTATTACAACAAAACTGACAAATATATACAGGGAATTATACATACAGGGACTCTACCTGGAACCAACTATTATTTATTTTATTTATTTATTTATTGAACAAATAACTTCCAGACAGAATAGGCTCTGGTATAAGGAAGTACATAATTATATACCTACATATCATTATACAACATATACCAACAACTGTAAATTGACAAACAAAGAATAATATTTGTATAAAAAATGGCATGTTCAATTTTATCCAGTTCGCTCAGAAATAATAAATTTTTTCACTTCATTTTTGAATGTACCTATATTTCTGCAATTTTTTATATTGTCAGGTAGTTTATTGAATTCAGTTAAGGCTGAATGAGTGAATCTTTTTTGTCCGATTATGGAGCTAGCGGCGTCAATATGAAACAAGTTATATTGTCTTGTTTCATTATTATGAATTTCAGAATTCCGTATCAACATAAAATTCGACTTCAAACTAAGAAATCTGTTGAATTTATCATCTTTATGTAAAATGAAAATTTGTTCTTTTATTCATTTTGTGAGAAAAAAAAAATAAAAATATCCAACTTGAACTTCAAATAGTAAATACAATTCATACTCATGAAACGAGACAGTTGAATTCATTGATAACAAACCCATATGACTCCATTATTGGTAAACAATCAGTATTCTACAAGGGAATCATTTTATATAATTCGTTACCTTATGATTTGAAACATATTGATGAAGAAACATGATTCAAAGTCAATATGAAAAAATATACTCATGACACTATAATTTGAATTCTTTCTTTGTTTATTCAACAGAAAACAACTACTTTTCTGGCTATATGCCACGTCGAACATTGTTTCAAATCTGTTGAACATCCAAAAAGAGAGCATGAAAAATGAAAATCCTCTGAAATTGAGAATTGACTTCCATCTCTCAAATCGGGTAAAAAAACAATAATGTAAATCTGTTCAAAAAAGCAATATTCACAAAGTAAATTGTATTATTTTCGAAAATCAAGGTTGATAGAAAAGAAAAAGATGGGGTAAATTCATAAAGGCCAGTGAATATTCTTCTCAAAAATCATAATAATCCCGAAAAAATAATCACAAGTTCAAGATTATCCATAAAGCTGGGCGAAACTAAGACAATGATCCAGTGATTCAAATAAAAATTCCAAGTCAAGTAAAATGCTTTATTCGATCAGGGGCTCACCTTGATCGGATCACCATCACAATGGATGACAGTGTCTGGGGCCACGATGCAAAAGGGGGCGGGGTCAGTTTCCACCACTTTGAACTCAATGGCGCGCATGCCGCCGCGCACTATGAATACGTCATCCTTGTGAATGGGGCGGTACGCCTCGAGAAAGTAAGGCTTCAGGTAGACCTCAAACAGGTTGCTGAAAAACACGTGAATCACAATAGGCAAGTACAATACAGGGTGTTACAGAACTATGGGATCAAACTTCTGGGAGTTATTCAGTGCAACAGTAGAAAACATTTGAGTAGTGGGACCCATGTTCGGAAAAGTGTCACTACGGCCCTAAGACGCGTTAAAATTCAGAAATACGATGAAATGAAAAAATAGGATTTAATGCATTTGATGTTTGCCTTCTGTACATGATATCATCACAACAATTGTTCAAAATGTCAATGTCAATGTTTAAAAATTTTATACCATTTACCGGCGCTTGTGAGTTGTTGAGTTTTAAAACGATAACAGAGATTTTTTTATCATATTCGTGAAGTTTGCAAGAATTTAACAACAACAAAATTATTGTTGCTAATGGAAAACTTTACCAATCAAGAATGGGAAAGACCACTGAGGGAAGAAATCCGTGCAAACCTCTTTCAATAGACGAATCATGATTTACGTTTGATGTACAATCAATATTATGAGTTGAAGTTGAAGGGAATCGAATCTATAGCATTTTGAAAACAGCATATTTCATTCGATATTTCCAAAAGCCAAATATGAAGGTGGAGCCGTGACGTATTAGTCCCGAACTGTAGCTATCTCTCTCTGATACCTTGCCATTCTGCAGTGTTGCAGTGTGATTGGTCAGCTCAAGGACAATAGGCGTGTTGGGCTCGGTTGGGACTAATACGTCGCACCAGTCACACCAATGAATTGATACCATTTCAAATGGCGCAGGAATTGTGTGTTTTGAAATAGACATATTCTAATTTATTTTTTTCATCGTCCTAGCATGAATGGAATAATTCAAAATTGATTCACTGGTAGTTTTTCAGTGTAGAGTTCAGGAAGATGTCGTTTTAAAAAATCAGTGGTCTTCCCCATTGGCGGATATACATTTGGCATACGGAGCAACGAGCTGCAATGCACGAGCAGCAGCGCGGTAGTATCAAGAACGTTATCCCGAACGACAGCATCCGGGATACAAAAAGTTTATTGCTATTCATCGGCGGCTCCCCGAGATAGGCATGTTTAAAACCAACATGCATGATACTGGTGTTGCTCGAACCGTAAGAACGGTCGAATTTGATGAAGAGGTCCTTCAGCGAGTTGCCGACGTTATCCTTACCACTTCCAGAAAGTTCAAGGATTGACTGCAGCCGATTATCATCCTAGAGTTCAATTTTGTCAATGGCTTCTTCATGAAATCGCTGCACAACCAAATTTTTCAAACTATGTTTTGTGGACCGATGAAGCCTCTTTCACAAGAGACGGTATTTTTGATAGTAGGAATAACCATGTTTGGGACGAATAAAATCCCCATGCAATTTTTCATAGGAAACAACAGCAACGTTGGTCTGTCAACGTATAGACAGGCATTGTTGGTGATTATTTGATTGGGCCATACCTTCTACCGGAGCGGTTAATAGGACCTATTTACCGGCGTTTCTTGGAGGAAGTTCTTCCAGAACTTCTTGAAAATGTTCCACTAAAGCAGCATGATGGAGCGCCGGCTCACTTTGCTGTACAAGTACGTGAGGATTTGGCTCAGCGGTTTGGGCACCGTTGGATTGGCCTCCTAGGTCACCCGATTTAACGCCGCTAGATTTTTTCCTGTGTATTTCTGAATTTTAACGCGTCTTAGGGCCGTAGTGACACTTTTCCGAAGATGGGTCCCACTACTCAAATGTTTTCTACTGTTGCACTGAATAACCCCCAGAAGTTTGATCCCATAGTTCTGTAACACCCTGTATAGTAAAAATACTATGACGTTCATCACAATGAGAAAATGCATAATTTTTTTCAATTCTTTTATTCCTTCTAGATTTCTCAAAATAAATTTCCAAACAAATGTTGCGTTAGAACACGACGGAAAATCGTCAGCAGTACTGACGTCACAAGTTCTATAACGCGTGGACCATTGATTCCTAGTTGGGAAAAAAACGATAATTTAGTATTCGATTCTTCTCTTCTTTGAATATTTTAATAGGGGAAGTTTCCTATATTGAGGTTTTTATCTCACTGTGAAGTTTGTAAAAAACTAATATATACCTATTTTTTCTCCATTTCGTAAGATCAAATTTCACTTCAGAAAAAAATAAATAAAAGAGGAACATGGCTCCTCCACCATTCTTATGACGTACTTTCTGAAAATCCACATTCACACAGAGTTAACATACGATTCCCTGTGCCAGTACGACGTTGCCGACATCATCAATATGTCTAGATTTCCGGAAATCTTTCTTTGAATGCATAATTACTATATCATAACAGCAATGGGATAAAAAAGGTTCCTCAATCGTACTTTGTCAAGTATCAATAATTCCCATAAATCTCCCATTGGCTGAACGAAGTTTATTACTAATGGAGATAAATTATGATATTTTGCGATAGTATCTATAATTTTTCACTATCGTTATATTACAATATGTTGTTCATAACTTGTCAGTATTTTTTTTTTTTATAAATTCGTCCACACTACTCAAAATACTGACAGGCACAACAAGAGGAAGGAGCCATGGGTGTCGGCTTCATTCTGTTCTGACCGATGGCAGGAAGTTAGGAAGGATAGTATCATTGAATGTAGCCGATAGTGATTCATTGATTCAATGATATTTTCGTTTAGGATGGAGCTCTATTCGAGATATTTCAATGCATAAACAAGACCATAACCTGTCAGATTGAAGCCAACTACCTTCTGCATTCCTGCTCAGAGTGCATTTGTGGTTTTGTATGTTTTTGTTTACCAGTTTTACTTCTTCTAATTTTTTCGTTAGCTATTCGCTGGCTATACTCTTCACCATCAGCTATTTTCAGACTAGATTCAGAATGTACGTCACATTGTGCCGCCCCAAAAATTAGAAATTGCTTCAATTCGAAAATGAAAACGACTTGGACTTTATCGGTCGCCACTCTGTACAACGACATAAAACTGGAGAGTTCAGAAGTTATTTTATAAAAATTCATCTGAAGGAAACTTCCTCATTATCACTCCGAGATAATGGATGAAGACAGTTCAAACCTCACTTGTTTTTGTTTTCCTATACACAGGTTTGTGGCATGTTATGACATAGATATGTGATCAGGGATGCACCGGAATTCCGGCGGTATCACTAAATCGCTCCGACCTGATCGCTTTCCGGCCGTCATTTTCGGAACTTTTTGGAAATGTATAAGGTATGTTTCAAATTTTTAATGTAATTTGAATTTAAATATATGAAAAAATATAGGCAATTGTTTCAAGGTTTTTTTTATTGGTGCCTACTTACATATTGTTAAGTTGTTAATTAATCACAAATAATTTTTTTTTGAACAAAATATATTTTCTTTTGGAAAGCACAAACACAAAATTCTCTCAGAAACTTAAAACATGAACACCAGCAGACATAAATGCAAAGAAGGATTTTCTGTGAACAAATGAATAATGAAATGACCTGCAGCCTGCAGCCCTGTGCCTTTGCTTATGATTAGATCATAGCACTATCACTATTAGCAGGATAGCAGGCGTCTTGTCTGGGTCCTGTCCTGTGATTCCCCGACGTTCGCGCCTGGGATGCCCAGACTTTCGACCAGATCAGTGCTGCCAATGTGCGGAGGATCCTCCGAAAAGGGGTTGTTTTTAACGTTAGAGGTTTCTTTGGAGGAGGATTCACAAGAAGCAGAGGAAAAGGTTTTTTTCAGGCATCACTATAATTTTGTTACTCAACTTTAGTTGGGGCTTGCGCGCGCAACCTCTGACCATTGTCCCCTTACAACAATGTGCCGAAGTTACAATAATTTACAAAGTATTGATATATTTTTTGTTTCGCTGTCTCAATTCAAGCATAGACTATTCAGTGCCTTGAGGAACTAGTTTCACATATCTTAGTTCATATTCTTTTCGAGTTATGTATAGATATAGGTGTATATTTTTAGCGATCCAACTAATAATCATGTATTATTACATACACCTGTAAATGGGCGTAAGCCTGCTGGATGTATTAATATTAAATAAATAAATAAATGAATGATTGCCATGATCATGATCGAACCCTCCGTGAGTCTATGAAATCGGAGTCTGTGTTCTTGTTCTGTGCTTCTGTGGTGGTAACATGAATAAATAACCGTCGGTTTTAGTTTTCTGGACGGTGTCAATGTCAATGGTGTGAATGATGTCATAAATCTCTTTTACACTGTCACAACACAACCAATAACAATAAAAAAATTATGATATCAAATAAAAATAACAGATTTCATGAATATTTCCAGTTGTATTTCTCTCGCTAAATTCGGTAAGGTGAATCCACTGAAAAAATGTATATGCTCAAAACCAGTGTTTGGAAAAATACGTGATTCAATGAAAACTTTCAATAACAAATGTGTAGTTTGTTTATTTTGTTTTTTCTTTGCTTTTCTTCACATATATATGATTGTTCGAAAATAAATAATTTCTTTCATCAATATATATATTATTGTTCGAAAATAAATAATTTGATTCATCAATCATGTTTTTAATTCAAGAATTTCAAGATTCAAAATGTGTAGAAAATAGCATTTTATCCACAGAACTTAGAAAACACCAGAGACCTGAAGAGCCCACAATATGTCACAGATTAATTTGTTTCACGCGTCTCACGATTCCGTTTCATTTCATACCTTTTATAACGGTGTCGAGAATAGGAGGCTTTCGTTCATTTGCGGAGGATTTCACGTGCTAAAGAGAAGGAAGGGCTCGAATTGCATTGGCAACACTGGACCAGATATATTTTGTAATTGGCCAACACTCCAGAAGTGAAGTATAAATGGGTAGAATTGTTTTAATTTCGTTAATGCTGATTAAAACTTAATATTTAAATTTTAAATTAACAGTAAAATCTATCTAGGTAAAATTAATGGTAATTAACACTCTGCATACTGTAGCTAGTTAAAAAAAAGTAAAAACATATCAGCTTCAATATTTTCAATGTTTTACCTATAAAAATAGGCATGCACATATACATTTTAAATTTAGATCCAGGTCCGGCCAGAGGCCGGAATTACGGTACTGGCCCGATCGGCAAAATACCCGATCCGGTGCATCCCTAAAAGTGATGATGATGACCAGAATTTCAGGTTCATTAAAAAGTATACCAGAATCGTTCAGTTAGTGTTTTATGAACCTATTTAGACTAAATTTCGTCACAGCTGATGGAACCTACAACATGCTACAACCTACTGGATTACTAATCATGTCTCATGTCAGCTATAATCTTGAAGAATTGGAAATGAGGGAAACGATCTATATCATCCATACATACATACTATATTGAGCAAATTAACTTCATCAATGTATGTATATCACTAGTTCTAATGTTTCATAAAATTGTAGGGTATTCAAAAGAAAAGGTGTTTCTTGAAATAATACAGCAAATTTTATCAAAAAATTGATGCATTCATGCTATGTTACTACTATATTTCACTCATATGCACATTTAAATTGCATTCACCCATTTGTGTCCTTGCCTATCATGGCAATAATTTTCATGTCAAGAAAATAATTGGATGGTGACACTCCACATCTGGTAACTTATAATAAACAAATAATTGAATAAGATCTTTTTCCTCAAGTTTAGTCAATATTATACCCAAAATAAGTTCTATTAAACAACACCACTCAAAACTGCAGTAACTGCACCATCTAATTTAAACATCATGAAGCTCAATTATTGTGTTTCTAATCCATTACCATTTGAGCAACATAAGTTTGAAGATTTTTAGTACCATATATGAACTATTTCAATATCAAAAATCAAATTGAATGGTGCCAACACTCCACAGCTGGTAATTTGTAACAAATACATGAATAAATAAATGAATAATTGAACAAGATGTTTATTCTGAAGAACAGTCAATATTATACCCAAAATGGTGTATTAAACAAAACCAAACCCAACCTAACCTAGTGAATATGTGACATAACAGCACCAACATTTTAATGAAATGACAAAAATTTAATTGTGGTTGAAATTCATTGAAATTTCAAGAACATCAGGGGTTTTTTTAAATAAAAGTTAATGTAATTTTGTATGTTTTGGAGGTTGGTTTATGAGATACAAGATGTTGAAGTTATTTGAAAAAGTACTCCAAAACTGTTTTTTATTAGACTTCTCCCAGAGGGTTGCCTGAATAATATTCATGGTGAAAATCATTGAGTTCCATTGTTTTTTAAAGAGTTTCATATTTTTATTCAATTTAATGTTGGTTCATTTAAGACATCTTGTGAGAATGTGAGCATTATGAAAGAATATTATATATAGGGTGATAATGGATAAAGGGAAATAATATTGCCAATTTCAACAACCTGTGTATTGAAAACTGAGCGTCAAAACATACAAGTTTATATAAACTTTTTTTATATTTGCAAGTACCACCTCCTCTCAAATTTTCTGTTTGAAATCTGAATATTGAATAAATTTATAGAAACAATAATCATAATTTTTCTCCTCATGTTTGGGTTACTATAGTCAGCTATAGTTAAATATTATTGTATAGTTCAAATTTGAAATTATGGTGCACATTTTTGGAAAAGAAATGAAAACAATCATGTATGCCAACCTCAGCATGTACAATCCTTGTACAGTAGGAACAATTCATAAAGAAATATTCCACACAATCATTAGGCAATGGGTACTTCCCCCAGAATAAAAGTTGCTTATCATTGACCACAAATCTATTTTTAGGACAGGAAAATATAACATTAGTAATGAATGAAATATTTTGATATTTTTTCCTCTTTCTTCTGTATATCTAGGAACAAAGATATATGTAAACATGTAAATATTATCAATTTTTACTGATCAATTTAGAATTGTTTTTTTTTTTCATTGTGACAAATTGTATCTGCATTGGAAACAATCACCAGATGTGCCAAATTACTTGTCAACAGAAAATATAACAAATTATGGAAAATATTATTTTTCAATTTTATTTAAACCCCTTACCAAAATTAGTATTATCTATATATTACAGATATTAGAATTTTTCATCAAGTTATTTGGCTCAAGTAGTGAACATAATTTGGTCAGAGTGCATTATATTTTCTTACCCTGTAAGTCCTTCCACTGTATCATCAATAGGCAATACATGTATTCTTTTACCATATTTCACATCTGGGCAAGGCTGTATAGACACAACATCTGATAGACGAACTCTCAAATTATTTCTAACATTCCTGTTCATCCGGATTTTCTCATCACTACATGTCTCATCTGAAAGTACTATACATACTGTTTCTTTTCTTCTTTTGCCCTTAAGGAGAACTGTGTCCCCCCTGAAAAGCTGCAATTCATCCATTTTTGCCTGTGAAAGAGCCACAACTGAGTTGTCATCATTGACAGCTTCCTCAACCAAAAGCCTGTTTGGACGGTCCTTTTTACGGAGAATAGCTGTGGCCAAATCGTCGGGACTAGAAGTCGAAAATAAAAACAGTATAAATTACCCATTTCTTAAAAATAACTCTGAACTACATTGTAGAAAACAAAATGGATGCAACATCACTATCTTGAAATATATTGGGATCCCAACCAGGGAAAAATCTTTAGCAGACATTGAAAATATCAGAAGAGAATTTCCTATGTCCACCATGATGACATGTACATAATTTTTGCTGCAATCTAAAGGAAACCGGCAGCGGGGACGAAACAACCTCATACTTACTTTTTTCCATCGGCCATTTTCGTTAAATTAATATGCGAATATTAATGGACCTTAAACTAAATGTATATCACAAAAAACTACAAATGAATGAGCTCGATTTCACAATTTCTTAACACCAAGCACAAATAGGATGACGATCGTTAATTCTGACACAAAAAAGGCGATATGAGAAAGAATTTTATCAGAGAATGACGTAGCTTTTTTGATTTTTAATTTGACAGATGACAGAACACAGAGGTTTAGAGGTGGGAGGAAAACACTATCCATAAAATCAGAGGTGGGCGGAATATAATCGATATGTTAAAACACAAACTCTGTCCATCAAATGCAAACTATTGACTATTGATGAATCTGAATTATTTATTAGTTTTAAATGTAGAATATTACCAGTTGGATGACTTTTTATTATTTATTATTGGTGTCGAAATAAATATTAACGATTATCAATAATATATCGCCGCGACAATATGTTGCTCAATTTGGAACATCAGTCAGATAAGCAGATAATAATTATCATCAGTATCTAATGATATCTGTATCTCAAACAAACAATTAATTTCATATGATAGCATTAATTTTATTCCATTACTCATCCAAAAACATATTCTCGTGAATAGTATAGGATGGCTTGATAAAATAAAAATAATGTGAAACAATAACATTATTATCGAGAGAATATTTCTTAAATAATTCGATATGCTGACCTGTTGTATCAAAAAACATCATAAAAAGGATGATTACACACTTAATCAGAAAATCAAATCAAGAGAGCCACCAACGCAAACAGGTAATTGAATTAGTTTTTGCATTGTTTTCCTCATGTGGATTTTTTCCTTTATTTATTTATACGTTCCTTATGTTCCTTTTTCTGGCAGTTTTACTTGATACACACTGACTGAAATTTTGTAAATTTTGTTTTCAGTCCCAATCACTCCAAAACAAAATGATCCCGTAGATTTGAAAAATGGAACAGAAAATGAGCCAACTACTGGATCTTCACCACTACCAAGAAGGGTTAGAAGCTTGTCCGGCACGAGTTTTTACAGTATAAAATCATATAGATCTACTGATCAAGGAGACTATTACAGTGTTTGTAGTGAAAGCTCATTCAAAAGTATGTGATATAATTTAGTTTGATATATGAACCAATAAGGTGTAAATAAGTAATATGGGCAAAGCCCATCAATACATGGAATATGGATTCATATTCTCCTAATGAATATTGTAAATAGAAAGATTTGAAATATATAGCGGAATTAGACCATATATAGATTGTCCCCCAACACTTATTGTTGTGTTCATTACGGTCAGTCAATCTAATAGGGACACAACCACAAGACCATATGCACATGTGCCTTAAAAACTGTTTGGCTGCATTCTTCAGATTCTGCAGACAAGGAACATGGATTATGCACTTGGAGGGTGTAGGCAGGTGTAGGTGAAGTCCTCACTCCTGACACAGATCCCTGATCACGACGATAATGACGTCACAATTTCAATCCTCTGAGAACTAGTTACCAGTTATATCTATACCATATTATTTTTATTAGATTATCTGAATAATCCGAGTCTTTCGAGTCCTTGAAGATGGATTCTAATAATTAATATACCAGGTTCCGACGGTATTGAGTTGCATATCATCTGATTTTTGTATATTTTGTGTTCATTGAATTCATGATGAAATAGGCAGCCTGGTGCGCGTGGCATGCGCAGTAAACAAAATGGGGTAACGAACATCAATGACACAGACCTTTTTTCTCGACCAATTCTCAACAGTTTTACAGTGTAGTGCGACAACTGTGATGACGTCACCTGTACATAGCTGACAGTCATATGACACATGATGCTGCGATGACAAATGACAATAATGACATTGACAATGCCCTATTCCTATTAGAAATGGCCACGTCTGACGTACGCAGGGGCGGCGAGTTTTGTTTTGCCCAATGGGTGCCAAAATGGAGGGGTTAGGGCAAGCCAAAAAAAAAATGCGCCGCAGGCGAAAAATTTTTATGGCTCAAGGTCAAATGCCTTCAAATTTGAAGATAGCTTGATGCAATATTGATTCTGCATTACGTGTGAAACACCCCTACTAGAATATAATGTTTTTTGACTAATCGGGTTTCGGGTCTGTTGTTAATATCAACATAAACAAAGGTACATCTTCGTTTCGGCCAATGGGTGCATTGCACCCATACCTATGGTCTACATGGGTGCATTGGCCCCGATGCCCCCATGCACTCGCCGCCCCTGGACGTACGATATAAATATAAAAATTAATTTGGATGTGATCACTCTAGAAGTGATTAGAAATTGGAATTATCAGAAACAGTTATTTTAATCCCACTTGTTTCCGTTGTCAGCAATTGGATGTAAATGAAAATCAGAAAGAGACCATCGTGAGGTTATGTTATTCGAAAATTCATTGTGTCTCAGTGATTGTGCATTATTGTAGACTAGCTCATTTCCTACCTAAACAGCCTAGGAATGTCCGACTTAGGGGAATGGTTTCGAAGTGTTCCATTTTTCACTCGCTATTGGTTTGCAGGATCCATAGTTTTCACTCTTCTAGGACGATTTAGCATAGTTAAACCATATAATTTAGTTTTACTGTATGAACCCTTGAAGAGATTCCAGATATGGAGACTTTTGACCAGTGTTTTGTATTACCCTATTCAGCAGGCTGGATTCCACTATCTCATCAATCTATATTTTTTGTATAATTATTCAAGAAGGCTGGAAGAAGGTGAGTTAAGTTCATATTTTTTCAGGAATGTACAAATAGGTACTTGTGAGTAAACAGAAGTGAAAAAATTTCAAACTGCAAAGTTTAAGATAATAAAAAAAAAGTTTAAGACCTATGTCCTTTGCCTTTGAGAATATCTTCAATTTTTTTCAGCTTATATGCTCCTACTCTTGGGCAGTGGCCCCTTTGCTGTATTGGCCTTACTGTTTTTGTATTGTAGCAATATTTGTAATTTTCATGACATCTTTTTTTAGGTGCTTTTGCTGGTAAACCTGCAGATTACCTCTTCCTATTAATCTTCAACTGGATATGCTGCATTATTCTAGGTTTGATTGCAGAACTGCCTGTAAGTACTTACTCAACCAATATTACCCTATAAGAAATTGCTAATATATCAATCCCTCAGGAATAATAATCCATTGTCATATTATTTCCTAAAGTAGTAAACTTCAAAAACTAAGAATAATGATAAGTTATATTAGTTGTGAATAAAGTATAGTACACTACTCACATTAATAAATATTATTCTCTCAGAATGTTATTCCCTCATGGCTTATGCAGCTTGGTTAGTGTCCTTGAGAGTTATAGCTATCATTATTGACTACTGGTATAATCTACTACCTATTAATGTTTCAATTTTTATTAACAATAATCAGAACCTACATAAACTTATTGATTAACAACTGAGAGAATTGATATCACATTTCTACCTCATTTTCTTAGCAATCACCGGAAAAAACTTCAATTACAAAAAACTTATAAAAAAACAGACATGCAAGTAGTCAATAACGAGTATGCCCTCAAGTTTATATTGCCGCTTATCAAATTTCTCAAGTAGTCTTGAAGAATTGCCTAAAATTCTCCTTGAAGGGCGAATCGTAGCTCTTGAAGAGTCTCTGACAAGGCCGGACGAAGGTCAATGAGCCTCTGGAGTTACAGGGCGAACAATTTGTGTTTTTTGGTGGCCGGTTTTTTTTTGCCGGGTGAGTGAATACAGTGAGCGGCAATATTATGGAACAAATTCATTTAAAAGTCAGGCCTGTGTTTCTTGGGAAAATGCTCGGACAGGTCGATTTTAATTTTTTCCTGCGGTTTTTATGGTAGTAGATTCATTTATACAGGGTGGCTCAAAAATAAGTTACGATGATCAACTTAATTTTTTTCAATGGAAACACTCATTTTTTATTTAATTTTTGAATTCGGCGTAAAATTCTAAGTATGTTTCATGTATCGCATTAGTCAGTTAAGTATGATACTGCTGAATACATTATTGATAGACCTTTCAATGAGGTATTACAAGACCCACATTTCAATTGAAAAAAATCAACGATTACGTCACCGTGTCAAAACTGATCAATTAATAAAAAAATCGCCATTGAAAATTAAAAATCGACCTATTTGTGACCCAAAAAAGAGTTACGATCATCATTTTCATTTTTACAAACCATCTTTTTTGTTCAATTTCAATGATGCGATACATGAAACATACTTAGAATTCTACGCCGATTTCCATTGTTTCCATTTAAAAAAATTAAGTTGATCATCGCAACTTATTTTTGAGCCACCCTGTATAAATGAATCTACTACCATAAAAACCGTAGGAAAAAATGATAATCGACCTGTCCGAGCGTTTTCCTAAGAAACACAGGCCTGACTTTCAAATGAATTTGTTCCATAATATTGCCGCTCACTGTATTATATACAGTGTGTCCCACTTACCATGCTCACCATGGGTATCTTTTTATCGGTGAGAGATACGAAGTCGGTTAAATGACACCAAATGTGGAGTTGGTCAAGGCCAACTATAATGTGAAAAAATATTTTGATAAAATCTATTCGTTTTTGTTTTATACGCAAAAAACAGATTTTGATCATTTTCATGTCTCCTCCGTAACTTCTTTATTTATGAAAATATTCAAATAGGAATTTCACATTCTCATGGCAGTTTTTCAAAGTGATTTCGAAAAAAATATGAAATTTATACCAACTCTTCTAGGATTTGAGATATCAGCACCAACTTTAGTTTTTCAAATGTAGGTCTTAGCTCACTATGACTTAGTTACAAATAACTTTTTTTTCTCTTACAGATGATATGTCGCAGTAATAGTTTTGAGTTGATAACAACGGAGTTATCGTCATTTATACAAAAACAAAAAATTATTTGGAAGCCGCCATCTTGAATTTATAAATTTTAACAAAAATATCATGATCTCCGACCTCAAAAACCCCCACTTATCAATTTTGAATGGAATCGGACCAAATCTTGTCCGCCATTTTTTAATTTCAACAAAAATTCCATAACTCCGATTAACTTGAAATTTGGCAGGTGTTCATAATTTCGGTGACAATACATTATGGAATTTTCGTTGAAATAAAAAAAAATGGCTGCTCCAAGATGGCGGACAAGATTTGGTCCGATTCCATTCAAAATTGGTAAGTGGGGGTTTTTGAGGTCGGAGATCATGATATTTTTGTTCAAATTTATAAATTCAAGATGGCGGCTTCCAAATAATTTTTTGTTTTTTGTATAAATGATGATAACTCCGTTGTTATCAACATAAAACCATAACTGCGCCACATCATCTGTGAGAGAAAAAAAGTTATTTGTAACTAAGTCATAGTGAGCTATGAGCTACATTTGAAAAACTAAAGTTGGTGCTGATATCTCAAATTCTAGAAGAGTTGGTATAAATTTCATATTTTTTTCGAAATCACTTTGAAAACTGCCATGAGAATGTGAAATTCCTATTTGAATATTTTCATAAATAAAGAAGTTACGGAGGAGACATGAAAATGATCAAAATCTGTTTTTTGCGTATAAAACAAAAACGAATAGATTTTATCAAAATATTTTTTCACATTATAGTTGGCCTTGACAAACTCCACATTTGGTGTCATTTAACCGACTTCGTATCTCTCACCGTTAAAAAGATACCCATGGTGAGCATGGTAAGTGGGATACACTGTAGAGGGTTTCAATTTCTCTCCAATAGATATTGATGGACCCCATGATCCTGTCCGTGCTCTACGTATGGTGCCAATTGAACAAAGACACCATAGTCTCCTTCTGGTTCGGCACCCGTTTCAAGGCCATCTACCTGCCCTGGGTGCTGCTAGCCTTCAACCTGGTCCTCAGCGGAGGCGGCATCATGGAGCTGTTCGGCATCCTGATCGGGCACCTCTACTTCTTCCTGATGTTCAAGTACCCCCAGGAGCTGGGGGGGCCGTCTTTGCTGCAGACGCCCGCCTTCCTGAAGGGATTGTTTCCCGATCAAGTGGGCGGGGTCCACGGGTTCGGCGTGCCTCCCGAGAGGGCGGCAGGGGCGCCTGGGGGCGCTCCCAGGGGCAGGGGCATGTTCGGGGGGCACAATTGGGGGCCAGGGCATACTCTCCATGGAAATTGAAAGGAACTTTTGATGGGAGTGTTTTTGTATGAGTGTAATATACTATACTACTACTACTAGTACTACTACAGAATACTACTTGTTAATTATTACTGTATGAAATTGTTAATTTATGAATAAAACATATATACCAGTTTGATCAATTATTTCATCAAAAATATTCAAAACATTCATGTATTTTTTGTAAAAACAATCAATGTGAGTACTTTTTTCCCGGACATACAATACCACATATATACAGTCTGTCCAAGATACGAAGTCGGTTGAATGGGGAAAAAATTGCGCATTCGGAAGCTCATATCAAGAGCCTTCGAAAAAAGTGAATTTTTGGAATATCTATTTTTTTTTCTCCGTTATTATTAGAGATACAGAAAAACTGAAAATATTTTTTTATAGCAACTTTTGATGACGTTTAACGTGGTTATCCGATTTTTGTATGCGACGTTTCGTATCCGTAGAGCCATCATCAAATTTTGTTTTTTAAATACGGTCCTGATAATTTCTTCACAGATTCTGAAAGGTTTTTTATTCTGAATTCAACTATGTATTATACAAGGCGATTCGAATGTGTTTCGACCTATTTCTATCCATCATCAATGTTTTTTCGAACTTCCAAAGGAAAAGTGCCATCAGTTCCATTTATTTCTGATCATTTAGTGTCAAACATTGATGGATCAGTTATTTAATACTGAAAAAGTGAAAAATATTTCACTACATTCAATGCAGCGCTTAAAATTGTTGATGAATTATCTTACACGAATTACTTTAACAACTTAACTTTGACAATAATACCTTCAGAAACATTCATTTAACAAATGTTCAAAATGATGATCATTATTTTCTGAACAAAAAGATATCCTCATCTCAGAGTTGCTTTTAAGACATTACTTAGCATTTCTGGGGTTATTCTATTGAATGCTTCGATGACACTGTCCCTTAGTTCTTCTTCATCATCAAAGCTATTTGCGTGTACAAAGTTTTTGATATATCCCCTAAAAAAAATCCAGCTGTGTCAAATCAGGTGACCGCGCCGGCTAAGGGACTGCAGAATGAGTACCAATCCATTTTTCTGGATAAAAACGCACGAACTTCTCTGGAATTATGTACCGGAGCGCCATCTTGTTGAAACCAACAGTTCTGAACTTCCGCAATCGGTAAATCATCCAGAGCTTCCTCAAAATGATTCTCAAGCAAATTTCTATAACGTTAGGAAGTCTGTGTTTCATGGTGAATAAAAGGACCAATAATTATTCGTGTACCAAATATTGCAACCTACATATTAAAGCCGAAACGGTGTTGGTGTCACGCTGTTATGTATAAATGTTCATTTTCTCGTGAACAATAATGTGTATTTTTTCTATCGAAAATACCATGATTAGTGACCATGCTTTCATCAGTCCAGATGATTGTTCGCGGGAAATCTGCAAAATTTTGACATTTCCTGGTATACCACTCACAGAATGTCCTGCGCCTTTCGTCATCGCCTGGTTTTAGCGCTTGACATATTCTGAATTTGTATGGATGGAATTTTTGTTTCCGCAAAATGAAATGGGTTGTTGATTGAAACCAGTTGATGAGGTATTAGTGTGTTGACTAATTTTCCTTCAAAATAAGTGGAACTGATGGCATTTTTCCTTTGGAATTTCGAAAAAACATTGATGATGGTAAAAAATAGGTCGAAACACACATAAACCACCTTGTATAATACATGGTCGAATTCAGAATGAAGAAACCTTTCAGAATCTGTGAAAAAATTATCAGGACCGTATTTAAAAAACAAAAGTTGATGATGGTTCTACGAATACGAAACGTCGCATAGAAAAATTGGTAGCACCACGTTGAACGTCATCAAAAGTTGCTATGAAAATGTATTTTCAGTTTTTCTTTATCTCTAATAATAACGGAGAAAAAAAATAAAATAGATATTCCAAAAATTCACTTTTTTCGATATAACTAAAAAACTAGAAATAATTTTAAAAATTTTCGAAGGCTCTTGATATGAGCCTCCGAATGCGCAACTTTTTCCCCATTTAACCTTATCTTGGACAGACTGTATACACTGTTTATTGCTTTTGTTAGAAAGAACTGCAAGTCCTTTTATCTTCCATTCGACTTCGCGGTTACGTATATTACTAAACAAACACTAGATTCGCAATTTTTTTATATATTTGATTACTTCAAAAGAATGATAAAGATGCCTACAACGCAGGTGTCCCTACTGTAAAAACTTAAAATTTCACGTCGATAATTTTCAGATTTCAAAATAGTGTAATATCTTCTCTATATTGATTCGTCTTTTCTTCTGTCACAGAAAAAAATAGTGTATTATACACGGGAAAAATATTAGATTTTAGTTCAACACAACCTGGAGCTAAAATCTACGAATCCACAGAAAAAATTGCTGGCTTCATCCTCGCTTGCGGAAAAGCACTTATTAGGTTAACTCAAATAAGAGAGTATAATGTCTCTTCGCTGGTTAACTATACTATATTACATACGTGCATTTTTTTCTAAACAATCAATAATGAGCTGAAAATGTGGTACAAAAAGTTTGTGTAGAAATTAGATATTACTGTATGGAAGCAGTGTTGATTTATGAATAAAACATATATATTCCAGTTGTATTATTATAATTTTATCGAAAATATTTATTATACATACGTGCATTTTTTCTAAATAATCAATGAGCTGGAATTGTGATACAAAAAGCTTGTTATGATAATAAATTAAGGTACCTATAGAAAGTTTGTGTTCAAATTAGACCAGATATGTTGATGCTAAATTTAACCTAGGACAATAATTTTCAAATAATATGAATTGTTACTATGCCTAAAGTTGACTTTGTTAACAAAATCTTTCAAAAAATGTTTTTCATTATCAAATATTAAAGCTATAATTTTGATGTTATTATCATCACCCGAGTTTATATTGTTGATAACAATTTGCATTACATTTGCACACCTCTCAACACCAATCAATATAAAATGATTATTTACAAAAAGTATCATATCCATTTTCAAAGTGCCATAGTAATAGTCTGAAGGGAAGAAGGGCACATTGTGTTTAGAAATGAAATGGTTTTCAAACTCTGACAACGTCTTCCCTCGGAACTGACAATTTGGCAGAGGACAAGAATAATAATTCAGGAATCTACAAATTTTTTCATGATTAATATGGTCAATAGACCGGGTCGGAACAGAAATCATTTGTCCACAAGCCCATTTACATGAAAACTGAAGATAATACATTATAACACGAGTTAAAGTTTTTTCAAGATAGTTCTCTTCTCTTATGTATTTATGACGTTTCAAAAAGTGGAAGCAAAAGTAACAAAGGGAATGTTGTTCATTGCCATCACAGATATAAAATTTATTATCAATTACATAACAAATTTCAAGGCAGTTCATACATTGGAGAAACATCAACCTACCCGAATATATAATAGCAGTAGCAGAACGATTTAGAGAAATATCACAACTTTTTCCCAGTTCAGGAGATACATATATTTTTCTGGGTCTAAATGGGGCCACCATGGGTTTGAATGAAAGACGACGGCGAACACCTAAACTTGGTACAAGAGTAGCTAGCTCCTTTGGGTGTTCACTGGATTGAATAGCTCTACATGGTATTCTCAAAAATTGTGGATCAGTAATCTTTAAATCAAATTTAACTACAATTGACTTATTGTTACCCATACTTGATAATTCGATACAGAACCAGTCTTTTTCCATTCCAAAGCAAGTACAAGGTCTTTTTTCAGTTGAAATTTCAACAGCCTCATTATCAGATATCCAGAACTGTTGAATAACACTACCAGCTTGTTTACAATTTCCTAGACTACTAACATTGAAACGGATGTTGTTTTCTGAATGGCTGTATATGACAGAGACAAAAAATAAAGAGTCCTCTAGACTATAGAGGAATATCTCTGATGATTCTGACATAGCGTTCAGGTTGGGAAAAAACACTGGGTACTTCAAAACATATTGTTCATGCTTCTTACGAAAATGTTGTTCTAACAACAAGGAAGGCAATTCATCTGGCTCTGGGCAAATAGGGCACTTGTATAACTTACTTATACATTTCCTCTCATGATCCTTCACTTGTGAATGAAGAAGGACTTCTCTGCAACCATCAAATCGGTTGATGCACTTGAAAAGGCATTCATCAGCAATGAGGCAAAACAAGGAAATAACACCATCAGCCTGGTTTTGGTTTTTTACACATCTACCGCATATTATACGTCGATTCGTGTAGGCCTTCACAGGCTGAATTGATAAGTATTTACTGCAAATATCACAAATCAGGGTGTCCAGAATTTTGTCTGGAATTAGGAATGCCATGGCTTCTTCACAAACACTTGCGATCTAGAAACCATAATATTTGAAGTGTGTAGAATACCAATGTCGTCTTGGAATAAGTCGACGCGTTTTTTGCTTCCAAAAAACAAAACAAATCCTCGGAACTCGGTTTTATCACTTTATCCCTATATAAAGTAAATAATATGTACAGGCTGTCCCATTTTCGATGTCCTTACGGGATATCTCGCTTAATTTTGAAGATAGAAAGTTGCGGTTTTCGCGAACGTTGGCTACTTTTTTGTGAAACTCACGAAACCGTGAACAAAATTTCCATAGCCCACTTCGTTCCTGAGATACAGGGCGAAATTGAAAATATTGCATTTTGAGACCCCCCTTATATCTCAGCTATCTTTCAACCTTGAGGGAAAGTAAGAACTGTTTCTTTCACAATTTTTCACGTAGAATCCAGTGGCGTAGTCAGATTTTTTAAATGAGCTGTCGTTATTTAGATATAACCCAAAGTTATGTTTTTTTAAATAGAACACCCTGTATGTTTTTCAATATTTGAAACGAGAAAGCTTTGCGCTTTTCAAAAATATCTAACACTTATATGATATTTTGAGTATTAGTCCTGTATTTGGGTAATTTTCAGTTTTTTATGTAGGTTTCTTATCTTGTAAAAATGTGGCAACATTATCCACTTCACAAATTTTCATATTTCCCTTATTGCTGACACAGTGTTTCGTCACACACTCACCACATTTACCAATATTCAGTACTATTAATTGCCTATGAAAGTTGTGGACCTAATTAGTAGGTAGCTATGAAAAAAAAAACACAAATGCAGATTGTTTACAATTCTTGTCACCTACCTGTCAAAGTTTACAAATTTTTCATACAATGGCGAATAATAATCCAGGATATCAAAACTACGAGAAATTAGATATGGATGGAATATATTACCAAGTTGGCTTCAATGCAAATCAAGCGAAGGACCTATATTTTGAAAGTTATTTACTATCTCCCAATTGCTGGGTATCAGTTAGTTACAATATGATAAAAAATTTTGGTATCCCGAGAGGAGACAACCAAGTAGGAAAATATTTGGCAGACTGAAAAAAAAAATGCCGAAAACGATGAAATTAGTGTCCTTGCAAAGGTAGAAGAAAGCAATAATTATACTTCTTGCAGAGAAATTGAAGAATCATTTGGCATTCCAAAGACAAGGGTGTCCAAGATATTGAAAAAGAACAAATATACCCCCTACATACCACAAACTATTCATTATTTGTACCCGGGTGATGCTGTGAAGCGCATTGAGTTTTGTAGATGGTATATCCAAAAGACGGAAGGAAATATAAATTTTGGGCGTTCAGTAGTATGGTCCGATGAAAGCCATATAAGTAGCGCTGGAATATTTAATCGAAATAATCATCGTTATTGGTCAAATGAAAATCATCACGTTACGGTGGTTCGCCAACAGCAAGGCAGATTCGGCTTTAATGTATCTTGTTCCGTTTATGGAGGAAGACTTGCCTATCGAATTTTTGACGGTAACTTGAATCACCAAAGATATTTGGAAATTTTAGATGATTGTCTTTCTGAACTACTTGACGAAATTCCGTTGGCTCAATTTAGACACAGTTTCTTCCAACAAGATGGCGCACCTTGTCATAACGCAGGTGCCATCAGGGTTTATCTTGATGAAAGATTTCAAAATCAGTGGATTGGTAATAATGGTCCCATTCACTGGCCGCCAAGGTCCCCTGACTTATCGATATTAGATTTCTTCTTATGGGGCTATATAAAAAATAAAATATATCACACGCGGCATGAAGATCGAGATTCACTGATGAATGCTACGAGAGAAGCTTTCGAATATTTACGTATGAGACCTATATTTTTACTCCGGTCGATTGACGCTTTCCTCAGAAGATGTCGGCTGTGTCTTCAACAGAATGGGCAGCAATTTGAACAATATTCATAAGACATTTTCAACAGGAGAAAAATTAATAGAATTGTTTTGTAGTAGTGTTTGAATTTATTGTTTTATCAAATTGTTTTTATCAATTTGTTAATTGAATAATCATTTTAAATGAATACTTCTCATTCTACCCTATATAAATGAGTGGTATTTAATTATTGCGCCAGAATATCTATTCTAAAAGTAGAAGTTATTTGTCTTGACATGCCATAAAAAACTGAAAATTACCCAAATACAGGACTAATACTTGAAATATCATATAAGTGTTATATATTTTTGAAAAGTGCAAAGCTTTCTTGTTTCAAATATTGAAAAATATACAGGGTGTTCTATTTAAAAAAACATAACTTTGGGTTATATCTAAATAACGACAGCTCATTTAAAAAATCTGACTACGCCACTGGATTCTACTTGAAAAATTGTGAAAGAAACAGTTCTTACTTTTCCTCTAAGTTGAAAGATAGCTGAGAAACAGGGGGGGTCCCAAAATGAAATATTTTGAATTTCGCCCTGTATCTCAGGAACGAAGCGAGCTATGGAAATTTTGTTCACGGTTTCGTGAGTTTCACAAAAAAGTAGCCAACGTTCGCGAAAACCGCAAATCTCTATCTTCAAAATTAAGCGAGATATCCCGTAAGGACATCGAAAATGGGACAGCCTGTACAATAATAATAGATTTGCGGTTTTCGCGAACGTCGGCTAGGTACTTTTTTGTGAATTTCACAATACCCCATTTGTTTCGTTTTTGAGATACAGGGCGAAATTGAAAATGTTGCATTTTGGGACACCCCTTGTATCTCATTCATCTTTCAAGTCATCGAAAAATTAGAAACTTGAAATTATCGAAAGAACAGTTCCATGGCGCCCATTCTCCCCAGACGTTTCGGGTGGACCGTCTTCAGGTTGATTTGTCGGCAAATCTCCCAAGATATAGTCTTATGAAAATCTTGATAAGCAGCTAGGACATATTTTTGGACTAAACTCTTGCAATCCCTCACTATTTTATTGCTAGATATTATTCTTGTAACAATTTTCTGTTGGCCGAGACAACTGATGACTTTGTGTACCGGTCTTGATCAGAGGACAAGTTGAATAAATAGTGAGCCCGGCAGAGGCTGAGCATTGAATGAAGCTATTATTTTCAGTATATTACAAGACTAAATAAGTGAGACAGATTTTTGTATTCCTTTACCAGTCCTAGCTATTGGTTTTGACGAAAGTAGCCCAGCTAAATATAGGTCTTGTTTCTCCTTATCTGCTAGTTTATTGAAAGCTTTCAAGAACGATTGCCTGATTTGTTGGGTAATATCGTAATATATCAATCAACGGTAATATTCAAGAAATATCTTTCTCAACAGTATTAATATACTCCTCTCCAACAAGTATATGTTCAACTCATTTCGTGAGAAAATTGGACTTGCCCGGTTGCAAGCACCAAGGTCTTCAACTGCTTTCTCTCATTTTTTCACGTAGAATTCCATGGCGCAGTCAGATTTTCAGAATAAGCTATTATTATTCAGATATATAACCCAAAGTTATGTTTTTTTATGGAACACCCTGTACTTTTTTTCATCTGAAAAACTGATGATATGCGCTTTCTAAAAATATATGACACTTATGAGAAATTGCAAGATTCAGCTATGAATTTAGATAATTTCTAGTTTTTTAGTACATATTTCATCGATGGGCCTTGAAAATATGTGGCAACATTGTCCATATATCTCAAATTTTCATATTCACCTTGTTGCTGATACAGTGTTCCATCACACGCCAGTTTCAATTTTACCAACATTCAACATATACCAACATTCAGCACTATTTATTGACTTTGAGCGAGTGCAGAATGTTTCAAATTTGTCATCTACCTGTATTTTCAAAATTTTCATAAACGGCAAATGATAGGTAATCCAGAATATCAAAACGATACGATACGAAATTTACCAACTGATATCCCAACCATATTTAATTTTCATTCGATTTTGAACACCCTATAGCTCAGTAATCATGGCCACTAGATCTCAAGTGTGATACATTGATGAAATCGGCTCTTTGGCGAAATTCTAAAAATGCAATGAAATACAGGGTGTTCCATCTGAGATAACAAAGTTGTTGCTACTTTTCGTTAGAAGTGCCGCAGAGCTGTAAATAATTTAGAACGATGCCCCCCTCGAAAATGTAGCTGACGTGTTTTCAGATTTTTTTCATAATCCGGTTTTGGCGACCTACAGAGCATCTGTTTCGTTTTCAAAGGGCCACTCTGTATATACAGTCGTATTCAATAAAAAAGCGTACAAGTATTAACAAGAGAGGATTTCGGGATCCTAGTTCTAGTTGTGTAAACCTGACTCAGTCAATGCTTTGTGTTTTCGAGAACCTATGACAACTTTAATGTCAACATTTGTGAACAATCATTCCCGATAGACCGTTTTATGCAGAATAGGATGACGTTAATTTATCTCTGTAATATACTTGTACGCTTTTTTTTGAATGCGACTGTACATCAACTCTTCTTGATTTGCCCTATTCACCATTTGGCAATGTGAGTCTCCTCATGAATCACCCTGTATAAGAATGGTCAACTATACCACTACTACTACTACTACTAGGTACTCTACTCTACTTATTTCATTACTGAATGAAATTGTTAGTTTATGAATAAAATATATATTCCAGTTTGATAAACAATTTTATCAAAAATATTTTTTACATACATGCATTTCTTATAAGACAATCAATGCACTGAAAATATGATATAAAAGGCCTGTCATGATAATAAAGGTACACAGTTTGTTTTCAAATAAGACTAGCTTTGTTGATACTAAATTTTATCTAGGATTATAATTTTCAAAAAGTATGAATTGTTACTTTCCTTTATGATGATGTTCTTATCAAAATTTGTCAAGAAATGTTTATTATCATCAAATAATAAAGCCATAATTTTTATGTTACTATCATTAAATGAGTTTATAACAATTCGTATTTCATGTCCCCACCTGTTAACACCAATTAATATAAAATGATTATTTACAAAAAGAATTATATCCCTTATCAAAGTGCCATAGTAATAGTGTAAAGGGAAGAAGAGCACTGCATTGTGTTTTCCAGAACTAAAATGGTCTTTAAAGTCCAACAAGGTTCCTTGGAACTGACATGTTGGCAAAGGACAAGAATGACATTTCTGGAATTTGCAAGTTTCCTCATGACTTAAATGGTCAATAAATTGGGTCGGAACACCATATCTTCGATGAACACTCTGAACAGAAAACATTCGTCCACAACCCCATTTACATGCAAACTTAATATCACTCATTATATCAGGAACAATTTTTTTTTGAATATAGTTCACTTCCCTTATGAATTTACAATGATTCAAAAATTGGAAGCAAAAATAACAAAGGGAATGTTGTTCACCAGCATCACAGATATAAAATGTATCATGAACTACATAACAAATTTCAAGGCAGTTTATACATTGGAGAAATATCAACCTACCCAAATCTATGATGGCAGTAGCAGAAGGACTTGGAGAAATATCATGAACTCTATACAAATTAGTAGTTAAATAAATTTTTCTGGGCTTAAATGGGCCCACCATGGGTTTGAATGAAAGACCCATGGACGTATCCATGGAAAGACCCACATCTAAACTTGGTCCAAGAGTAGCTATCTCATTTGAGTGTTCATTGGATTGAATAGCTCCACATGGTATCCTCCAAAATTGTGGATCAGTGATCTTCAAATCAAATTTTACTACAATTGACTTATTGTTACCCATATTTGATAATTTGACACAGAACCAGTCATTTTCCATTTCAAAGCAGGTACAAGGTCTTTTTTCAGTTGAAATTTCAACAGCCTCATTATCAGATATCCAGAACTGTTGAATAACACTACCAGCTTGTTCACAATTTCCTAGAAAACTTATATTAAAACGCATGTTGTCTTCTGAATGGCTGTATATGAAATAGACAAAAAATAATGAGTCCTCTAGACTATAGAGGAACACCTCTGATGATTCTGACAAAGCATTCAGGTTGGGAAAAAACACTGGGTACTTCAAAACATATTGTTCATGCTTCTTATGAAAATGTTGTTCTAACAACAAGGAAGGCAATTCATTGGGCTCTGGGCAAATAGGGCACATGTATAGCTTACTAATACATGTCCTCTCATGATCCTTCACTTGTGAATAAAGAAGGATTTCTCTGCAACCATCAAATCGGTTGATGCACTTGAATAGGCATTCATCAGCAATGAGGCCAAACAGGGATATGACACCATCCCCTTGTTTTTTGTTTCTCACACATCTACCACATTTTATTCGTCGATTCGGGTAGACCTTCACAGGCTGAACAGATAAATATTTATTGCAAATATCACAAATAAGAGTGTCCAGAATCTTGTCTGGAATTAGGAATGCCATGGCTTCTTTTCCAAAAACTTGCAATCTAGAATCTAAAATATCTGAATCATTTCTATGTCCTGGAAGAACTGTTTTCATTAATTTAATTTCAACATACCTTAGTACCAAAGATACCAAAGATTATAATATAAATTATATAATTACACCTTGTTGACAAGTAATTATCAAGATGTATGATGATTGATGAATCATCATCTATCATCATCATAAGATAGAATATCACACGATGAATATCATAAGCACATGTCATAAGTTTTTATGGTTTTTATCAAAGGATAGCCACCTCCTACAAGTGGCACAATCATGTAAGACAGGGTCGGCATTATTGGATTTATTCCGATTATTAGGAAGGCAAGAGGCAAGAGCGAAGTCAATAAAGAGAGAAATAAAAAACAATACCTTCTTTCCAAAATCGTAGCTCGTCAATCATTTTTTTTCATTTTTAAATTTCAACTGAGTTTTCCACTTTCCACATGGATGGAAAATCTACTTGCGGAGTCCGGCAGCCGGCAGTGCGGCAGTTCGCGGTTCTCGGTTCTCGTCATATAATGAAATATGAAATAATAAATAATACGGGGACTTCCCGTAATTCGGTGTCAGTCATATCAATGTTGCCGGATTCTGCTGATTTTCTTTAACTTGAGGAAGGAAAGTATTTCAATGATCTTGAACGATAGGATGACACCCCAAAAAGAAGAAAATAGCATTTTCATGAATTCACATGGAAGAAAGCTTTTCTCCAGAAAATTATTTTGTCAAAACTTTTTCTCAACAGTAAATGCCTTCACAGTACTTTTTTCATGGGGGAAGGAAAATATCCCTCCTGCATAAAAAAGGACACTATATACTCTTTTTGAAGCATCTAACCTTACTCGGCCTAAATGTCTTCCTAAAAAGACAGTAGTTTTTCCAGAGAGGAAGGAAAAATTATATTTTTCGGAAAATCACTTGAGAAAAAAGAATTGAAAAAAAAAGAGGCATAGAACCCCGGGTCACCTACGTGCCACGTGGGATCCAAACGCACAGCCAACTACGCCACGAGTAGTTTTACTGTGATAGTAGTATATGGTTAGTATGAAGAAATAATTTAGTCGCCGTACCCGCACATGCCACGCAGCTTATATTCATTAAAACGATAAAACCAGGCGCTAGTCAAAGAGGAGTTACTATTATTTAAGCTATTATTCGGATTCGAAAGAAGAAGCGATAACTAGCAACATCACTCCGTTGGCACTCCGCCACCATTCTAAAATTTAGGAAAATCTCCACTATATGAAAATTCTGAAACTCCAATGAAATATCATGACTGAGATTAGGTTCTTTCGTCTGCTTCTCAGTGTCGTGTCAAATGCACTACACTATAACTCAGCTGATATTTCGTGCAGCTACACCAACGAATTTCAAACGAACGAATAAAATTGAATTGAAGAGGAAAAGTGCAATTTGGATTTTTAAACTCGGTATTTGATTCAACTGGTTGTCCAGTATAGGTGTTTATGAATTATAAATATATTCAAACATGTATTTCGAGTCATTCATCGCGATTTTATTCATTGAACTTGAGTGTTCAATTCACACCTGCCCAAGACTAGGTCAATACTAGGTGGAGATGAACTACACTGGTGTGAAATGCACTTCTCAAAAGAATGCTCAAATGCGGTGTAAATTACACGAAGTGTACGAATGTGATACACTTTTTATGCAAACGAAAGGGCCTATTTTGATTGAAATCAGCTGGGACTTGTCATATCTGACAGCCCAAAAGTTTAGTGGTAGTGGAAGGGGAAGGAATATAAATGTCTGCCTTGACTATTAAAATGGCCCCCTGGTTGGATAAAGTGTTGAATATGATTGAGATTCGCAAGCATCAGTGAAAGTGTGAGGATTGATATCCAATACTCACAAACAACGAAACCCAATAATGTAATAATAACTGGTGTTTCATACATTTTACTGGTGTTTTGAGTTCATCTGCCTGCAGTATCCTGTTTTTATATTGTAGGGTGTTTACATTCAACCGAGTTGATTCCTAGTCCTAGTAGCACTACTCCCGGTCCCGTAGAGAGCAATTAGAATGGCTACCATGATGTATCCTACTCTTACGAAATCTCAGAGTATGCGTTCCAAGCGAAAGTCAGCTGTAGAGCTTCTGGCAGAGAGCAAACCCTTCTATGTCAAGTCAGAGGTAGTGAGGGACACCACTCAAGCCATTCCATCAAGACCTAATCCTAATTTTGGTGCTTATGGAACATACAATCGCAGCAAGTCTGTAAATGTGGCAGGCCATGGATCCAACTACAGACCCACAACCCTACCACATTGTGAGTAATTCAGTTGATATTATTCCAGCCTTATTTCATTGGGATTTAGTCCTGCCAAAGAAGTAGTGATTCTTCCAAACAAGTAGGACAAATTATCAGTCATGGTTTATGTTCAGTTGTTCTCTCAAAATATCATATTTTTCAATGAGTTTAACTACCAAAAGAGATGTGGTTTTTGCTCCTAAAAAATATTTTTCATTTAGGATCCTAAGTATTGTTCTGTTTTGAAATTTTTATAATTTGTAAACTTCTCACATATAATTTATTTATTTATTTATTCATTAACATGAAATTGGTAGGAAATTTCAGCAGTGCTATATTTTCATGGGAGATTAAAAATTTCCCCAAATGTAATCATTCCTAAATAGATAAAATATTAGTAAACATATTAGATTATGTTAATTTTGGCAAGTCATATTTCCCTTTATTAGACAAACTGAACATTCAAAATAGAAAAAGTGACATATTCATTCCTAATAATTACAAAAGTTTCAAAATTCACTTGAAGATTTCAAGGGTTTATTTTTGAGGTAAATGAAGACTTTCCTCCTATGAAAATGCACCACCTTTGAGCTACTTTCCCCATTTTCTTAAAATAAGGTTTCCATCTTTTTTGAGACAAAAAATAAATAGAGCATCTGAAAAAAAAAAGAGGAAAGTAAACTCCAAAATAAATAAACAATTATATTCTCAAAACTTATGATAGTTATAAAAAGGAATATGTTGATGAAGAAAGTATCATTTTCATCTAAAATTAAGCCCTGGAATTAATTGAAGTAAATTGTGAAACACCTGTAATTTAAATTAATGTTATATCATCATATAAAAATGCATGTACTAAACAAATTTCCGACAATAATTCATGCTCTAGAAAGATTATAATTGAAAATTCATTTGGGCAAAAATTGCCATTTAATTTTCAAGTAGGTAAAATATATAAGATTTCTAGTTTTCATGGAATGATTTATGATCATACAAACTGATTCACCAGGCAAGGTTCAGTATCTACTAAAAAGGATTATTTTTGCAAAAACACATTTCCTGTTCCATGTCCCAATTAGGAATATTTTTATCATAATGTGTTTTCACCATAGTTTGTATTATGAAATTGAAGTAATTATGATATTATCATCCTAATCTTCTTCTGCTATCACAAATGAATCACTGATGAGGTAGTTACAAAAACAATTTAACAGTGAAGTATCATAACATTCTGTACTGTACTGTAAATATACATTGGGATGATGATTATTTTATTTTAGTGGTATTGGTATATCCTTGGTATACATCGGGTTAGACATCCAGGTATACATAGGAAAATGAAAAGTTGAACATGATCCTTGTCCTTCCATTCTTTTGCAAATAGAAGATTAGGTACCTACTTCCAATATTTTTAGCATCTCTTTCTATAATTTAATTAAAGGATACTGGAAGGATAATAAATGCTCTCATAAATGCTGATGATATCATTTATTCAAGTAGACATAATAATCATACTATCATAATACATAAAACAATGGTTTGAAGTGAAATTTTGATAATTTTATATTATGAAGTAGAAAGTATATGGCAAGAAAAACCTAGGTATTGTTTGAGATATTAATTACTTACAAATGATAATCAGCACAGCAACATATTTATGTGCTACCTACTTTATAATAATCTGGTTGAAATGTTATACTTTATGTCTCTCTTTGAATAAAAATATTAGCATTAATTTAATATACCTACAGACATAATTCGATTAGTTATGGTCAGTTGATTTAATTCATATTTAGCATATTAGTTGAAATATCAGTCTTCATAGAATCTCACTTATTGTTTTAATTTATTTTATATTCAATTTAGTACTGATAAGATAGCCAACTTTTCATTGCAATAAATTAAATTGAATTGAGCATGCGCCCGTTGTTGTCCCCTGTTAACAACATTGAATAACAACTAAAAAAACCATTGCAAATAAGATGTGCATTGAGCATTAGCGCCAGTTGTACCAATATATGTGTAAATCTGAAAATATCCATATTTATGTTTCTGCGCATGCGTAGGTATTTATTTAATGCATTTCTATGAATGACTTTATACCTATGCTGCAAAATACCGTTTAAGCATATGAAACTAAAAACGTGTTGCTGCCATTGTGTACACACCATGTTCATGCATTGAACTAGATAATTGCAAATAAACGAATATTGCTTTAAAATCCACAGCAGAATTAACAATGATGTCACAGTGTTGGTATGAATGGTATGGAAATGACTTGTTTGAATATTATAAAAAATATTTTGATATCTAGTTCTTGACAAAACCCAAATATGGTCTGACACTGACTTTGCTTTTGTCATATTGTATGAATTCGCAAGTGACATCTGGTTTGGCGGCCGTTGCTATGGATAACACCTGCAAAATTTTCTTTAGTGTACTGTGTCTGAGATGCGAAATACTCTCTTATCAACCGATTGCACGAAACATTACATTTCACATCTAAGATAGAAGTCCAAAGAAGTCAAGGTGAAGTAATATATGTATAGGTGAAGAGAGAAGTTTTCGAATTATTCTTTCCTTCAATATTATATTTTCATAAATTTAATTTTTCAGTTCTTCTTCCCTCTTCATTGTGGGCTGAAATTTTTCCACATTTTTAATCTCACCAGTTGGCGGTACTAAAACATTTATGAGATCTGTGTCAAAAGTCCCAAAATTACATCAGATGGCCTTGAGAATGCAGAGAGGCTTATTGTTATTGTTCAAAAGCATGTCTTACAGCATAGCACATCTTATATTGAGTCTTTTTTAGTACTATGCTACTCCTCAGAAAGAAAAACAACATTTCTTCGAGAATTTCTTCATTCTTGAAAAATTCCAATGATTTACATTGGTGCATAAAAATGACCAGATAATTTTGCATTCAAGCAAGCGAGTCCGAAGGATAACACGCTTTCTTGTGCAATTATAACCGAAAATTTCATGGAAAATTAAATGGCCAAAGCAAACGAATAGGAAATCTCAAGTTATGGTTACACTTCGATAGCGTGCTTCTTCTCTACTCTCAATGTGAAAGTTTACGTGCAAACTCTACATCAACAGAATGATGGAAGTAAGATATGGTGTAATTACTGATGCGCTTTTGTTTCAGAAATTTTACTCGACCTCTCGAGAACAGCGAGAGCAATGGTTCCGTCGATCTTCTAAAAGATGGCGACATTGCACAATTATGACATCGGTCAATTTCTTGAATTGCCGCAGATTTTTCGAATTCAGAGTTAAATAATCCCACTGTTACATAATATATGTTCCGCGTACCTAAAATGCCATTTACCATTTTATTTCCACTCGTCACAGCAGCAATTGCAGCATTACCATCTAGCGGAAAAATGTAGAATCAATCAACGTCTCGCTCGATGTGACGTAGAGAAATCATAGTAGGCGGTCGAGTGATTTTTCTCAAGTTTTCAATACGTAAAAATGGCCTTTACCTTTTCGAATGCGATTCTAGACATGGCAGTATCACCTTCGAGATCTCTCCCGCCTCTAACCCACCGCAGATCTGTCCACTCGGCGAACAGCGAACTGCTACAGAACAAGCTGCGCCAGCTGCTGGTGTGCGACAGCGCAGAAGAGCTCTGCGTAGAGCAGATGGCCCCCCTCAGCCCGCCCGCCGAGTATGCCCAAAGGTAATTTTTTTTTTCGCTTGGAGCGCACGCAAGGAAATCCCTATAATGTTCAAAGAACATCGTGCGTTCCTAGGGAGGATAGGGACAGGAGGTAGGTATTGGAACTTTTTTTTACTTTCTGGAGATTATATGTTGTTGGGAATACTTCCTCAGGCAATGAATTCCAGAGCCTATCTTCATAAGTAATCAACTTCATTCACAAATGAGAGGTTTTTGAAAAGTAATCATAATACTTGACAAAGTATAGGATTAAAAAATATATATATCTGTTATAATATAGTTATGATGTATTCAAAGAACAATTTCCGGAAATCTAGACATATTTTGACTCAGTGTGAATGTGGAATGTGGCAGAATTGTGGCTTTTCAGAATGTACAGGGTGATTGACTATGGATTTCTCGACTTCAACAGCTGATATCTCGAAAACGAAGAAAGATATTTGAAATTTGGAAAAAGATATTCGAATGAGATGTCATTTCCTTCTAGAAAATGTGTTCTCTGCTTGATTTTATCATTTCATATACAGGGTTCGTGAAAAAAAAAATTTTTTTCAAATGGAACCCCCTGTCTATTATTGCATATTTCGAAAGAGCTATCTTTCTTGATCTCGAAGATATATACTTTTCATATATTTTATCGAGGGCTTGACGAAATATCAGCAAAATTAAATATTAATATTTGGTCCAAGTTAGCTATGGTTGAAATGGAATGAGATGATGAATAAGTGAATTGACATTTGGCCAACATTCCAGTGACATAGGTGCGCGAAATTTCGACAATTTTCTTACGATGCCATATCCACTGGAATAAAGAAGAGATATTTTGAAGTGCTATTTTTCAGTTAATAAAAATCTTGCTGAAACACTTACACTTATACTAACTTAAATTTAATCTTTCAGATATGACAAGACAAAATTCAATCCGCTTCTCATTATCATCATAATTGAGTTTGTGGCATGGTCTAATTCTGAAATCCCTATATTTATATTTCCTTAAGGTATGTTGAACAAAATAATAGCTGAAACCAAACTCTCTCACTGCATTTCTTATTGACCGTGAAGGATCCTCAACAAAATACTGGATTACAAGAAGTTCCTCGTCTTCGTTGTCTTGCCTTCTCACTATTCTCTTGATATTCGACAAACTGGAAGTTCTGTCAAATTTAGCAGCCAAATACTTTACATAATTCTTACTTGGTAATCTCCTGCCTGGATAACTCCTCATAAACTTATGAAGTGTTTCAGCAAGATTTTTATTAACTGAAAAATAGCACTCCAAAATATCTCTTCTTTGTTCCAGTGGATATAGCATCGTGAAAAAATTGTGGAAATTTTGCGCACTTATGTCACTGAAATGTTGACCAAATGTCAATTCACTTATTCATCATCTCATTCTATTTCAACTATAGCTAACTTGGACCAAATATTAATATTTAATTTTGCTGATATTTCGTCAAGCACTCGATAGAATATATGAAAAGTATATATTTTCAAAATCAGGAAAGATAGCTCTTTCGAAATATGCGATAATATACAGGGGGTTCCATTTGAAAAAAAATTTTTTTTCTCATACCCTGTATATAAAATGATAAAATCAAGCAGAGAACACACTTTCCAGAAGGAAATGACATCTCATTCAAGTAACTTTTTCCAAATTTCAAATATCTTTTTTCGTTTTCGAGATATCAGCTGTTGAAGTCGATAAATCCATAGTCAATCACCCTGTAAATCATAGGCTGGTCATAGGAATGGTGGAGGAGCCAAGTTCCTCTTTCAATTAATTTTTTCTAAAGTAAAGAATAAATACGTATATATCAACTATTCACAAACTTAACAGTGAGATAAAAACCTCCATATTGGAAATTTCTCCATTTTCAGTTCACTCTGCTCTACTAAAAAACTAGTTTACTATTAACTACTAATCATTCTAGATGTCACAAGAGCCTACCCGATCTACACTGCAGGGAGCCCAGCTCCAACAAGAGCAGCAACAAGAGCTTATCTAACAGAGATAGCGGGGGCTCCAGTGGGCACTACACGCAGCGCAGTGAACCCCCACCACCACCAAGACAGGTAGGTGAAAAAGTGAATGTAGAATTTGTATTGAATTACCAAAAAAATGCGGAACTAAACACAACTTATTTTGTTGAGAAACTATTGTTCCTCATTTCCTCATGAATTGTCCACTTACCTTCTCAACTTGCAATTTCTAGTGTTCCCCAACTTGTCAGACTCAGATTTCTTTGGTATACAAATCGTTTCATAGTTATTTCATACCCATTTTCACTCACTCACTAACTTAACACCATTTTCAATGAGATCATCTCCTGAAATAATATTTTAAAGATAGAATCAAACAAAAAATTGAGTTGAAGAGTTGAAGTTAAAATTCCAGTACCAGGCGCTAAAATTTCTGAAATGAGACGTCAAGTGTCAAACAGTAAAAATTCCGTTCTTCTTCTTGATACTTTCAAGAACTTAACCAGTTTTCAATGGCTGTCCGGACAATAGTTCATTTTTTAATAAGGACAAGGTTCATACATAGCCAAGAAGCGTTTTATTAGTTCAAGCAGAAAAAAAAGAACTGAAGATCGATGTTTGGAGATTGTTTTTCGCGAAAATACTGTTTTACACCCCGATTGTAAGATATTCCAGGAGACGCGCCGCGACTCCGGTTCGAGTACGCAGCACAGCGGCGGCAGCTCGTATTTCTGCTGCCAGGAGCCCGAGTGCCGAGCGAGACAGGCGTACCCGCCGCCCCCCTCCACCTTCAAGCGCCAGAAATGCCTGCGCTACAAGCGGGACCGCCCCATCCTGCGCTCCAAGTCTGATATCAGCGACAGGTAGGTATAATCTCAGAATAACTACTTGAGAAGAGTGATTTATTTCGCTTACTTCTTCTGTGGAAAAGAAATCACATTCTAAGGACCTCTGTGGAACCGCTGCTCGGATAAATCATCTTATTCAACTCGGCATTAATGGCTCATAACAAAAAATAGACCAAAAACCTTCAAAACATAGGTCATAATAGGTCGTGTGCACAAAATGTAGATGACCGACCCAGGAGGTAAAACAATCTCACTAACCTCACTTATTTCATTTGTTTACATAGGATAAGGAGGGAGATTCATAGGATTGAAATAGTTTTTCACAATAATTTTGGCATACGAATCATTCAAGCATGCCATCAGATTGTGCTATTGTACAATACTTGTCATTCTCTCGCTGCATTTTTTGTGCATTGTACAACAGCACCAATGTGATGACATGCTTGAATAAATAAATATCCCAAGAAACACGATTCGTATGTCAAAATCATTGAGAAAAAACAGAAAAACTATGTTTTCAATCCTATATAAAAAAATAAAAAATGGGATTGGTGAGATTGTTTTACCTCCAGGGTCGGTCATTTGACATTTTGTGCATACGACCCATACACGAAAAATAACCTTATTTCGTAGTAGACAAGCAATAATCGTAGTGATTAATGTTATTTGTCGTTTTTGTTGCTATTGATGATTTTCCGACTGTGTCATAATTTTTCAGTGTTTCGGTAACTTATTTACTTATTCGGAAATCTGAAGCAGGATATTTTGTGAAAACATATGGTTCGGCAGTGTCATATATCTGAAGAAAACTTTGTTACAAATATCCTAACTGGATATATTTCACAAGTCTATTCCTCTTGTTTATGAAAAGCGTCTACTGGCGTCTTTAACTTATTGAAAATATCGAATGACCTCACTTAGACGTTACAGAATGACTTATTGTAGAAATTACTTCTCAAAGTTGCGGCGATTTTACTCACATTTGGCACCTCTGTATAGCCAACCTCACAATATGAAATGTCTAACTTATGAAAGTATATTTATTTTTTTATCCATTTATTGAATCAATATCAATTACATGTATATATATTTGATATTGTATCCCTACCATTCACGATTTGATTAATTTATCCTTGTTCAGCGTACACTTATCAATAATTCGTGAATGAATCACGGTGATTATATATTGTTATTTAGTCAGAGTAATAGGAATCATTGACTTGGTGTACTGCAAGGTTCAATATCGGGGCCATCATGTCTTTGAGGTTGCATAAATTTGTTTGCAATGCGTTTCCTGTGGGTGTGACGATTTCTGTTGACTTTGTTAGGTACTGGCGGCCTCCCGAGCCTCCCACGAGCCATCTGCAGCAGTTCTTCGAGCAACTGGGCCTCACGAGCGACACCTACGAGGAGATGTTGAGTCACAGCGGTTCCTCCACGAGCCCCGTTTTCTTTTCGGATGTCTCTACAGTCGATTCGAGCAGGTAAAAATCAATCTTCCTACACAAACATGTATCATTTTTTATGATAGGTTTTGGTGAAAAACCTTCCATATACTTATTGCCTTATACACATCCCTGAGGACTTAGAGACCCTGAAAAGAGCTAGAAATCAGTTACTGAAAGAGGTTGAAATATAAATATCCCGTAGATATAATCAACACCACAACTTGAGTCCATGAAAACGTTGCTGTTTTGTTTCCTATTGCTGTTTGAATGGGTTGCGTGCAAGAACTGTCAGATGACCGACCCTGGAGGTAAAATATTCAAAAATAACCTCACTCTTCTGTAAATCATTGAAACACAACCTCACTTTTTTATTTGTTTACAGAGAAATCAAACGATTGAAATAGTTTTTCACAATATTTTGGCATACGAATCGTGTTTTTTGCACTATTTATTAATTCGCGCATGCCATCACATTGTACTGTTGTACAATGCACAAAAAATGCAGCGGGAGAAGAAGGAATCCGGTTGGTACATTACGATTTATAAGTAAGCACCTACTATAGTCACTTACATACAGTTTTCATTTTTGAAATTTGGTAATTTCCATGATTTCTCATCGGAATAGGAACATATATATACTCGTGAAAATTCTAAAATGATGCAAGAAGATTGAATTCATGCAATCAACCAAGAGGACTGGTCTGACATGCTGACGAAATAATATGATCGTGTGTGATGTGTGTTGTAGACATTTGTTGTTCTTTATTACCCAAGAAACATATTTTCAATCTATTAGCAGTATTAGCTTCAATTTCAGAAGTGGCAGAAGGAATTTTAATATGAAATGACAAAATTTCATAATGAAAACTATGTGAGATTACTATTTACCTGAAAAATCATATTCCTTCGTCTCTCGCTGCATTTTTTGTACATTGTACAACAGCACAATGAGAAGGCATGCTTGGATTAATGAATAGAGCAAGAAACACGATTCGTATGCCAAAATATTATGAAAAACTATTTCAATCCTTTGATTCCTCTGTAAACAAATTAAAAATGTGAGGTTGTGTTTCAATGTTTCACAGAAGAGTGAGGTTGTGTTGAAATATGTTACCTCCAGGGTCGGTCATCGTGCACGCGACCTATAGGCGACTGATATTAAGATCGCAGCGCCAGAACGGCGAAACTGGTACTACCCCATTGGCCATTCCTGGATTGTTTATATTTGTTTACAGGCGGTATTATGCTATATTTTCAACGTGTTGAATATTTTCAAACAAATTTATTCAATAACTTCTCAAATGGAACACATGTAAACTAATTTGAACAAAGTTAGACAAAGTATTACATGGCCCATACGTTAGTTATATTCAGGACGACAGAGGGCGTACTCCTTAGCATGTTTCGCCTATAGATAATGATAGTTATTCTGACAGTCCTACCGACTGCGCCAAATCACAAAAACTTATATTTCACTGCTATCATCACTTAACATCAATTTATTTTAAGTTCATTTTTTCAGGCCGATAGAGAACGTCGATTATTGTTCTTCGTCGTACCGATCTAACGAGCCTCCCTCTATTGTTGAGAGGAATGCGCGGATTATCAAGTGGCTGTGCAACTGCCGGAAGCTGCAGCTGTCTTGAGACAGGGCCATGGGGCGCTTGCGCCTGGGCGATTCGGTGATATAGTACGAAATTCTAATCTAATGAATCGATGTCGTTGCATAGATAAATGACACTATGTTCACAGGGTGATTCAATTTTTTGCTGGAAGATTGGAGAGGGTGATAGATTCATTTCTCAAAATTTTTGGGATTCACCCAGTGGCGGCTCGTGACTTCCATGACAGAGGAGGCTGAATGCTATGAGATTTATTGTGAAAAACAACTCTCTACGACTCACCCAAATCAATAGCTTTAATGACATTCTGTTTACCAGTTAACCTGAACTTAATACTTGAAGAGGTGTGTTCCTGTGATTTGCAGTGTCTATCCAATCCGTGAGGAAAATTTTTCAAATCATTATATCCTAATCGCCCCCAACATGATGACTTATCGGTTGAAAATAATACGCAGTACGAAAAAAATTGCTTATTCCTTACCTCAGATCCCGTCAACCAGATATATTTTTTATAATTATCAGAATTGAACGAACGATTTCTGTTTGTTACCTGTTACAATCAGATATCAGATTTTTTTAATTCCGGTGTCGGACGTTTGTTTTTCACCATCAATTTATCTTCATAAGACAAAGCACTGAATGGGTTCCCCAAAAAGTATTCCACTAAATCGCAATCGTTTGAAACACTCATTTTTCAGAAATTTATTGAGCTCCTAACCATTAACCTAACATAAACAATGCACTCGCCATTGTCCGCGACGAGACACGACCACGACAAACACGTGTTATTCGGGCGTATTCGGGCATTTGCATTGCGCGCTAGGGGTGCGCATTGTGATGGAGTCTAGCCTCCTATAGATGTTGCCAAGTTGAATATTTTACGCGTGATGCCAATTTAAAAATATTTACCTAGACAGGAAATAAAATCAAAATCCATGTATTTTGGTGTCCTTTTAATGAGAAAGTATAGACAATATCAGTTTAAGGAGAATCTCTGAGGAGGCTCAGCCTCCGTTGCCTCCTCTGAGGAGCCGCCACTGACTGTTAATACAATTATTCTTCGGCGATTGTTCATTTTTCAGCTTTGTTCGAATAAGAATTGATCTCATTCAAGTTTCAGTCTTCAACACAGGATTTACTTGTCAGTTACCACCAAAACTATTATTTTTTTTCGAAAAATCTATCGTATTTCATAGCGTCGAATACATTTTTTACAAATTATATTTATTGAATTTCCAAATTTATATAATTTTGTTTTTGTTTTGTTTGAATACAGTAATACAAAACACATGAATGCATACGTACATAGATTAATAAAAACAGATTGAAAATGAACTGGACTAATGACAAAAAACATCATAGTCAACATTGACACATTCAATTTATGTCAAGATTTCTCCCGAACCATATATCTTCCATTCTCTTAATTTTTTTCACCCTGTATTATAGTGTTTCTAATCTATGGTCATCGCGTAGTTTTTTATGGTGTTCGTGACTTCGTGACGGTCGTGTTCGATTAAAACAGTCTACTTTTGCTATGCATTAAGGGTGAACACAATGAAAATTCAATATAATAATTGGAAAATAATAATAATTTGGGTCATTTTGATTTTTCTGGTGTTTTTACTCTGAGATGCATGGTAGACTGAGGCTACTGTACTGCCTCTTTTCATGAAGGTTGTTCATAGAGGAATTTCATATCTGGAATTGTTCTTTTCTTGTTCCTGTTGCCGCATGTTCAATAATTTATGTTATTTGTCGTTTGTGATTTGAGAGACTGGCGAATTATATCATTTCCAGGCAATATTTCAAAAAACAAATATATCACCAATCAATACTTAACTTTTCCATATGCAATAAAACTAAGCGCAAATCAATTTTTTATATTTCATTTACATTAGTCGATAACGCATTATGAATATAATCAAAGTGAATTCGATAATCAGTCAAAATAATGAGAAATATTGAAGAACTCACATAATTTTTATATAATCTGAATACACTGTTATCATATTTTGGTTCATATTCAGTATACTTTTTGTTAACTCAATTGATATTCATAGCTAAAGGATATTGCACAAGATTTATTGTTCTTTTTAATCTTGTAAAAGTGATTGGCTGTTTTTGTGAAATTGGATAGTAACTTCTCTGAGAATTGATAATAATTGATTATAAAATCTATTGTTTAGCCATTTATTTGTGAAGATTATTATTTAATGAAGTCATTATTTTTTATTCAATGAATTGTTATTTCTATATTATGTTTTCTATTATTTGTTTCCACATCTTTTCAGGAATATAAACCGAAAACTGAAACATTTTTTGAAATATCAATGTGGAAACAAAAATCTGTTATTTGTTTTTTTTTAAATTGAGTTTATTTTAAATGTCAATACAGTGAATATATCAGACTTCAAGCTTTTCAAGAATATCGTCAACAATTGTGATTAATTCAACTCCGAATGACATACATGTACGAAAAATTCTAATTTGGAACAAATTAAAGTTCCTCAGTGATAAGCAACAAATTCAGACAACCCTGGTATATCACCTAATTTTCTGTCTCTTTGTTTTTTAAGTTTATTCTGGTCTGATATATTACCTGAAAATTTATATTGCCCTTAAAAGACGTTCTTGCATTTATATTTTTATTAACTATTTAATGATACTCAAAATATTTTTCCTTATACAATATCTATAATTTATCAATCAATAACTTTCGAAAGATCATAAATTCATGTGATAGGAGTATACATTGTAAATAAAAATGAAAAACTACGGTTTTAGCATGATCAACCTTTATCAAGATAGCATTAAGACGTTTAGTCGAGATTACTTCAAATTCTATGAATTTATATCTAAATAAAATCACTCTACGGATTTTCAGATACAATACAGCTTTTCTGTAGAACCCTTGAACCACTTGATATCTTTGGAAAATTTAAGTTAGTCATAGGTAATTTTTTCAGATTTTTTCAAATAGCAGATAATGACGGTTTATTTCCTTACTGTTGAAATTGTTTACTCTTTTTGAAGAAAAATTCCAAGAAATCCGTGACACTAAAAGAAATTCATTCATTTTTATTCCATAGTGAATTACGTCCCGAGATATGGTCCGAATGTATTGTAATACGACTGATTTTTTATCCTAAAAAAATTTTCTGTAAGTCGATGAAAAATCATTTTTGATATCCAAAAACCATAAGTGAGTATATCAAATCGTTCAAGTGGTTTGAGAGTTGTATTGCTATATACAGGGTGAGTCATGAGGAACTGTACATATTCCTACCACGAATAGAAGCTCCTGAGGGGAATACCTGATGTCACAGAAGATGTCCATGTGCCTTCTTCACTTCTTTTCCAATATACAGTGTGGTCATTTAAGTGTGCAACATATGGGAATCTTTTCAATGAATTGCTCTTCCAAAATACAGATAGTGCCGAAAGTTGTTAATCAAAACAACATCAGTAGAGAATACCTTCGTTCAAATTCAAGAATATTTGTGCAATCAACTTGGATTTTAACTTCTTTAAAGAATCAAAAACTTTTTGTTTGTTGCAACGATATTCAGCTTAACTTCAAAATTTCGCAAACCATATTTTCAACAAGGTAAAACATCAATAAATGAGGAGTTGATGTCACCAAACTGTCTTAATGTTTACTGTCAACCCTCATTTGTTTTGTTCCTTGGGTATTCGTGATTATTCCAAATGATATCAAGGTTATCGATTGATTTGTACAGCTTTTTCATACACATTTCAAATGCAGAATGTTCACATTACATGAAAACGGTCCTGGATATTCTCGATTCTGGAAAGGTCAGTCGATTAGGGTTTAGTAGAGAAATATTCCATGGAGAAATCAGACGAATCAAAGGAGCTGTTGAAAAGTTATACCCAAAAGATGTTTTTGCCAAAATTTCATATTTCACCCTATATATTGGTAAAGAAGAGAAGAAGACACTTTCTGATGATCATTAGGTATTCACCTCAAGGGTCTCTATTCGTGGTATGAGTATGTACAGTTCCTCATGACTCACCCTGTATTAGCTGTATACAGGGTGATCCACGGTGGATGACCTATTAGAAGTATCTGGAGAACGAAAAGACGGAACATTCTGAAAATTGGAATCCTATGATAATTGAACATTCTCTATCCGTCTAAAATATTTTCATCGATACAGTGTTGCCACTTCTATCAGAAACAACTAACAACTTTGTTATTTCGAATAGAACACCCTGTATTTCATTGCATTTTTAGATTCTTCCTAAAGAGCTGATTTCATCAATGTATCACACTTGGGGTTTAGCAGGAATGATTACAGAGATATGGGGTGTTCAAAATCGAGATTTTTCAATTTTAAGATTTTTTGTGTCGAAACTATTCATTATCGATCAAAACGGCTTACATGTCCCTATCTCAACTTTTGAATCACTATCTACTGGAATAATTTAATTAGTAAAAATACAGGGGTGCTTGAAGATTCAGAATTCTGATCACCCTGTATCTGTTCCGATTAAATGTCAGTAGAAAGTGAATCGAAAGTTGAGATTGGAACATGTAAGCCGTTTTGATCGATAAATGGATAGTTTCGACACAAAAAAATCCTGAAATTGAAAAATCTCGATTTTGAACACCCTATATCTCTGTAATCATCCCTGCTAGACCCCAAGTGTGTTGCATTTATGAAATCAGCTCTTCTCAGGAAGAATCCTAAAATGCAATAAAATACAGGGTGCTTCATTTAAAATAACAAAGTTGCTAGTTGTTTCTGATAGAAGTGACAACACTGTATCGATGAAAATATTCTAGACGGATAGAGAATGTTCAATTATCAAAGCATCCCAATTTTCAGAATGTTCTGTCTTATCGTTCTCCAGATACTTCTAATAGGCCATCCACCGTGGATCACCCTGTATTTGTGTATGTTGTCTTGATAATATAAGCTGATCATGGTTTTAGCTTTTAACCATGTAATGGATTGCTGATTGTTAGTTGAGATGCCGTGCATCTACACTGTCTAGTCTGTACTTAGTTTCGTCGAATACCTTGTTTCTTATATAGAGCATAGCTATGTTACTCGATTGCAATAAACATAAGTTAATGGTTGGTCTCGATTTTTATTATTTCGCCGTACACCCATGTGAAAAGTTTGAAGTTCTGACTGAAGGAAATCAGTACATTTCTACAAAAATCAAGACTACCAAGTAAGGTCTTATGCCACACATATTCATCACCCATCAAAACATTTACCGCAATTGTAGAGATTTCAAAAATAGCGTACGGATATGTACCACGCTAAATGATCGATTAATCACGGATTAACGATCTGTGATTTATTCAAAATATTAAACACGTTACCATGGCAACACGATTTCTTAAACACATTACCATGGCAACACGATTTCTTAAACACATTACCATGGCAACACAGTTCATTAAACACAGCTTTAAGATGGCTACAAATTCAGTAATTTGAGACATGTCTGGCCTGTCAATTGTATTAACTGTCAACTGTTATTTTCAAATTTTGTATCAGAATTATTCAAACAATATTCGTTTGTATCAGAATTCTTCATTAAAAATATATGCGAAATGTAGACGTAAGTGAAATCGAAGAGAATGTTCTGGTACTTGCATATCTCCAAGAAGTGTAAAAATGAAGCATCCATCTTTGAAAACAATTTATTTATTCTGCGCTAAGCATGACAATAAACGTGAAACAAAGGTTAGTAAGCAATGGACTGGACACGCATCTACAACCAATATCACTTATAAGTGTCTCGCTGGTTGCATGCAGTTGCATGTATTATGTTCTCAATTCCCATTCCTTTCGAATTATTTTGTAGGTTAGCAGAAATAGCAGGTATCTTAATATTCTTAATGTAATTTTCGGAGTTCATTGAAAAAGCATAGTATGTAAAGCGTTTATAAACTCTTCTAGACACTCGTTTATTAAACACTCGCTCCGCTCGTGCTTAAAATACTCGTTACTAAAAGGACGTTTATAACACTTGTTACATATAATATACTATTTTACTCGTATATGAGATCTAAACTTGAATATAGTATACTAATATGGAACAACACAATATCATTCTAACCGAATTGAATGTATTCAAAGAACATTTTTGAAAAATTTGTTTATGAAGGAGTATGAAACTTACCCGTCTAGCGAGGAATCGATAACCAAATTCTTCTAGATAATTTCGGAATGATCTCTGTAGAAAGACGCCGAATAATTTTGAGTGTGACATGTCTTTACAAATTAATGCATAACCAAATCGATTGCTCCGTACTTCTGAATCAAATAAACTTTCTCATTCCAAGATTGAACAGTAGACAATCAAACATGTTCTACAATGTTGCTACTAGAACAAGAATTATGCTGAAATCCCCAATTCATATTATGTGTGATAACTTCAACAAAAATTTCCCATATGTGATATAAATCATGACTCATTGAGAGATGTGATTAATAAATTGTAAGATTATATGCCCTTGTTATACATCTTGTTTTGGTCAATTTTCTGTTATGGTTAGTATCCTGCATTTCTTAGATATAATCCCCGTCTTTGTCTCATGTTATTCATATTATTCTGTAAAAAGTGTAATTAATAATCGGAAGCTGATATTTATATGTAGCATTTCCTGTTATTGGGTGTTAAACCTGTTGGAAATAAAAGCCTTTTTTTTAAACAGGTCCATAATAAATTCTATTCGAATATTTCATTGTGACAAGGTATTCGATTTCTTTCATGATTTCTCAACTGTTTGAAATCCTAGGCAATAAAGGAAGGTTTCACAGACTAACTCGAAAATAAATGGGTAACACTGTCGTGTCACCTGAACTAGGAGTTTCATCTTTAATTATAGAACTGCTATCAGTTTAGAACCAATCAAAGCTTCATAGCTGTTGTTATGGCAACACAGCAAATACAAACATTTTTGTGAAACCCCATCAATGATTTTTTCGTAAAAACAAATGGTGGACGAATCATTATGTCTCTCCGGTTGATTCGGCTCTAGATGGGACTGTTTCAAAAATTGGCTCATTTTCTGGGAGTGAAGAAAAGAGAAGTAAACGTCTTGGTAGTAGGACTGAACAATAGTGGTAAAACAACCGTGGTTAACAAATTCAAAAATGAGGAAGAGAGAGTTGCCGAAATTGTTCCTACTGTTGGTTTTTCAGTCGAAAAATTCCAAAGTAAGTAGACCAATAAAGTGCTTTACGCTTCTCTCATTGAAGTTCAAGAAATGCATGATATTTGAAGAAATCTAATATTTATCTTTCAAAGTGCTTTACGCTTCTCTCATTGAAGTTCAAGAAATGCATGATATTTGAAGAAATCTAATATTTATCTTCCAATTGTAAATTGGGCAGAAATTCCAAGAACCTTTCCAAGATGAGGTGACCATGGTATGATTACTCGGATCTATGGGTTCATAGATACCATTCAAAATATAGCAACTGTCCCTTTGACATACTCGGAACCCTGTAATAATGTTCCAGAACATGCAGAGATCATGGTGGCATAATAATTCCAGCAAACACAGTTAAATCACAGAGATAGCACAGCGATGTAACAATAATTGAGACTTGTGATATCGCATTCTATGGCGCATATAGACGTCGCTGCGATGTTAGAGGGATGTTATTTTCTCCCACTAGAATTTCATCCATGCGACGTCGCTGTGATAAGTACTCTGCGATATTACATGTTATTGCGATATGTGAGGAAGAAAAGATCTCAATTGAGCTGTTTTCTACCTTGAACGAGAGAGAGGAAAGTTCTCTCCTCTTCCATCTTTCTCTTCAATGCTACCAACGTGGCCGCATTGAAATATAGAGAGGTCCGATAAATCTTTCCTTGTCTAACCTCTAGTCTGCGCCACTGAACTATTTTCGATGTTATTCGCGATACAAAATAACGTCACTCCACCTGAAGGTAGAAACTTGATCTCTGAGCTGTTTGTTTTGATGAATAAGCACAAACGAAAAACATCATGAACCAATGAAAACAAAACAGCTTTCACGAACTCCGATAGGTGGCGTACGCTTATTTTCTATCGCGAATAATGATATTCTTTCCTTCTGAACTGCCCTATTTCACTTGGACTGAACCGAATCAGATAAAATGCATTCTAACTAATCAAATTCTTTCGAAAGAACACTTTATAACTGATTCAGTTCAGTTCTAGTGAGATATTTCAGTTAGTTCAGATTATAATGATGTGATATGTCTATGTCGCAAATGCTATTGACTGATAACCATTTTGTTATTATCGTTAATTAGACACTCTGTTGAATTCATAATTGTTCAGTGGCACAAACTAGATGTTAGACAAGGAAATATTCATCGGTCCTCTCTATATTTTTATGCGACCACGTTGGTAGCAATGAAGAGAAAGAGGGAAGAGGAGAGAACTTTCTTCTATCTCGTTCATTGAGGTCTTTTCTATCTTGAACGAGAGAAAGGAAAGTTCTCTCCTCTTCCATCTTTCTCTTCAATGATACCAACGTAGTCGCATTGAAATATAGAAAGGTTCGATGAATCTATCCTTGTCTAACATCTAGTTTGTGCCACTGAACTATTTATGAATTCAGCAGAGTCAAATTAAACGATATTGACAAATGATGTCAAAATAAGTATAACATAATTCGAAATTTCATTTAAAACATTCAAAAGGTTATTAGTCAGTGACATTTATGACATAAACATGTCACATCATTATAACATCGAAAATACTAACTAATCAAATTCTTTCGAAAGAACACTTTATAACTGATTCAGTTCAGTTCTAGTGAGATATTTCAGTTAGTTCAGATTATAATGATGTGATATGTCTATGTCGTGAATGCCATTGACTGACAACCTTTCAAATTTTGACATATTTTGTTATTATCGTTAATTAGACACTCTGTTGAATTCATAATAGTTCAGTGGCACAAACTAGATGTTAGACAAGGAAATATTTACCGGACCTCTCTATATTTTTATGCGACCACGTTGGTAGCAATGAAGAGAAAGAGGGAAGAGGAGAGATCTTTCTTCTACGTTCATTGAGGTGTTTTCTATCTTGAACGAGAGAGAGGAAAGTTCTTTCCTCTTCAATGATACCAACGTAGTCGCATTGAAATATAGAAAAGTTCGATGAATCTAGATAGATAGATAGATAGATAGATTTATTTGACTATGTAACTCATACAAAAATGGTTTATAGCAAGTCAGTTTAAAAGCACACATGTATTGAAATATTATATAAAGACAAACGAACAGAACGCTGAAATACACAATGAAAAGAATACAAAGATAAAACAAACATAACATTACAAGATAGCATCCTCGATCGTATCACAAGTACATAAAATTCATAAAATTGAAGTTTGATTAAATTCATCAACCGAATAAAAACAATATCTGAGAAGGTGTTTCTTCACAGTATTTCTGAAGCATATTTCATTCATAGATCTGACCTGATTTGGTAATTTATTGTAAAGCTTAAAGTTCAGCGAATTTTTCTCAGTTTTGACTAATCTATAGCGAGGCACAAGTAAATCATTTGCATCAGCAGACCGTGTGTTGTGATGATGAAGGCTAGAAACTTTTGGAATGCTCAGCCTTCTGGAATGAATTTCTCTCAAATTTTGAAAGATGTAAATACATGGAAGAGGTAAGATTCCTAACTGCTTGAATAAAGGTTGGCAGTGCTCTCTATAACCAACCCCTGCTATTAATCTTATTGCTCGTTTTTGTAACCTAAAAATTTTCATAGCTTCAACTGAGTTACCCCACAGAACAGTGCCATAGCTGATCAAAGAGTGAAAAAGGCCAAAATATACATGTTTCAACATCGTCTGATGCAAGCATTGTCTGAGTTGTCTCAGCAGAAATAAAACACTGGCTAGCCTGGTACTAAGGGAATCCACCTGATGTGACCAATTCAGAGAGTCATCTAAAATAATTCCAAGCAATTTACAATGGTTCCCTGTCGTGACTTGACTATTGCTGGAAATCATGAGATTCTGATTTTTTTCTCTATTCAGCTGTAAATTATTCGCAGAAAACCAAGCCTCAGCTTCGGTCATTAAAGTTTCTGCATGATCTAGTAGAAGTGAAATATTAGTGTTTGAACTAATCAAGGTTGTATCATCTGCAAAAAGGACAATTTGACACTTCTTCATCATATGATAGCAGAGGTCATTAATGTATATGATGAAGAGCAGTGGCCCCAGAACGGATCCTTGAGGAACTCCATGATGCACATTTCTCAGTTCAGATTTAGAGTTATTATTCAGGTGTACATATTGTTGTCTACCCTCTAGATACGATCTGAACAATTCTAATGGTGTGCCTCTTATTCCATAGAATGAGAGTTTTTCTAACAGGAGTTCATGGGAAACACAGTCGAAGGCCTTAGAGAGGTCGCACATGGTCAACAATGAATGTTCATGTCCCTCCAGATCTTCGACTATCCTTGTCTAACATCTAGTTTGTGCCACTGAACTATTTATGAATTCAGCAGAGTCAAATTAAACAATAGCAATATTCTTTTTACCTTGTTACATTCTCACTACTGAGAACAATTGAGTTAGAAGGAGGTGAGACGGATCTGAGTTGTCGATTGAATAAAAAGAGCACGTTTTTATCTGTCAGGAAGAGCAAGGGAAGAAAACACAACCCAACATAATTCAACCAAAATGTGAAATGACCGATGAAATTAATGAGGAGCTTAGCAGTATTATTTTAGTGAGTATCCAAAAGAATTAACCCGGGGACTGGAACTTCAAAGCTGAAAGCATGTCAAAATGAAAATATAACCTCACAATTTTCAGCACAGAACCACAAAATTACTAGAATTGATTCAGTCTCACCTTTTTCTCACTACAGCATCAGATGAATAGCAAGCTCAGTTGGGGTGAGGGGAAAGAAATAGTCTCAATAAGTTCTTAAGACAACTCACATCAGACTTAGTTAAATGAAACATGTAATACAACTGAGCTATTGAGCTGCACTGAGAATCTTGGTTAATCTCAGTCAAAGCTGGTAAAAAGAATATTACTGATATTGACAAATGATGTCAAAATAAGTATAACATTATAACATAATTCGAAATTACATTTAAAACATTCAAAAGGTTATTAGTCAATGACATTTATGGCCATGTCACATAATTATAACATCGAAAATAGTTCAGTGGCGCAGAGTAGACGTTAGACAAGGAAAGATTTATCGGATCTATTTCAATGCAGCCTTGTTGGTAGCACTGAAGAAAAAGATAGAAGAGGAGAGAACTTTCTTCTCCTCTCTCTCGTTCGGGGTAGAAAATAGCTCAATTGAACACCATTAACTTGATCAGGCTAATAAGAGGGTCCCTATTTTCAGATAAAAACCTAGCGTTCACAGCCTTCGACATGTCGGGCCACGGCCGGTACAGGGACCTTTGGGAGCACTACTACAAGGACTGCAATGGCATCATTTTCGTGATAGACAGCAGCGACCGGCTACGCCTGGTAGTGGTGAAAGAAGAACTGGACTTGTTGATCCAGCATCCGGAAATTTGTAATCGCAAGCTGCCGATACTGTTTTTCGCCAACAAAATGGACAGCAAGGAAGCTTTGAGCAGCGTTAAGATAGCCTCGGGCCTGGGGCTAGATAAGATAATGGACAAGCCGTGGCATATATCGGCCAGTAACGCTTTGACTGGGGAAGGGTTACAGGAGGGGGTTGAATGGTTGACACAGCAAATACGAGAGATGATTATGACAAAGACATGAGATTTTTCCTAGTGAATAAAAATATTTCTAAAAATTTTAGTTTTATTTGTGTATATTACAAACTGAGTATAAGCTGATCCATATAAATATATACATAGTTTAAAATGAGCTATTCTCTATTTGTATAAATAAATAAATATTTTTAATCATGATATAGCTAGTGACAACTAAGGTCAAGCAAAAACAATCAGTTATTAAAGGAAATTCAAGCTTAATTGTTTGAATATGGGGCAGATTCAACAACAAAAAAAAAAAAACGCTGGCATAATAGTTACCCACACCATGTGTACAATTAATTCCATTATAACTGGAAATATCTTCTCATTAACAAAATCTATCAACTAGGTACATAGCATCAAGTGAATTTTAACAAAGACCATATCAAATTAGAGAGAAAAAAAAAACAAAATTTAAATTCATTCATTTGTCTCGGAAAAAAATGATGACTGGTTTGAGTTTGAGCTTTCCACATTTCCAATAGTATCATCCATATCCTATGGGAACTTAACTAAAAAAATGTATTTCAAAGTCAGAATAATTCCACAATAATAAATGGTATAACTATATCTATGTTCCACTAATTAACGTTTATACTAAGGGGAATAGTCTCACTGCACTTATATACATTAACTTTCGAATATTTCAACTGTGGAACAATGAGGCACTAAAGAAATATCTGAATTGAACCTCAAATCATAAAAAGATTTTTGATTTTTTGCTTTTCGATATGACTGAGGAAGAAACTTGATTCGCAGTAGTCAAGGTCACCATTTGACGTTGCGATGATATGAAAATTACGGGATCTTTACTACCGCAAATATAAGATTGAAAGTTTTTTTTTCTAATGAAGAATATTGTATACCTATGAACTTTGAAAAATAGCTTTCAATGATATAATCCCAATAATTTTACTCTCTGGTGGGGTTTTTTGACCTATAAACTTACCTCTTACTAAAAATAAACCATTCACGTGTTTTAGTCCGATTTTCATATAAACTTATCTATCATTAAAAACAAGAAATATACAGTGTTGAAAATGAATATTCTCAGATAAATTATGAACATACAAAAATGGATATATATTTATATAAAACAATACATTGAGAATTCGCATTCTCTATGTGATGAGAATATTTACTCTTTTTCAGTTAATTCAATAGAAAACAACTACTTTCCTGGCTATATGCCACGACGAACATTGAATTATATCTGTTGAACACACACGATAAGAGTTTGAAAATAAAATATAAAAATTTCTGAAATTGAGAATTTGCATTCTCCTTCAGACAAAAATATGTATATACACGCATCATTCTGAATATTCAACAGAAAACAACTACTTTCCTGGCTATTTGCCACGTCGAACATTGAATTATATCTGATGAACATTCAAAAGGGATCATGAAAAATAAAGAATAAAATCCTCCGAAATTGAGAATTGATATTCTTCTTCAAATCGGATGAATAATATGATGAATAATGATCTAGAAATATGACTTACCAATATATTCAGCATTGAAATGAAAATTGGAAGTATACTGGCATGAACTCTGATCTTGATGACCTTGAAGACGTCCAAAAAATAATCATTCATATCAGTGATATGGGAAATATTATCTCTCACACACAGGTTATATGACTTTATTGCAATGAACCCATTTCGGATCTCTGAATCCTCATCAGTAACCATGATGTCCACTTATTCTTACAGCCATTCTTCATGATATACACAATTTTCATCTCTATATAATACAACTAAAATCGAGTAAAACTATAACGAAATGATATCTGAGAAATTTGTTGACATTCTATTCCTGTCATTTGGACGTGTGTATATACATATTTTTGTCTGAAGGAGAATGCAAATTCTCAATTTCAGAAATTTTTATATTTTATTTTCAAACTCTTATCGTGTGTGTTCAACAGATATAATTCAATGTTCGTCGTGGCATATAGCCAGGAAAGTAGTTGTTTTCTATTGAATTAACTGAAAAAGAGTAAATATTCTCATCACATAGAGAATGCGAATTCTCAATGTATTGTTTTATATAAATATATATCCATTTTTGTATGTTCATAATTTATCTGAGAATATTCATTTTCAACACTTTCATACCCAATCAGGGGGTTCAAACTTGAACGATGGAAACTTGTGATTTTTATAGACCTCTAATCGCAGATTCGTGATAGAGTCTCAATTCAGAATTCATTTCCACGCCCTGTATGATGAATGTCAATTTATCATACACCCAAAAGCAAGAAATATACAACTATGTAGTAGCTGAATTAATTGAAAAACATAAATCATAATTTTGGTCTCGTTAAAGTTTGAATTTGGAGCTTGATTTTATAAATCCGAAACACATACAGGGTAATCCTAAATGCCATATTGATATTGAAGGAAGTAATTATCTACTTTCGAATGAAAATTCAGGGTTGTATCAGGTTGCAACATTTTTCCAAGAAATCAGTGTTCATTTTGAACAAATATACAAATAAATACCACAGTAACGGCGCCACTGGAATTTGCATCAGCTGACTCACACATTGTTTAATAGATATTCCGTGATTCACCAGAATATCTTGAATTTTCATCACATGAAAAATCCATAATTCATGTGTTTCCTCAAGCATTATGAATCGGAAAATCAAATTTCACAAAGAAAAAATAAATAAAAATGGAACTTGGCTCCTCCACCATTCCTATGACGTACATTCTGAAAATCCACATTCACACAGAGTTAAAATACGATTCTCTGTACCAGTATGACGTTGCCGACATCATCAATATGTACATATAGATTTCCGGAAATTGTTCTTTGAATTCATTATAACTATATCATAATAGCAATGGGACATTCTTCAATCATTGGCTGAATGGAGTTGATTACTAATAATGTTATTCATAAATTGACAGTTATCTTTTTGCTAATGAATTCGTTCCTTAATAAAACTGATCTATTTTCTAGGAAAGTTGCAGATTATATGTTGCAACAGCGCCTAATACTTCGAGTCCGCCCACACCACTCAAAATACTGACAGGCACAACAAGAGGAAGGAGCCATGGGTGTCGGCTTCATTCTCTTCTGACCGATGGCAGTAAATTAGGAAGGATAGTATCATTGAATGTAGCCGATAGTGATTCATTGATTCAATATTATTTTCGTTCAGGATCGAGCTCTATTCGTGATATTTCAATGCATAAATAACAAAACCATAACCTGTCAAAATGAAGCCAACTACCTTCTGCATTCCTGCTCCGAGTGCATTTGTGGTTATGCATGTTTTTGTTTACCAGGTTTACTTCTTCTATTTTTTTCATTCGTTAGCTATTCGCTAGCTATATTCTTCACCATCAGCTATTTTCAGACTAGATTCAGAATGTACCTCACAGTTTGGTGCCCCGAAAATTAGAAATTGCTTCTTGGACTTGGACTTCATCGGTCGCCATTCTGTACAACATGGACATAAAACTGGAGAGTTCCGAACTCATCATATGAAAATTCATCTGAAGGAAACTTCCCCATTACCTCCTTCAATAGGGACACGAAACTCGGACGAACCCTGTATAAACCAGCTGCACGTCAATATACTTACTCTAAAAAACGGCTTCCATGATAAACATCTCAAACATCCAAGACACGATCGAAATCCCATCCTGATCATTGCTGCACCTCGACCATCTCATTGGCCCCGTTCGATTCGTCGCCGGGGTACTCGTTCCTGCTGTCGTAGGAAGGGGGCGCCACTATCGGTATGGCGGCCTTCGGGCGCTTCTGCGGCGCCTGTCTCTGCGCCTGCGCCATCTGCTGGTCGGTCGAGTAGTACGTGATGCCCCCTTGCGGTTGGTACAGTTCCGTCGGTGGCGTCTGCAATCATTGCGGTCGTGCTAGACAGTGTTGCCACAGACATATGTTTTTTCGAGCGAGCTACGCTGTCAAAAACGAGCGAGATCTTGACTCAAAGAGCGAGATTTTGTTGTTGATGAAACAAATGAGCATTAACTCAGGACACATTACTATGTAGGTACATGAATGAATATTAAAATGAAAATTGTATTTTCTTTTACGTTCTTTATATTTTTTTGAAAGCATAGCTCAACTCTTCTTGTAACTCTTCTCAACTGATCGAAGAGTTACAAGAATTGATCCCTTGTTGAGTTAACAAAGAGAATCATGCAACCGACCCTAAGCATCCTAATTATGATCTTTGAAGGGACTTTAGTTTCCAGGGCTATCCGGTCGAATGTTTAGTTTTAGTTTGTAGAATGATGGAAATAAGCCCTCTTCTCGACCTCTCGATAACTATGGTTTCGGCGATCTTCTGATAGATGGTGACATTGTTCAAGTATGACATGTGTCAATTTTGAAATTGCAACAGATTCTGCGAATTTCAAGTGAAATAAACCCACTTTCACATATGCCATTTTATTTTCACTCGTCCCACTCGTCACCAGGGCCCTAATTCTTGAAAGTGGTGAAAATATTCACCGGGTGAAATTGCTTAGTTTTCACCGAAAATATACATTATCATATTCTTGAAAATAAAAAGGTGAAAATTTTCACCTTATATTAGGTGAGTAGATTCACCACCGAAAACGGTGGTGAATTTTACGAATTGTGGTGAAAATGTATTACTAACCTTACTCTTTCTGTAATTGAAGTAGGTATTTGTTTGGTTTTCGTTTTGCAATTTGTTTTCAGCTTCCTTAAAATATTATGTAAGGATGGAAAACGAACTATTATTGATAAACTTGATTGAAGTTGAAGACATCTTGATAGATGATGCAGTGGTTGAACAGGAAAATAGAATGAGATTTAGAAGAGAAAATCCTTTTGAAATACTTAGTGATTGTTTATTCAAGAAATTATTTAGGTTAACCAAGCCTCTTGTTCGCCTTCTTGTTGACATGTTAGATCCCTTCTTAGAAGCTCCAACAAGGATATCAGCAAATTATTTTAAATTACTTTCTAAATTAAATTAATAAGACACCATCAACAGTGTCTGGAAACTATTAAATGAATAATTAGTTTACAGTGTTTCTGGAATGATTATTACATTTATTATGTGATTAAATCTTTCAAAAAACCTGTTGTAGGTATAGGTATGTAGGATATTATGTATTATATATATTGTGTATACAAGAATTATGTACATACTTATGTGAATTAAAATATGATTAGTGTATACAGATTTCCAAGCAATGTACCTAACCCTAGTTTCATTTATAGTATGAGTAAAATTTTGCTATCAGAAATTTTCATACACAAAATAACAATAAAACTTAGTTATTCATTTGATAATACTTTTAGTAGTTACATTTATTGTTTTAGTCTAAAGAGGAAGCCATATTCCCCAGTAAAAGTCACTCCTCATAATTAAATTAGGATGTTTTTGTCATAAAGAAGCTAAGAAAACATATTGTTTCTGATTTACTTTATTATTATAAACAAAGTACAAAAATATGTAAGTATCTATAATAAAAAACTTTTTCATAAAATATCAAAACTTAAAAACACATTCTTAATCTAAACATAACACAGGAACTCAAAAAACAAACATCACCTGAATGATGTCTTCAAAAATGAACTAAGAATATAATAAACAAACTAAATAGAAAATAAATAATAGGAGCTCTGACTGTGAAAAAACTAAATGTGTACCTACCTATACACAGCTAATAGCTAAATTAATTCAGCAATGTTGCTGTTTAGCTGGCTTAGAAAGTCAGCTATCCTTCGTAATTGTTCTCCACTCTTTTCTAATATTTCCAACTTTTTTTTGTAATATTCTTCTTTAATCTTTAATTTCCGTTCAGTCAAAACGACAAGTCTGTCAGTGCTTTTCTGGTGCTGCTCGAGCCTTTTTCTTCTTGAAATGACCTGCCTCTTAGGCTTTGTGCCTTGTTGGAATACCTGCTCATTCGAGGTGTTAGTATTAGTTTTAACATTTGTTTCACATGTCACTGCATCATTTGATCCTTCCATGTAATTATCAGTGGGGTCGTTCTCATGTATTGTAACAGAATTTAAGTCTCCTTCAAAATGAATAATACAATCTGACTCTTGTATATCAGTGTCCCCTTCAAGTAGTGTTGGCTCCAATATTTTAATCACGGCTTTGTCCACTTCATCTAGGTCATTAACTGGTGGGGGACCACCACCTGTACCATTCCTGTATGTTTTAATCATGGTATTTTTTCTTTTGGCACTCATTTTCATATCTTTCCATGTCTAGAAAGGATTAGATTATCGAAACTAGTGATGATGTAGGTAATAACATTCTGAACTTCATAAATGAGCCAAAATAATGAATATTATTGATTAAATGTAAACTCGTACCCTTTTCCATTGCTCGGCAGTTTTATTACCTCCCGGAATTGCGTTTAATTGGTCAGCTATATTTTCCCATCGTAAATTCATGTCTTTTCTTGTAAAGGAATTGGTAAATCGTCCTTTCCTTAATTCCTCGTCATTGTTCATAATTTCTATTAAATGTTCTTTTTGCTTCGTGGTAGCATGTCCACAATATTTCTTAGCCATCTTAATAATAATAATTTAACTCAGTGCAATTTTTGAAAACATCGTCGGAAAAGCAAACAACAAATACGTAGAAGTAGGGTTATGATTGATTTTCTTCAACAAAAATGCTCCGTTCCTACGTTGCCAAATTGCAATTTAGTTTTCACCTCGAGTAAATTCACCTAGGACTCAAGAATGCCAAACGAGTGACGCAGGTGAAGATTTAGTGGTGAAATTTTTCAATAGTGAATATTTTCACCACTTTCAAGAATTAGGGCCCCAGTGGCGGCTCGTGACTTCCATGACAGAGGAGGCTGAATGATATGAGATTTATTGTGAAAAACAACTCTCTACCACTCACCCAAATCAATAGCTTTAATGACATTCTGTTTACCAGTTAACCTGAACTTAATACTTGAAGAGATGTGTTCCTGTGATTTGCAGTGTCTATCCAATCCGCGAGGCAAATTTTTCAAATCATTATATCCTATTCGCCCCCAACATGATGAATTCCTCACCTCAGATCCCGTCAACCAGATATATTTTTTATAATTATCAGAATTGAACGAACGATTTTGTTTGTTACCTGTTACAATCAGATTTTTCAATTCCGGTGTCGGACGTTTGTTTTTCACAATCAATTTATCTTCATAAGACAAAGCACCGAATGGGTTTACCAAAAAGTATTCCACTAAATCGCAATCGTTTAAAACACTCATTTTTGAGAAATTTATTGAGCTCCTAACCATTAACCTAACATAAACATAAACAATGCACTCGCGATTGTCCGCAATTCGCGACGAGACATGACCACGACAAACATTGCGCGCTAGGGGTGCGCGTTGTGAAGGAGTCTAGCCTCCTATAGATGTTGCCAAGTTGAATATTTTACGCGTGATTTGCAAACTTCAACGTGTGATGCGTGGGCAAGTACTGTTTCCAATTTAAAAATATTTACCTAAAGACAGGAAATAAAATCAAAATCCATGTATTTTGGTGTCCTTTTAATGAGAAAGTATAGATAATATCAGTTTAAGGAGAATCTCTGAGGAGGCTCAGCCTCCGTTGCCTCCTCCGAGGAGCCGCCACTGCTCGTCACAGCAGCAATAGCAGCATCACCATCTATCTAGCGGAAAAAAGTCTCGCTCGATGTGACGTAGTGAAATCATATTGAGCGGTCGAGTGATTTTTCCACAGCCTCCTATGCTCAACTTTTTCACAAGTTTTCAATGTGTAAAAATGGCCGAGCGCGCCATCTACTCATTTCCATCATTGTTTGTAGAAACATTAAATTTATCGATTGTGTTAAGGAAATTTATGCTAATATAGCTGAGCTTTGAAAAAACATAGACTCCGTTCTACCATATTGCGCCCAATCTGTGTGGCCTACTAGCTGAGGTGAAAACGAGCGAGATTTGACAAAGAGGAGCGAGAGAGTAAACTACTGACAAAACGAGCGAGATTTCGCTCAATCAAGCGAGCTGTGGAAACGCTGGTGCTAGATCTTTTGTTTATTGGGGAAATAGGCTTCATAGAACAATCACATTTTTTATACTTCTGTGACTGCGATATTATATGCGCTATTTTAATGACATCCAAACTAACAAAAACGGCTATCAGGTGACTATATTATATGCGCTATTTTAATGACATCCAAACTAACAAAAACGGCTATCAGGTGACTAACATCTTTGCTTGACTGATTGAACCATTATTTCTTCTACATAATTAAATACTGAATGAGTACACTGATTTTTTAGTCCTTATTCTTGATCTTCACGATCTCATTGTTGTTCAAAAATGTTCTTGATGGTTTTTAAATCTCAAAATCCCAAATGAAGTCACAGTCATAATTAAGCGTTCGAAATGACTACTGAGGTCACGACATTGCTTGACTCCTTGAAACATTATTTCTTCTACAAAAATTGAATGGGTAGTGGACTGATTCGATACTTCTTCTCATTCTTGATCTCCACAATTCAATTATTATTTTTCAAAAACGTTCCGAATGGTTTTATCAAAATCACAATGGAAGTCACAGTCTTGATGTGTTCTTCCAACTGACTTTGCATACACTTTACCAAGACTAGACTGACTAGATGGGTAGGGGACTGATTTTTTACTTCTTCTTATTCTCGATCTTCACAATTTTATTGCTGTTCCAAAATATTCAGAATGGTTTTGAGGTCTCAAAATCACAAATGAAAACTTCTCGGATTGGCACTCAGAAAATGTTGACATAATAAATGAAATCTGAAGGTCACAGTGCATCTCTCAAGAACTTCCTAGACACTGTCCCTATTCGTGGGAATCAATGCTACCAGGTGGCGCTTAGTTTTCATCGTTCCATGTCAAAGCCACGTCAAAACTGGGGGAAAACAAACTCAATCCTCACTCAATCCCATTAGTGCCATTAGCTTGTGTACTGTGTACTGACAAGAGTGATAACACTTTATGTCAGTCACAAGTTTGACAACTACAGCTACAGCAATGTAGTCTATGCACTTTATTCATAGACAACAGTTTGTTTTCCCCCAGTTTAAAGTTCATATTATGTAACCTAGATGTCGCCCACTTCGTGAATCTCGCGAATAAATTTGAAAAGAAAAAGTAAAGGTACTGCAGATTATGAGAATTTTTGGAAATGAAAGACTTCAAATAATATATTCAACCATTAATGTGATTAAGAAATGCACCAAAAACACTTTTGAAAAAAATAATGCATTTATTCATCAAGGCCAATTTGGTTATGACATATTAATACTAATTTAAAGCTCCAATTCAGTCCATTTTGATAGTATATTGTAAAAAGTAGGCAGAGAGTAACTTATTTCAATTCATGTAGATTTTTTTGTGTGGATTCAATAATTGAAGTCCTTAATAATACGTTATTTATTACCGAAAATTATGGTACTAGGAGAACTAAGGCACATTTGAAACTTAGAACCTATTCAACCATGAAAAATATCAGTAGTAATGATCAAATAGATATTTTAAAGGGTCTAAATAGACAGTTACAAGTGTCTGAATAGGCAATTACAACTGACTAGATATACAGTTACACATGTCTAAATAGACAGTAACAATTGTCTAAATAGGCAATAACAAGTGTCTAAATAGACAGTTGGAAGTATCTAAATCGACTGAAACAAGTGTCTAAATAGACAGTTGGGAGTGTCTAAATAGATACAGTTACAACTGTTACAAGTGTCTAAATAGACAGTTACACATGTCTAAATAGATAGTAACAACTGACTGGATAGACAGTTACAAATGTCTAAATAGACAGTTACAAGTGTCTGAATAGGCATAAACAAGTGTCTAAATAGACAGTTGGAAGTGTCTAAATGGACAGTTGCAACGGTCCAAATAGGCAGTCACAACTGACTAGATAGACAGTTACAAATGTGTAAATTGACAGTTACAAATGTGTAAATTGACAGTTACAAGTGACTAAATAGACAGTTGCAAGTGTCTAAATAGACAGTTACAAGTGTCCAAATACTAGATAGTTACAAGCGTCTAAAATGACTGTAACAAGTGTCTGAATAGGCAGTAACAAGTTTCTAAATAGACAGTTGGAAGTGTCTAAATAGATACAATTACAAGTGTCTAAATGGACAGTTACGGATGTCTAAATAGACAGTAACAACTGACTGGATAGACAGTTACAAATGTCTGAATAGACGGCATAAACAAGTGTCTATATAGACAGTTGAAAGTGTCTAAATAGACAGTTGCAAGGGTCCAAATAGACAGTCACAACTGACTAGATGGACAGTTACAAATGTGTAAATAGACAGTTACAAGTGACTAAACACAGTTGTTACAAGTGTTGAAATAGGCAGTAACAAATGTCTAAATAGACAAGTACAAGTTTCTGAATAGGCAACTGACTAGATAGACAGATACAAATGTCTAAATAGACAGTTACACGTTTCTAAATAGGCAACTGACTAGATTGACAGATACAAATGTCTAAATACACAGTTACACGTGTCGAAATAGGCAGTAACAAGTCTAAATAGACAGTTGCAAGTTTCTAAATAGACAGTTGCAAGTTTCTAAATAGACAGTTACAAGTATTTAAATAGACAGTTACAAGTATTTAAATAGACAGTTACAACTAACTGAATGGGCAGTCATAGCTGTTTAAATAGACAACTGACTGAATAGAAAGTAACAAGTGTCTACAGAGAGAGAGACATGTCTGAACAGCCAGGTGCCACTTGTCTAAGGAACTGTCTGAATGAATAGTTAGGTATGTATGTGTCTATGAAAAAACGTAACGTGAGCCTTCGACTCCTTTGTAACACATCGATAGAGCTGTGAATTGAAAAATACAAGACTTCCTACTCCCTCCCCCCCTGTCAAATCCACGAATACCTCGCTTCGTACGCCCTCGACGCCCCCTCTCCCATTCTCCCTACCACAACCACGACCGCCACTGTCTCCCCTCTACTCACCGCCACCGGATTGAACTGGCCCTGGTAGCCCTGGTACTGGCCCGGCACGTAGTTGATGGGCGGGCCGGCGAGGAACTGGGGCGGCGGCCCGCCCACGGCCACCGGCTGCGCCAGGAACTGCGGGGGCGGCACCTGTTGCGCGAACGGCACCTGTTGCGGGAAGGGCACCTGTTGCGCGAGAGGCACCTGTTGCGGGTGGGGCACCTGTTGCGCGAGAGGCACCTGTTGCGCGTGGGGCGGGATCGGTGGGGCGGGGACGGAGAGGATTTGCGGGTTGGGGTGGAGGAGGGGCGGGGCGACGGGGCCGGGGACCGTCTGCGGGGCGTAGTCTGGAAGAGATAAGGGGTGATGTTCATAAGTGATTGCCTTTTTTATCTCGAGAAACATTGTTGTTAGATAGAGAGATAGATATCCTTTATTCGTTCATGTGAACAGGGTCATTCGGTATATTCAAACAGCTTCTACAGGGTTTATCATTGAAGATAGAGAAAAACTTCGAATGCAAAAGTTGTAGGGTTTGTTATGAACCTCCAGAAAATTATACCAGATGGAACAAATGAATATCCCTGATATAAGAAATTGGTACCAACATCGTTATTTTCAATAGAACACCCTATATATTTTTCGAAAAAATTCAAGATCTTTTCTTCCTGATTCCAAAAATATATTGGTCATTGATATTTGGTTCAGCCGTTTTTGAGATATTCCACATCTTTGAATATATAGTTATTTATTATACAAGGAAAAAAAGTAGTAGATTTTATATTTTTTTAAATCTGTGATTAGAATCTAGTATTGTAATCATGTTCGAGTGTTTTGAAATGTTCATTATTTTCCCTAACAAATATTACTGCTTCATTATATACAATCCCACCAAGGTTTATAATAGATAATAGGTATACAGTCAAACCTGCATTTTTCAAATAATTGTGAAAACACACGGTTGCATTTTTTAATCGATAAATCGATAGAAAATAGGAATCTCGCCTCCAGGGGCGTACTAAATCATCTTTAGGTGGTCCGGGAAAAAAATCATAAAATTCGAATTTGAGTATAGGGGCATAGCAAATTATTTTTATGATGTGACCAGAACAATAACCAATAAATTTCCACATATATCGATATAAAATAGAAATCTGGACTTCAGGGGCGTACCAAATCTTTTTTAGGTGGTGTTGAAAATAAATAAAATCTTAAAAATCTAAATCAATTCCACATAAATCGATAGAAAAAAAATAAATCTCGACTCCAGAGGCGTACTCATATTATTTTTAGGTGGTGTCCAAAATTGAAAATGAATCAGGAATTTCGAAAATTTTCCGACATTCATAAAATAACTGAAATCTCGACTCCAGGGGTGTACCAAATTATTTTGAGGTGGTGTCCAAAATGAAAAAAACAGGAAAATCGAAATTTATTCTACAAATTAATTTTAGGTGGTGTTCAAAATTGAAGAAAACAAAATTCGAAATTTTTTACACATAAACCGATAGAAAATAGAAATCTCGAATCCAGGGGCGTACCAAATAATGTTTAGGAAGTATCCAAAATGAAAAAAAAAAAATAGGAAATTCGAACTTTGTTCTAAATAGATCCATAAAAAATAGAAATCTCAACTCCACGGGCGTACCAAATTAATTTTAGGTGTCAAAAATAAACAAATAAGGAAATTCATTTTTTTTAATGAATCAATATAAAATGAAAATCTCTACTCCAGGGGCAAACCAAACCATTTATAGGTGTCCAAAATAAAGAAAATAGGATATTCCAAACCTCTTCCAAATAAATCAATGGAAAATAGCATATTGAAAAAATCAATAGGAATCTCGACTCTAGAGGCGTACTAAATTATTTTTGACTGATTTCCAAAATAAAATAAATAGGAAATTCTAAAATCAGTCCACATAAATCCATATAAAATAGTAATCTCGACTACAGGGGCGTACCCAATAATTTTCAGGAAGTATCCAGAATAAAAAAAAGCATATCAAAGAAATCAATAGGAATCTCGACTCCAGAGGCGTACTAAATCATTTTTAACTGATTTCCAAAATAAAATTAATAGGAAATTCGAAATTCAGTCCACATAATTCCATATAAAATAGTAATATCGACTACAGGGGCGTACCAAATGATTTTTAGGAATTATCCAGAATAAAAAAATAGCATAACGAAAAAATCAATAGGAATCTCGACTCCAGAGGCGTACTAAATTATTTTTAACCGATTTCCAAAATAAAATAAATCCACATAAATCCATATCAAATAGTAATCTCGACTACAGGGGCGTACCAAATAATTTTTAGGAAGTATCCATAATGAAAAAAATAGCATATTGAAGAAATCAATAGGAATCTCGACTCCAGAGGCGTACTAAATTATTTTCAACTGATTTCCAAAATAAAATAAATAGGAAATTCAAAATTCAGTCCACATAAATCCATATAAAATAGTAATCTCGACTCCAGGGGCGTACCAAATAATTTTTAGGAAGTATCCAAAATTAAAAAAATAGCATATCGAAAAAATCAATAGGAATCTCGACTCCAGAGGCGTACTCAATTATTTTTGACTGATTTCCAAAATAAAATAAATAGGAAATTCGAAATTCAGTCCACATAAATCCATATAAAATAGTAATCTCGACTCCAGGGGCGTACCAAATAATTTTTAGGAAGTATCCAAAATTAAAAAAATAGCATATCGAAAAAATCAATAGGAATCTCGACTCCAGAGGCGTACTCAATTATTTTTGACTGATTTCCAAAATAAAATAAATAGGAAATTCGAAATTCAGTCCACATAAATCCATATAAAATAGTAATCTCGACTACAGGGGCGTACCCAATAATTTTTAGGAAGTATCCAAAATAAAAAAAATAGCATATTGGAAAAATCAATAGGAATATCGACTCCAGAGGCGTACTTAATTATTTTTGACTGATTTCCAAAATAAAATAAATAGGAAATTCGAAATTCAGTCCACATAAATCCATATAAAATAGTAATCTCGACTACAGGGGCGTACCCAATAATTTTTAGGAAGTATCCAAAATAAAAAAAATAGCATATTGGAAAAATCAATAGGAATATCGACTCCAGAGGCGTACTCAATTATTTTTGACTGATTTCCAAAATAAAATAAATAGGAAATTCGAAATTCAGTCCACATAAATCCATATAAAATAGTAATCTCGACTACAGGGGCGTACCCAATAATTTTTAGGAAGTATCCAAAATAAAAAAAATAGCATATTGGTAAAATCAATAGGAATATCGACTCCAGAGGCGTACTCAATTATTTTTGACTGATTTCCAAAATAAAATAAATAGGAAATTCGAAATTCAGTCCACATAAATCCATATAAAATAGTAATCTCGACTACAGGGGCGTACCAAATAATTTTTAGGAAGTATCCAAAATAAAAAAAATAGCATATCGAAGAAATCAATAGGAATCTCGACTCCAGAGGCGTACTCAATTATTTAAAATAAATAGGAAACTCAATATTTCTTCCATATAAATCCATATAAAATAGTAATCTCGACTACAGGGGCGTACCAAATAATTTTTAGCAAGCATCAAAAATAAAAAAAAAATTTTGAAAATTCGAAATTTCGTCCACATAATTTGATACTCACTATCAGGATAGAAACTGGTAGGATAGTTGGCGGGCATGGGTGGCGTGTTGGCCTCGGGCAGCGACCTCTGCCTCATTGAACTGTACCTCTTTGAGGAGCTCCTCTGCTCATTCTGCAGCCTCGGCGGCACGCTGCCCTGTCTCTGATTGTTGTTGTTCCTTGACCTGCTCTCGTTATCGACGCTAAGTTTTTCGATGCCTCTCTCAATATCCTAGAAAAGTTATCAATATCATTCAAACTTTTATTGAAAAGTTTTTGAAACGTTAAAACTCCAATTTGGGAATAGTATTTTTCTCAATTCATCAAGACCCAAGAACAAATACCAAGATTTCTTACTCTTTCCCATTAGTTCATTGCATTGAAAAAGCAAATTTATCTGTTTTGTACTTGAAAACATTCTTGGTTTTGAGGTAAAATCATGTTTTGTTTTAATGAAAAAAAAAAAAAACAAAAACAAATTAAGGGCTGAAAGACTTCAGTCATTGGCTTTTTGGGGTATTCCCCTAAGAAGATGAGTATAATTCACATTTTATGACACACCCTGTATACAACCGAAAAATTCTGTTGAATTTTCCAAAAAGAGGGATTTTTTTATGAAAAAACTTCAATTTTTGAGAATTTACAGATGAAGATATCCAAAACTTATCCCAAATATGGCAAATACCATTCTATACTCTCACATCCTTAGTAAAATGAACTTCAAAAATATTTGGGGTTCATGTTTTGAGAATAATTTTAACAAAATATCTGTACTTTATAAAAAAGCATTAGAAGTACTGTATCTTCTTCCATATGACACCCCATCAAATCAACTTTATGAAGAAACAAATACATTTTCTTTGGAAGAGCACTTTCTGATAAATACCCCAAAATTTCTTTTGATATTATCAACAAACACCTCGAATATAACTTCATATTGGTAAGGAATTCTCAAATCCATGAACATCATACTAGACAATATGACTTGTTTCATCTTGATGCTGCTAATTCTACACTTGGCTAAAAAGTTTACTCATAGAGCCATCTCAAAATTCAATAAATTACCTGATGATATCAAAAGTTGCACAAATATCACCCAATTCAAAATTAAAGTCAAGGAACATATCCTCTTGCAAAGAGAAAATCAAACCTGAGGGAATGATTTCTCATTCACTAATTTATTTCATTATGTAATAATGTACTTTTCATGAGCTTTTTGTTTCATTATTTTTGAATCTCTTGTTTATTTCAATAACTTAGATTTGATAACACATGAATAATCTCATACCAGATATGAATCTGTCTGATTATTCATGTTATCCCATTGTGAATCTTAATAAAATATATCTATACTTAGGGTACAGAATCAAGTTCCTATAAAATGTCTCAAATCTATATACTTCTGTTGAATATTTGATTTCTGTATGGGGTTCAACAAAACTATCAATTATAAAGCCTCCCAAAACTCTTCAAAATAAAATTATGAAATGTATATACGGATTAAATTATTCAGAACCTACTATGAACCTTTACAGAAGAAGAGAATTATTAGATATAGATTCACTATATAAATTCAAATTAATGTCCTTCATTCATTCAGTTAAACATTGTCGAAAGCATTCAAATTTGGTTTTCCAAATTAATAGTAATCACCACAACCATACAACTAGACAAGCAGATCATTTTTCTGTCAAGAAAATTAAATCAGATATTGGTAAAAAATCCATCTTTCACAATGGAATGATACAATACAATTCACTACCAAATAACTTGAAGCTGATTAATAGGATTGAAAAATTTAAGAGAGAATTCAAGAAACATCTACTCCTGTAATATTGACATCTTATCTCATTCTTATAGTTTTCTTGTACAACTACTATAGTTTTCAATTGGGTACCTAATAGCTGAGTCAATTGAGAATCATTTTCATTTTTGAGTGTGAGTCTGTTTTCTTTATTTTATTTTGTCAAATATATTTATGTATTCACTATGTTCCCTGCTATAAACAAATGTTGTTTCTTGGGAATAATAAAGTTGATTGATTGATTGATATGAGATGCAATGTTAATAGCAAAGGATGACAAAATGATTCAATTAACTAGTATAATTCTTGTACATGTGAAGGAAATTTGTTCTCAATATGGACATTCTGAGTTTTCCTCCATTCAGCTGCATGAATAATTGATGAAATTATAAAATCCCAATAGTCAAATTGAATAGCCAAATACATTTGAAAATGAACCTAGCAAATATCAATAGCTGCTTCACTGAAAAAAAAAAAAACTTTTACCTGTACAATATTTTGTGAGTGTTCCTGATTATTCCTATTAGTGAAATTCTGGGACTGTATGAAATCTTCCTTCTGACTACTAGGTTGAGCTTTTTGCCCCTCTTTAGAAAACTTTTTATAAGAGGCAGTTCTGGAAGTGAAACCATTAGGATTAGCAACTCTTCCTGATCCTACACGTTGGTTGTTTTTATTGTTGAGGGTTTCTTGATAGGTGGGACCATTATTGATATGTTCACTGTGTTGTGGTGGTTGGGAAAATGGTTTTTCTCTAGGAGGTTCATGTCTAAAAAAAAACACAAGAACACCATAAAATATTGGTCATTTGCTCAACACTTTTTCCAACAACTTACCTTTCTTCTGGTTTCCTCACTTGAGGCCCTAAATCTTTCTTGGGAGTATTTTCCTTCTCAAGATCTTCTTGAGAGTTATCCCTCACCAGAGGAGGGAACTCTTCATCAGTATCTTTTCTAGGCCTCCTCTGACTTTTGGGCCTAGTTACAGTAGGTTGAGGTTTATTATAAGCATCTTCATCCTCCCAGTTGCGTGTATATTTATTGGGGCCACGTCTGGAAAATTATATGGAGAAAAAATTAGATTAATTCATGACACCAAAGTCAATTTTCATCACTATAAAACACTTTTATTACCCATATCTCCTGCGCCTTCTAGCTCTTGGAGGACCTTCCTCATTCCTAATATCATAACCATAAATTGAAACTAGTTCAGCTCTTGATTTTGGTGTCTGCTCTGTTTCATTGAATCTATCATGTGACCATTTTTCTTTAGTTTCACTCCAAATCTGTTTCTTACCATCTTTGTCTTTGTTTTCTTCCACTACTTCAGTTTCCTCTCTAAAAACAAACAACTTTACAATTCAGCTTTCAATGTTGAGACTGGTTACTCACGCATCTTCTGCTGTTCTATCATCATGCTCATAAAAAGTACCCTTTTTAGGTATATACTGAGGATTTTTCTTGTCCTCATCATCATCAACTTTCTTTGAAGGGACACTTTCTTGGCCATCTCCTTCTTCACGTTCTAGAATCAAGCTGCCATCTTCAGAGTTGCTGTGCTCATCCAAATCTGAACCTTTGGATCGCCTCTTCACGTTTTGCTCTTCCTCACTGTATGTTCCACCATCTGCACTATCATAATCTGAATTTTCTGGTGACATCTTATCTTTTTCAACTTCTGCTCCTTCTTGGAGCTGACTTTCTACCTGTAAAATCATGATAACTGTTCAACTTGGAGGTCTGAGTAGCACTGAACGGCAATGCCTTGCTCTACTTGGCGAACTCGACCTGATTTTGAGGGACTTGATCGGTCTTTCACTTTCCACTTTCCCAGTCGAAGCTGGGGCTCTAGAGCTGTCACCTCGAAGAGATTTCTACTCACCGATTTGTCGTCAGATTGAATAGTATTCGTTTCTTCCTGTTCAGTGCCTAACTGCTGTTTGGATTTCGATTCGTCCATAATAAAAAAATTGTCTTTTATGTTTTTGCGTAAATGCCTATGTTCCAATCAAAATTCACAGACTAGACAACCATGAACCTTGAAATTTTTGATCGGATCCTTTGACCCTAGAAAGAGAAAAAAGAAAAAACAGAAACGTATTTCTCTGATTGAATTTGTTTGTGATGTTTGATGTCTGACATCTGGCGTTTGATTGAAATTTGACGTTTGACAGATTTGCACAGGCACAGCTTATGGTCACGTCACATGGTCACGTGTGGTTGAATTGCCACAAAACAACTGAAATGAAAAAGATCGATTCTCGGAATCGATTTTGATCTAAATAAAGGCCTGTCTTCGTTTGTGTTTGCTCTACCTGCTAAAGTTGAATTTTTTCTAGACAACTATGGGAAATCTACTCTAGCAAATTCAGCAATACAAACGAACAGGACAGTAAAATGAAAGTTTCCCAACTTCGCTTGATCCAATTTTGTATAAAAAATCAATTCTCTAGGGAATCAATTATCAAAAAGGAAAATTGATAAAAAAATTGATTTTCCCGATTCAAGTTCGTGATGTAAAATGTTACTAAAGGGAAGATACCTTCGAGAATGTGCATGTAAAGTGGAGACATCCTCGCCTCAGACCTTCGGTTGGTGGATCTTCCAATTATTAGGATAGCAGGACATTCAGCAGGAATTCGCATAAGAACATTTCCCTCGAATATTTCCTGTTATGATTGGAGAATCAAGAGACCGAAAAAATGCTGCGAGAAAGGCGGATAGTCTATTTTCATCATGGCTGCGATCAACGTTGTCAAATGTCAAGTTGTCAGGCCGGCTACACCGGAAGTGGTCTAAACTTAAGTTTTTGATGTTCAAATAACAAAATTCCGATATACCTACCTGTATTATTACATTTTCTATCAATTTCAACTTGAACGTCAGCGATTATCATTTCTTTCAAACAAAAACTATTCTAATTTTTTTTCTCCGATGGTCCATCATAAAGAGGTGAAATCAATTCTTAGAACTGAATCATATAGCTCATCATGTTTCATCATTTATAATTTTCATAGTTATATTTTTGGTGACGGAGCAAACAAATAGTATTAGAGAATGAATCATTCCATTAACTGTTTAGTGCAAAGAGTGTACTTACCTACCATAACCTCTACCCTAAACTTTCTTTCATAAGTTCATGAGTAGATGTAGAGTAGAGTAGTATGCAAATACTTCAGCCTGTAGTCATCGATGGTAGAAGAACATCTCGAGCATCCATGAATCATAAAACACGAGTTATGGAAAATAATACTGAAATGAAAAAAGAAAATTTATAGTTAACAGATACATAAACAATTGAGCTAACAGCACTAATAGTACAGAATACTTAATACCTACAGGTTGACGACAATATCAAGTTAGAAAACAATTATTAAATAGGATATATGATGTTATAAGCATTTCAATACAATACCCACCCGTCCAACAATCACATAGTTTTAACATACTTCGATAATGATGATTTGAAAGAAGATAAAGATACTGATGATTTTATATGCACAGCTAGTTTGTTGCATTCATTTAACCCTTTGAAAAATAGCGATCTCATGCTCATACAGGAATTTGTTCTATGGATATGAAAGTCAGTCCTCATTCGTGTGCATAGCTATGAATTTGATCATTTCTTGTTATAAATTCATTGTAATAGGAAGGAAGTAGGCCTTTGTTCAATTTATAAATTAAAGTCATACTCATGTAAAATCAACGAGTATTAACTGAAAACCATTGCAATGTATCTAACATCAGTTTAATTGGAGTATATCTATTAAATTTCAATATTAGTCTCATTTCTCTATTTTGAAGTTTCTGCAGTTGGGAAATTCGATTTTAGTTGAATAAGTAAATTACTGTTGCACAATAGTCAGTCAGGTTTAATAATAGAATTGAGAATTGTTACTCTAGCAAACATCGACAGTGCTTTTGCAATTCTTGAAAAACATTTTTTTAGAAATTTGTCCAATGACATCACGTAATGGGATTACTACAAGAGATTCAGGCTGTCATCCCAGCAAGCAGCCGGCCTCCTCCACACCACACTGGCAACGTGTCAACGTGCGCACATCGCCACCCTAGCATCGGCGCGCCGGGTGGTGCACTAGCGCAGAGTCAGCGCCCTCTAGATATCGAGCGCCAGCACCACTCCACATACACCTCATAGCATAGCCACAGCAGTCCGCGCCCGGCCTCAAAGCGATGCCCGACTCCCACACTCGCCCGCAATGACCCTCCGCGCCGCGCTGCTATGCCTGCCGCTGCTGCTGCTGCAGGTCAGCGGCCAAGGCCCCCCCTTGCACGACAACGACACCTCCCCCAACGCCACCAAGCTCAAGGACCCCCTCTTCCCCGAGGACCTCTTCACGGCCGAGCAGCGTCGCTCGGGGGCCGTGGTCCTGCACGTCCTGGGCCTGGCGTACATGTTCGTCGCGCTCGCCATCGTCTGCGACGAATTCTTCGTGCCGGCGCTGGACGTCATCATCGAAAAGTTCGACATCCAGGACGACGTGGCGGGTGCCACGTTCATGGCTGCGGGAGGATCGGCCCCGGAGCTCTTCACCAGCGTGATCGGCGTCTTCGTGTCTTTCGACGACGTGGGTATCGGTACTATCGTGGGCTCGGCGGTCTTCAACATCCTCTTCGTCATCGGGATGTGCGCGATTTTCTCCAGGACCGTGCTGACGCTGACCTGGTGGCCGCTGTTTAGGGACTGCTCGTTCTATTCGCTCAGTCTCGTGACGCTTATCATTTTCTTCAGAGACAGTTACATCCAATGGTACGAGGCCCTGGTGCTGTTCAGCTTCTACATCGCGTACGTCAGTTTCATGAAATGGAACCAGCCGATGGAGAGGCTAGTTAAAAAACTGATCTATAAGAACAAAGTGACGAGGGTGAGGAGCACCGATCAGCTCATGCCAACGGTGAGTCTAATTCTTCTATTAGTAGTAGCTTACATCCTTTGCTCATGCATGCGATGATGTGATCCCAATGAACTAACAAACAGCTATGGATGGATGACGTACTATCTGATGCTTTTCCCATTCCTGACTGATCATTTTTCATATTTCGACTCTGAAAGGTTTGTGTATGTTACTTATAAGTAACTTAGTAACTTAATATTTGAAATTGAGTCGATCTATTGCAAATAGGTTGATTCGTCATCAGCTGTGGAGATATGGTAGAAAAACCAGATAGAAGTGATAATAATTTATGTTCGCAATATCTCTGAAACTAGGTGACTCACTTATTCCTCATGATACTAAAAGTCCTTCTCCAGTTCCTGATGAATGCTGGATTAGAACTCTTCTGGACTCTTTCGCAAACTCTTTTGATGGGAACCATCTTTCTATTTCGTCTCTAAAAGGTTGTGTATGTAACTCTAGTTAAGATGGAGTGTGGTAGATGATCCCTAGTGGAAATAGGTCTGCTACAAGTTCTCCGTGCCGGCTCTGATGGAAGTCATCATCGAGAGGTTTGACATCCAGAACAACGTTGGGGGCGCCACGTTCTTGGCTGCGGGAGAATCGGCACTGGAGCTCTTCATCGGCATGATTGGCGTCTTCGTGTCGTTCGATGACGTGGGTATCGGTACTATCGTGGGCTCGGCGGTCTTCAACATCATCTTCGTCATCGGGATATGCACGATTTTCTCCAGGCGCTTGCTGACGCTGACCTGGTGGCAGCTGTTAAGGGACTGCTCGTTCTATTTGTTCAGTCTCCTGACTCGTATCGTTTTCTTCAGAGACAGTTACATCCAATATGGTACGAGGTCCTGGTGCTGTTCAGCTTCTACATCGCGTAAGTCAGTTTCATGAAATGGAACCAGCCAATAGAGATGCTCATTCAAAAACTCATCCATAAGAACAAAGTGACGAGGGTGAGGAGCACTGATCAGATCATGCCAACGGTGAGCCTAATTTTGCGATCTATAGAATCTGCCACCCTCTGCTCATGCATGAATGTCTTACTTCATCTGCTTTCCCAATTTCTGGATGCTTATTATTAGATCTCTCCTGTAATGCACCAGGAGCACTTTGGATGGGAGCCATTTTCTATCTCGTCTCTAGCCAGGTTGTGTATGTAACTTGGTATTTGGAAATGTTCTGGTGATGATTAACTGATATGGTAGTAGCACACAATATCTCTGGAACGACTCAATTGCTAGGCGACTTACTTTCTCATCCAATTCCTGATGGATGCTCGATGAGATCTATTTTTGATCTACTGCAAATGAGATAATTCGTCATCAGCTGTGAAGATATGGTGGAAATATACCAGGTAGAAATGATAATATGTTCGCAATATCTCTGCAAACGATTCAATAGCTAAGCGACTCACTTCCTTATCCAATCCATTTTAGAACTCTCCTGGGATATGTTTCGCAAACTGCATTAATGAGATGATTCACTGTTAAGATGAATGTATACTTCGTCATTGTATCCATGAAGATGACAAAGCGGAAAAACATACAGAATTTCAGAATGTTAGAAAATCAGATTGAAAATTGTTTTTACCTATACGATCCAAGCAATGTGATGAATTTCTTTCCGTCCTTCGCTACGACTTTCAATAATGATATTCTATTCTGAAGTCCAATTGGGTCGTTTTTTGGCCTGAAAAGATGATTAACGAAGTCTAGAAAGACATAACTCTTATCGTTGATGAATTCCAATGAAGAAAGAGAAATGTCGAACATGTTTTGACAAAACAACACATCAAACGATCATAATTTGCTCCAGGAAAAACTCCCAAATTTCATCTTCTAATAGAGATACGTCTTTGAAATATATCACTTTTGGCAAGCTTAGTCTTGTGAATGTCGCGTTTCAGATTTTGAGAGTGAAAAAGTACATAATCTTATTCCTAATGGATGAGTTTCCACAACATGGAACAAACCTTTCCTGAATCGATCTATGATTTTCCGAAATAGGCGAAATGTTGTTAGTTCATGATTTAGAATAATCAGAAGAAGTCAATGTGTGTTGAAAGGTAATAGAAGAAAAAGCTTGGTCCCTACTGAATAGTGAACACATGAAGTCACCCCTAGGAGCCCTTAAAATTTAATTGAACTGTACCCATCATGTTTACTGTGCTCGTGCACATATTTCAAATACCAGGGGAATATAATTAGCCGTATTCCAGAGCAACCGTTCGTGCGGAAACAAAGCTCGAACCATTAAAACCCTCGCGTGATAATGCCCGGTGGAGGAATTTGTGTTACTATTCGTATTCTCGAACACGGGGATCGATCCAAGAAAAGAATGACGTGCCGTAAATATGACTCGAGTTTACAGGTCTAAGTGGGCCAGAAAGTTTCTGGATATTCTCCACTTCCTTCAGATAATGGCTGGGTTTGAATCAGCTTATCGCAGTGGTAGTTTCAAATGCTTGAATGCTTTAGTCTAGTTGGTTTCAGTGGCGACTCGTTGACCTCACTCATCATGGGGATAGACCATCGGCTCTCAACCTGTCATGTACCACTGGTGATACATATTATTATTTGCGGTGGTACGCAAAATCAGACTCAAAACGCAAAAATATATCTAAAATCAGTAAAATCAGCACCACATGAAATGAAACGAACAGAAAAAAAGATGACTCTACAAAATAAAAGAATACACCACATAGGTAATCTTGTAGAATAAAGTAAATAGAGCATTGTCAGTGACGTCATATGACGTAAAATTGTCGGCCATTGAACAGCTGATGGGGGGACAAGCATACACATTTTCCATAAGGGTACATGTAACTTTCTTGCACATTTACCACTAAAATACAATACCTGGAGCATTTATTTAGTGACATGTTTGTTAATTCATTCATCATGAATCCTGTGAGAGAAGTGAATGAGTCCAAAGAAGAGTTAAAATTGGTTTATTTGTCAATTTTAAATTACTGGATTTACTTGAGTTCAGCTCGAATTTACCAAATATACCTATCGTAATATACCTCAATAGATACTCATTTTGGAAGAAAATGTACTCATTCTTCTTGTATAATATCTACAAGTTGAACAAAATCACCAATGGGCCAGAAATATTAAAATCAAAATTCACACACAGCTTTGTTTGTCCCCCGATCAGCTGATGAAAACGACGAGTGCGCCATATTGTGACGTCAGCTGACATTGCTCTATTGTCAAATTATAATTGATTGAATACCTATATTATAGGTGGTATTTAGAATTATCTATTAAATAGTTATTTATTATACGAGGGAAAAAACCGGTTTTTTGTCTCACAACCTGGAACTAAAATCTAATATTTTTCCCGTGTATAATACACTATTTTTTCTGTGACAGAAGAAAGGACGAATCAATATTGAGAAGATATTACATTATTTTGAATTGAATTTTAAGTTTTTAACAGTAGGGATACCTGCGTTGTAGGCATCTTTATCATTCTTTTGAAGTATGTAATCATATATGTGATGTCACTTCTGTCAGTTTAATTCTGTGATTTGATTTCAAAAAATTGCGAATTTAGTGGTTGTTTAATAATACGTAACCGCGAAGTCGAATGGAAGATAAAAGGGCTTCTTTCTCGGAGACGGTATTATTGACTCATTTTTCGGAAATATAGCACAACAAAAGCCATCAACAGTGTATATATGTGATATATACCCGGGAAAAAGAACTCACTTTTTTCCCACGGGAAAAAAGTAATTAATGAAAAGTGACATTTTATAACCTGCCAACAGAGATGTAATGCCAAACTTTTTTCCCGTCACAGAAAAAATGTTATTTTCTTGCTTGGCACGTAACCCCGATACCGAAAATGTTATATTAATGTCAATTTTTATACCGTTCAAGAGCAAGCGATTTTGAAAGGTTTAGACTTCAATTATATAAAAAGAATATTTCTATTCATTTTAAATAAATAGTTGTATCGTATACTATTAGGAAATATTAAGTCCATTGGATCCACTTCATCAGCAGACGATAAACTGCGAACGCTAAAATCTAATGAAAACTTCAACATAAAAATCAATCGAAGTTTTCCCACATGAAACTTCACGCTATGGCAGATGCTACAATCGCGAAAGGGAAATCCTCTACCTTGAATGATTATTCATGTGCTGACTTATAATTAATCGAGCAAAGTTTCATTAAATTGCCCTTCAGTGCGATACCGAGCTCTGAGAAGTCATTATGTATTGAGTGCTTTTAGCAACTTTTCACTTGTTGTTCACTTTGCATCCTCCCTTCAGTAGATATTGTCAGGAGACAGAAAAAAAAGTAGTTATACCCATCAGGGTATATCTACATTTTCACATTCAATATTAATTATTTTTTTCTCCGATTGGCAGCAAATATTAATTTTGCTGAAACATATCAATCAGCAAAGTATTACTTTTCCTGCCTAGGCAGCAAAGTACTCACTTTGCTGATTGATATGTGTCAGCAAAATTAATAATCCATAGATCGTTTATAATTTCCATCATATTTCATCCGAGACTTCTCCGGCAACAAATTCAACTCTATATTTTTTGCCACCTCCCTTATTTCTCGAGGAGTAAGTATACTTCCAGGTCGCTATCACTGTCCATTATACAATAATGATTTAAATATACCGATATTTTCTCGCACAACTGTCAGAAATTTCATGAATTGTCAAACTATAATTATTATGGACATTTCCATAGCAACCAACCATTCCAACAACTGCGATTTCTATCAAATTTCATTTCAATTGAACACTACAGGAAAAATAAAGAGATTGTGGGAATTGTAATAATTTGCAAATACAATATCCTCGCCTATATCATTATGAACAATCGTAGAAAAAATTATATGATCAATCGGAGAAAAAATTATATGTTCAACTCGGCAGCAAAGTAGATTGACTGCCTTAGCTGAACTCCTAGCCTCGCTACGCTCGGCTATGAATTCAGCCTCGGCAGTCAATCTACTACTTTGCTG